CTATTTATTAAATAGAATTAGCAAAGAAAAGTAAGGATTGTGAAGAATTGATGATTAAAATAGAAGGTGAATCAAGAGATGCAAATGAAAAATAAGTTGAAGTGGAAACTAGATCTGCTTAAGTAGAAAAGGAAAAAGCAGAAGTAGAAACTCTTGCAGAAGAAGCATAAAAAGATTTAGAAAAAGCAGAACCTGCATTAAGAGCAGCTGAATAAGGATTAGAATAATTAGATAAATAATAATTAGCAGAAGTTAGAGCTTATAGTAAACCTCCTAATGGTGTAGATTAAGTCTTGTAAGCTGTTATGATTATTATGGGTAAAGAAGCAACATGGGCTAGTGCTAAAAAAGAAATGACTGCTCCTGATTTCTTATAATAATTAAAAAAAGTAGATAAAGATCACATTATGAATAAAACTTTAGTTAGAATTGAAAAAATTACTAGTGATCCTGAAATGCTTCCCTCAAAGATTGATGCTATTTCAGTTGCCTCTGGTACTCTTTGGAGATGGGTTTTATCATTAGAAATGTATGCTAAAGCATTTAAAGATATTGAACCAAAAAGATTAAAAGTTAAGTATTTGAGAGAGAAATTGAAGAAGAGTGAAGATGAATTCCAATAATTATAAGAGAATTTCTAGATTTTGAAATAGAGTATTGAAAAATTGAAGACTGATTTATAAAGAGCAAAAGATGATATGGAAATGTATACTAGAGAAACATCAGTATTGGTTAATAAATTGGAGAGAGCAGAAAAGTTGATATCAGGATTGGCTAGTACTAAAGAAGGTTGGGCTATAAGAAGAAAAGAATTATAAGGAAAGCTTGAAGTCTTAGTAGGTGATGCTTTAATGACAGCTGCATTCTTAAGTTATGCAGGTCCATTCCCATCTGAATATAGATAACAATTTGTTGCTGAATAATTAATAGGATAAGTTAAATACTTAAAGATTCCATACTCTAAAGATTGGAATTTCCCTGATTTTTTAGTTAAACCTGTTTAATTCTTATAATGGAGTCAATAAGGATTACCTGATGATTAATTTTCTAAAGAAAATGGTGTTTTAGTTACATAAGGAAGAAGATGGCCATTGATGATTGATCCACAAGTCTAAGCAAATAATTGGATTAAAAATATGGAAAGAGCTATTAACAAGAATAATCTTAAAGAATTAGATCCTTAAAATGAAAAGATGATGGGCATTATTGAATCAGCTATAGCTAATGGATAAATAGTAATTTTAGAAAATATGGGAGAGGAATTAGATCCTTCTTTAGAACCAGTATTAAATAAATAATTAAGAACAGTCAATAATAAATTAATGATGTATATGGGAGAAAAAGAAATCTTGTACAATCCTAATTTTAGATTTTATATGACTACTAAATTGGCTAATCCAAAATATAAGGCTGAAACTTAAACTAGAGTTACTTTAGTCAATTTTACTGTCAAATAAAAAGGTCTGGAAGAATAATTAATTTCTGTTGTTATTTAAATTATGGAGGCCTAATTAGAAAAGAGTAAAAATGATTTAGTTAATAAGAAATCTTAAAATGAAATCACTTTACGTAAGTTAGATGATGATATTTTGAAAATGCTTTAAGAAATTAAAGGAAGTTTGATTGATGATGAAAATTTAATCGTCACTTTAGACAAATCTAAAGAAACTGAGGAAGAGGTTAAGAAACAAATAGAAACTTCTGCTGTTTCAATGAAAAAGACCTTTGCAGCAAGAGAAAACTATCGTTCATTAGCTAGAATTGCATCAAAATTATTCTTTGTTTTAAATGATTTTTCACTTATTGATCACATGTATCAATTTGCCTTGTCCAATTATATTGAATAATTTGGTGAAAATATCAATACATATTAAAGTAGAGGAGCATCTATAAATGACTCTTTATAAGAGAAATTATCAGATATTGCAGCTAGACATTCTGAAGAGATATTCAAAACTGCATGTAGAGGATTATTTGAGAAAGATAAACTCTTATTAGCTATTTAAATGGCTGTGAATATTACAAGTGAATTAAAGAGTTAGATTACTATAGATTTAGAAGAATATAACTTTTTCTTGAGAGGTGGAGATCCAACTGCAGATAGAAAGAATCAACCTCACAATCCAATTTCAGATTGGGTCACTGAATAATAATGGTAAGCCATTTGTGATTTGGATAAATTACCAAACTTTACTGGTATTATTAATGCATTCACTCATAATGGTAAAGAATGGAAAAAGTGGTATTTGAGTCCAACACCAGAATCAGATTAATTGCCAGGTGAATGGGATTAAAAATGTGATAGTCTTAAGAAGATGATCTTACTTAAAATTATTAGACCTGACAGAGTTCTTTTGGCAGCATAAGCATTTGTTAATTCTACAATGGGACAATTCTATACATAACCACCAGCAACTTCTTATGATTCTATTTATAATGATACTACTAAGAATAAGCCTGTGATATTTATATTATCTCCAGGTGTTGATCCCTATCATTAATTGGAGTAATTTGCTAAGATGAAGGATTGTTAATTGTTACCAGTATCATTGGGTTAAGGTTAAGCTTAAAAGGCTATAGATAAATTATATGAAGGTAGTAAGGCTGGTTTATGGGTTTATTTGGCAAATTGTCATTTGAGTTTAAGTTTCTTAAAAGAATTAGAAAAATGTATGGAAACTCTAAGGTAATCAGATGCCACAAGTGAAAAGTTCAGATTATGGTTGAGTTCAGCACCTCATCCAAAATTCCCAATTAGCATACTTTAAAAATGCTTAAAAGTAACTACAGAACCACCTAAAGGAGTTAAAGCAAATATGAATAGATTGTACACTAATATGTCATAATCAAAATTTGATCCATCTATTCTTTCATAATAGAAATTGACCAACTAATTACATTATATGAAATTAGTATATTCACTTTGTTGGTTCCATAGTTTGATTATTGAGCGTAAGAGATTTAAATCTTTAGGATGGAATGTTATTTATGATTTCAATGATTCAGATTGGGAAACTGCTGATAATATTCTATTAATGTATGTTGATTAGACATAACATGATAGTAAACACAATTAACAATAATAATAATAATAACTTGGATAATAATAATAAGATTAACCAGTTTAAAAGAGTCCTCCTTGGGATGCAATTAGATATTTAATAGCTGATGTTATATATGGTGGTAGAGTAACAGATAAATATGATTAAAGATTATTAAAGGTGTATGCTAATAGTTTCTTCTAAGATAAGATTATTTTTGAAGAGAAATATAAATTAGTTGAAAATTCATAATATTATTATATTCCAGAGGAATTCAAACCAAAAGAAAGTAAAAATGATAAAATTAGTAATCATGTATTATTCTACAGAAGTAAAGTTGAAGATTTCCCACCAGTAGAGAGAGCTGAAGTATTTGGTTAACATATTAATGCTGAAATATCTTCATAAATAGCTGATACAAATGCTCTAATTGATTCAATCATATCATTATCACCTTAATCTGTTAAAGCTGGTGAAGAATCTATGGAATCCAAAGTTTAGAAACTTATTCAAGAAACATTAGGCAAAGTTCCAGAAGAAATTGATATGTAAGAAGCTATGGAGAAAGTCAGACCTGGTGATTAAAATCCATTAAAAATTGTGTTGATGTAAGAAATATCTAGATATAATAAATTACTAAATACAGTTAGAAATTCACTCATTAATTTAGACAAAGGTCTTAGTGGTTTAGTACTTATTTCAGAAGATCTTGAAACCATTATGCATAGTTTATTTGATAATAAAGTTCCTTCATAATGGAAATTCTGTTATCATTCCTTAAAACCTTTGTCAAGTTGGATTATTGATCTTGAAAAAAGAGTATTATAATTAAGAAGTTGGATCAAATAATAACCTAATGTCTTTTGGATTTCTGGATTCTCATTCCCAACTGGATTCACTACAGCTTTATTATAATAGAGTGCCAGAAAAGTTAATACTCCAATTGATCAATTTGGATGGGAATTTTCATTCTTACCACATGGATCTGAACCTTAAGCTGCCAAAGATGGTGCATATATTCATGGTCTATTCCTAGAAGGAGCAAAATGGGATGAAAAGAATTATATAGTAGATGCTGAACCTATGAAATTACATGATTAAATGCCAATTATTCTATTCAAACCAGTTAGTCAAGAAGGTAAAAGTAAATCAAAGAAAGGTATATTAATATAATATATTTTTAGGTTAAAACTTTTATTTATGTCCCACATATTATTATCAAGTACGTTGTGGTGTTATGGAAAGACCATCATATCAGTTTGATGTTATGTTGCCTTGCAAACCTAATCCAGGTCAAGCTTCAAATGAAGAAGATTTCTGGATTAAAAGAGGTACTGCTTTACTAATGCAATTATCAGATTGATTATAATTATGCAATAAATCAAAAATATTTATCAACAACCTTCTTCTATCAATTAGAATTCCCATTACTTTTTAAGACCTAAACATTCAGCATTACCATCTATGCTAGAACCATACTAAGATATTAAATTGAATTATCGTTTACCTAAATTAAGCAACTCATATAATTAATCATCCTCTGAAGAATCAAATATAAAATCATCTCTTTCAAATCTATAACAACTTTCATCTAAACGATATCTAAGTAGATTTATTAGATCCACTACTATTGAAGAACCAATATTAAAAAAAAACTAAGAGATAATTCAATCATGTGATTTAAAGATTAAAGAACATAAAAAATAATTAGCTAAAGTCTAAATGAAACTTTAAGTTAATTAAGCATACTGCAATTATTTAAATTAAGAATTATAAACAGAATCTACTTAAAAATATAAACCATTAATTGGATTTTAAGAGAATAGCTTCAATTTTTATAATTATTAATAACCTAAAGTTAAGCATGTAATCTAATCATAATAATTATTGCGTTTTAGATAATAATCAAAGAGATTTAGAACCAATTAATCTGTATTAGATAAATGATTATTTAATTTTATGTTTTATCAATACTTTCTAATAAAGAACAATCCTTCTCTTTCACGTCTGAGTGCACTTAAAACAACAGAAAGAACTTGTGATGTTCTATAAACTACAGCTCATACAAATAAATCTAGCAAATATATTCATGAAAAATTTAACACTGAACATTCAACTAATGAAGGTTATTTAATCAAAAAATCCAATCCTTTTTCTAAATAAAACAAATCCAAAATCAATATACTTATAAACAACATAAAAAATACATACAAATCTGAAATTGAAAAGATTAAAGAAGAATCCAGAATCCGATAAACCAATCCACAGCTACATATGTAAAATCTTTTAATCTATATTTAAAGTTAAGAAATGTTACTACGAAATAGAGATGATATTGCTATATTAATTGATAGATTAAGAAGGATTCTTCTTAATAAATCTAAACGTTCCTTCTGTATTGAAATTATTTAAGAAATCAATAATCAAATTTCTAAAATCCGTAATCTTGGTATTTTAACACAATCTATTCATTAGATATCAAGATTTTAGTTAGTTTAACTCTCTCTAAAATTGCCAAATATTATAATCTACTACATTATTCTATTCTCCTTGCTAAAAATGCAAAAAGATTTTCAGACTCTGAACCTATGCTCAAATATAAAATTAAAGCATATGAAATCTTATCCTTGTGTTTCCTTAAATTAAGACTTAAGTAAGCAAAGACCTATATAACAAAATATTTAATGTGCAGCTGGAAATTAGATAAACCAAATGAAGAACTTAAAGGATATGATTAAATGGGAAAATATTATTATTATGAAGGTAATATTGAAATGGCTTAATTTTTTCATAATAAAATGATCAATGGAGATACTTTAGTAATATTGTTTAATATATTTATATTAGAAACCTAATTCATCATTAAAGAGATTGGCTGTGGCTAAATTTGAATAAGGTTCAGTTGGAAAAAGTAAGAAAGAGAAACAATCTGTCAATACTGAAGAAGCAGATTTTAATATATCATCAGATGATGAACCATTTGAAGTTATCTTTGCTTAAGATCATGATGAAGGATTATAAAAAGCTAAACATAATTTTGAACTTATGAGAAATGATTAAAAAAAGAAACCTTCACTTTTACATTATTAAATTAGAAAACAGCCATAATTCGATAAAACTAACATTAAAAGAGCCTAATAAGAATCTAAAAATGCTAATTCATTTATTAGGTAGTATTATAATTAATTGTAGGATTCCAAAAGCTTAGTAAACTTAGTCTTTGTTGACAGCTAGAGGAACTTTAGACCTTAGTAAAATAAAAGGACTTTCTCATGCACATATATAACTTGGAGAACTTAAGAATCCTGTTTTGTTAAATCATTTAAGTCCAAATAGATGTTTAGTCAATTATTAGCATATTGAATTGAATAAAGCCCCTTAATCATACAAGAATGCTGAGGATATTGAACCTTTGTTTGATGTTGGTGATATATAAAAGATGTCAAAAAATCTTAACAAGTTAATTGCAATATTAACAGGTGTTGAAGAATGGCTCCAAGCATAAAGTGAATTATACTGATGAAATCATATACTTATACTTTAAATAGATAATTTTTATATTTTAAAGGGATGATCTTAAGGAAATAAAAATAATAGCTTTTCATTCAATAAGCTCAAAAAAGAGAATTATAATATATTATGTTTATTTATATTTTATTAACAATAACTCTTGCAGCACTTCCAAATGCAAACTTATCTATTGGTCCATTACTATAATCATTTACAGATGATGAAGATTTAGACCAAATTGTTTATGTTCATTAGAAAGTATATGAAAATTTTGATTATGCATCATTCCCATCCTTATCTTGTTGTCCAAATAACGTTACGAAATTTCGAGTGATGAATTTAAACAAGCAAGGATCAAATATTTAACGATTTAATCTTCCGTTTTATATTGAGAATCTTGGAGAAGAACCTTTACTTATTGAATGGTTAAATATCACAGAGGAAATTTCAGATTAGGATATATAAGTCCAAATTAATTATCAAAGAGATTTACCAATTATCAAAGGCTTTGATAATTATCTTGGATTAAATTTAACACATTTATGTTGGAAAACTTTAAATAACGATAGATATTGGAGCATGAAACGAGTTACTTTATAGTTTGAAGGATATGATCCTGTAATATTTAATTATTAATTTTTATGTGGCAAAGATTATTATCCTGTAAGGTACTTAGTTTATTTAATTAGATTCGATTGGAGCAATATTATATTGATTATATTTGAAAGTTTGATGATATTAGTTCTTTCAATGTTTGGAAAGATATATGCAATTAAGGTTGTTTTCATAACAAAACAGTTAAAAAAGGAATTACCTTAAGAGAAATTAGATAAGATTGCTTAAGAGAGTTCTCCATTTCAAGGATTTTTATTGGGATGGTCTTAAGCATTCTTTTATATGAGTCTTTTAATAGGAGCTTTGTTCATCTCTTTGTATTCATAAGAAAATGCTGAAAAACCAATATAAATTATAGTGTATATCCTTTGTATAATTTGTTCATTCCATTTTATAGATGAATTATTTTGTGCATTTAGAAAAAAAGTTCCATTTTTTGTTAAATCTTTTTATTTTATTAGATATTGTGATATTTTTGCAATAATTTTGGGTGCTGCTTTATTTGCAATATATATAGCAACAGAATAAATTTGGATTGTAAATAAATTATATAATGTAGTTAAGCAATTTAATATCAATTTGTATTCTTGGCTCCTTAATTAAATTATTTAAAATAACTTCTCTTAAAGATTGCTTATTGTTTTTCTTACCTATAATGGCAATGGATATATTTTGTTCAATTTATTTGGCATTAAATATAAGATATGAATGGGATAGTTTAATACTAAGATATTTTAATACTCCATTATCTGCATAAATTCCATATTTTAGACATATTTATAAAAAGAAATGTGCATGGGTTTCAATATTCAATATCTTATTTCCAGGTTATAGATAATTTTATATTTTAGGTTTCTTCCTAGCATATGTTCATAGATTTGATAGATTAAAAAAAACATTTGTATATGAAATAGTTAGTTTTTTTGGATTATTAATAGGATTGATTCTTTGGGTTATTGTGTAATATTTAATATCATTTCCTTTACCAACGTAATTTATATAAATATAATTAATAGTTCAATATTTACAGAAGTCTTAATGGTTTCAGCTTGTACTCTAATTGCATTTAGAAGAAATGAATTAAATCTTTTTTGGAGTGGTAATTTTTATGATGAAATATTACTTGATCCATTTAAAAATGAATTGGATAAAAAATCAGTTAAATTAATTAGTTTTTTTAATATAGGAGTTTCTTAAGATTTGAAAAAGAAGTATGCTTTAAATTCTGGAGCAGAATAAACAGCCAATAATTATGAACCTTTTGAATTAGTTAAGGCAAATTAGTAAGGTGAATTGAAATTAGACTCAATTTTATTTGAAGGATTGTAATCATTTTAAGAGATTTATTCATCACCAAATTAAACATATAGAAATAATGATTAGAATATAACTAATAAATAAGATAAAAATATAATTGAGAATCAAAAATAATAATAAGAAATATAAACTGATATTAAAGACTAAAAAGATGTTGTTTAAGTAGACTCTTTAATTTAGAATAGTCAAGAATATCATAATTAAGAAAATCAACCACTCATCAATAATCAAAATAAAGAAGATATTAATATTAAAACAGAAAATCAATAATAATTAAAAGATTATCAAAATCAAAAAGATTAAAATGAAGATAATGTTGAATCTAAAACACCTCCTGATGTTCAAAAGTCTTTAGGAAAACCTAAGATTTCTTTTCTTGAGAGTAAAAAACTTGAAGAAGTTATTATAGAAACACCAATTATTTAATCTAAGAATACTGAAGAGGATAAGAAATAATAAAAAATAGATATCTAAATAGAACTTAAAGAATAATAAAAAGTATCATAGGGAAATCAAAATAAATAAAGTAATCAATAAAATAAAATTGATTAAGTTGAAGAAAAATAAAATCAATAATAAAATAATAAAGTTTACACTTCACCTGCTAGATAAAAGTATTAAGTTAATCCTCCTAAAGCTAAAGAACCTTAAGTTGATCGCTTTCAATAAAAGTAATAACTAAGATATTAGAATGACAATTTTAAAAAAAACTTAGAGTTCTTCCAAAATCAAGAAAAAGTAGGAAATTTTAAGACCCCTGTTAAAAAATGAGCATATTTTGTTATATTAAAATAAACAGACTTTTTATTCTAAATATCAAAAATAATGTATAAGACAACACAAAACTATTCATATGCAGGTAAATAACTGTAAATCAATTTAGATTTGCTATGTAGATAAGGTATTTCAGATAATGGCAGATCAATAATAACAATTGATAAAGAAAACTCTTATGCTCTTTTGCAAAAAAAGAAATAGCTTTAAAATAGAGAAAGCAGCAGCTCAAGTTAATAAAAAAATGAAAATCGTTCGAATAGTGGATTATAGAAATCAGCATCACTTTAACAATTCTATCGTGCTTAATCTGCTGTTGAGAAAAATTCATACTAAAATCAAAAAGGAAATTAATAATAAATCAAAGAAATGAAGAATGTATCATATCTCTTTTTGCTCTAATAAAGTGGTTATAAATTAAGACACAATTAGACAAAATCAACCAAAGAATAAAATAGCAAAGGAATTGAATTTTTATAAAATGATTGTTATAAACAGAAACCAGTTGAAAGTTAGGCTTATAAGAGATTGAATGAGAAATTAGAATATTTGGAAAAAAAATTTAATTAATTAAAGGATTCATTTGTAAATATAAGTGAAAATTAATAAGATAAAAAATCAGATAGAATACAATAAAAACAGTATTCATTAGTATCTAAATACTTTCCTAAGAAGTTTATTGAATAATAAAAGAATAACAGTTAAGAAGAAAGAAAAGTGACCAAAGATATTAAATCCATCTTCAATATTTATTCATAAATAAAGGATATTAAAAGTTCTACTTCAAATTCCTAATTATTGAAATAAACATAAGAAAAAAAGAATGTATAACTATAAGATTTTGTAACATAAATAAAAAGGGATTTTAATAATAAGAATTCTTAATTATTAAAAGGTTCTTATGTTCACTAAACAAATACTAATTTAAATAAATCTGAACGATAATCATCAATGGATGCTAAATATTATTATTTTAATAAACTTATTGAAACATAACCAAATGAACCTGTATAAATTTTAATATATTTAGTTCTTGTATTATATATCGACTGTACTCACAGCTATAAAAAATAAAAAACCTACAGAAATTGATGAACTCATTAAAGATCATTTTTCATAAACATATCAAGTGAATTTAGTTTTGATTAATTTAGGGATTAATATATGCAAGTAGATTAGTAATACAATTTGATCCAGATAAAGTCATCAATTTACCAAGATCCAATAATCTAAAAACGATAGTATTTGATTTAGATGAGACATTAATTCATTGCAATTCAAATGTTTCTATACCAGGAGACATAATATTACCAATCACTTTTCCAAATGATGAAATTGTCTAAGCTTCTATTAATATTCGACCATATGCTAAATAAATATTATAAACACTTTCAAAACATTTTGAGATTATAGTTTTTACAGCATCACATTCTAGCTATGCTAATATAGTGATTGATTATTTGGATCCAAAAAAATAGTGGATTTCGCATAGATTTTATAGGGAAAATTGTCTATAAACAACAGAGGGAGCTTACATTAAAGATTTAAGGTAAAATTTATTTATTTTTAGAGTATTAGGAAATCGAAAATTATCTAATGTTTTATTAATAGATAATGCTTCATATTCATTTAGTAAATAAATTGAGAATGGAATTCCTATAATTGCTTATTATGATAATAAAGAGGATTAAGTAATTTATTTTATTAATTTATAGGAATTATTGCATTTGGAAAATTATTTATTAAATTTCAGACATGTTAAAGATGTTAGAGATTTAAATTAAAAATAATTAAAATTAAAATAGTTCTTAGATTATTAAGATTTTGATGATTTGTATAATAATTTACATGGTATGTACTTTTGATTAGACAATTTATATGTTCTCATAATATTTTGATAATATATGGTTATAGTTGAATTAATGAAAAATAAACAAATATCATGATAATCAACAAAACTTTTGAATTAGCAGTTCTATGGCTTGTTATGTTTTTTCAATTTTTATTTATTATTCTTTTATTAACTAAAATTAATCATATTAAGGAACCAAAGTCTTATCAATTTTATGCTTATTAATCTCTGAAAAAAAATTAGATCTTATTGATATTACTTATGACATAAGTTCTTACTAATCATGATTTATGAATTAATTAGATAAATTCTATATTGAAGTGTCATATTTTTAACATATTGAATGACCTTCAATAACACTTTGAATGAGATTTAATTAATTAATAATTAAAGCACTGTAAGGGTTATCCTTTTGAGTATGTTTTATAAATAACTCAGAAATATGATTCACTGAGTCTATATTAAGGTTCTTAAAACTGTTTTATAGGATGTTTCTTAATTATGTAGATATATCAGTATAATCTAATTTAATGAAGACAGATTCTGTTGAAAATCTCTTCAGATCATTTTTTGTATAATCTTAGGTTGCTTGTTCATCAAAAATGATTTAGTTAGTACTCTATTCTGATGATGTCTACTCATCAGGTTGAAACGTAGGAAAGAGACGAAAAAGAGAATGTTGAGAATTTCTGGGTTGAGCGTTATCTAGAATATGTTCTAGTCTCTTTATTATTTGTGCTAATTGATCAAGTTTATATTATTTCATAAAATTAGTTAACGAACATAGAAAATTTAAAAATGATGAATCAATCAAAAGACAACAAAATCCTAAATAACTTCTAAATATCTTCTAATGTTTGAATGTAACAATGACCAATCTTATGATTGTACTATTAAATCATTTTCAATACTTTAGACAACTAAGAACAAAAATTTAAATTTCTTTTCAAAATAATATGAAATTTGTTATATATGATTTATGTTACTAAAACATTGATATGGATTAGTAAAACATTCAAGAATTACATATAAATCTTCTCTTATTAATATTAAAAGAATGATCAAATAGGAAACCCGCTCTTATCTAAAAATCTAATAATGGTTCAGAAAATAAACTAAGTGTTAGATTCTAAAACATAATAAAGAGAAATAAAAGAAAAAGACAATATGATATATGTAATATCTATATATAATTACTTATTTTGCATTATATTCATAATATTATTATTAATTCTCAAATAATAACAAAAAATAATTAGTAGAATGTATATTGATTATAATTAATGATATATTTCATGGTTTAATATTTTACAATTTTTAAATTGGTTATGATTATTTTATTTATTGTACTAGATTTTTAGGTTTTGCAGAGTGAACTTGAGTAGCTAATATAGTCCATTCTCTTTTTAAATAGTTTCTCCATTCAGTATTTTCGTTATCACTGTCATTTTTATCAAAGTAAATTGTTGGAGATTCACCATTATTTTCTATAGCACAACTTGAATTAATTCTATTGTTTTGATTATAGGTTACTGATTAGTTAACTCTTCCTAATTAATTCTCAATTTCCATTAAAGATTCTTTATATGATTATTATAACAATATTACCTTAATACATAGGGAGATATGATGTTATTGTCTAATCTAATAAGGTTTTCTTTCTTTATGTTTAACCTTTTCTAAAATGACTTACTCTAACAGAATTAAAGCCAAATTCATTTTAATCTTCTTATGATTATGCCTTCTATTAATTAGAATAATATTAATACTTCCTTTTCTGATTAAACTAATATTTATAATTGAGCAAATTAATCTTTATGCTCAACAAAAAATGTTTTGTAGTACATAAAACTTTTTTAAATTTTTTCCCATTTTTAATTGAGATTGAGATTGGATTTGACTAAAATATCATTATTTGCTTCTATTTATTTAATGTATCTTTTTAATTAATCATTTTCTATTTCATAATGTTTACATAAAATCATTTCTCTTGATAAATTCTTTTTAGTTTCCTCTAATTCCAATTCTAATTTACGAACTCTATTTTATAATTAATCTTCTGTTAATTTGATTTATTAAGTTGATCTTTTGGCATTAATTTATTGAATTTAAAAGGCTCTAGCTAAATTCAACTTTGGTACTCGAGATATATTCTTTTATAAATCTTCTTATCTTCCATTTTATTAATATGAATCATTAATTCCAATAGCTCCATCAAAGGTTTAATTCAAAGTTTAATAGTTTTTTTTTTAAACTTAAGGTGCTTTATTAGGAAAAGGAGATAGTATTGGAGAATGCATCATATCTGTATTCATAGGAGATTAAATAGAATTGATTCTAACTGGTAATTCTACAGTGGGTAATCGAGACTCTAAAATAAGTTACTCGAATATTCTATTTACATTAAATTTAAGCTAAGATTTCTAAAAATTCATGTTATGCCTTTTCATAATCTTCATCTAAATCTATAAATTCACCTTAATTTTTCATCTATAAATTAGTTATTACTTTATTTATAAGGGTCACTAATTTTAATTGAATACTCTTTAAATAATTAACTTATAATTATAATCTCACTATCAATTAATGCAATGTTTCCATTTCTTCATGTAATAAAATAGTTGCTGAATTAGGATGAATAACATCTCTATATCTTACAACCACTCCAGTAGTATCATCAAGTTAATCAACCTACTTTTCAAGTTAACTAATCTTTTAGGCTTATTAACTGATAGTATGATTGAGTTCATATATTGTTGACTCAAGCTCAGCAATTAGTTTCTTTTCACTCTTTTCTGCAGCATATGTAATCTCCTCTGAAATAAGGGCTTTGCCTTAAGCAAAATCTCTCTCTTTTTAAACCTTATCTAAAGATGACATCAAATGATCAACTTCTTTTTACTGTTCTGTAATTACTAATTTAAGTGCCTTAACTGTGTTTTCATTCTCATGAATACTCGTTTGTTAATTATGTCTAGGAATGGTAACAACTTGATCAATCATAGAACGCATTGACTACTTATTCAATTTAATGACAGTTTGTAAATCCTCTATATTGTTTCTCAACTATTGGTTCTCCTAATGTAAAAAATCAATTTTGGCTTTCAATTAATGTGGACTTTCACTCATAAAATAATTTATATAATCAAATATCATCCTTATCTTTATCATATTTTATTGTAATGACTCCCTTCTCTACACCAAAATAAGACCATTATCTCTCATAAATATCAGGAATCTAATTAATTTATTCTATACTTTAAATGTAAGTGTAAATTCTCCATATTTTCTTTCACTTTTCTCCAATTATCCTTGATTAATATAAGGTCTTTATTTGTTTCCCTTAACCAAAGTAACAACATTCTGTCTTTGTATATCAACATCCTCATTAGTCAATCCTGGAGCATCCATCAATATTATATACTGATCACCTGCAATAATGTCTGTTGCAGGCTAAAAGGAATCTTATTAACCTGTAATTAAACCACTCATATCAACTTATCCTTAAGGAATTTGAATTTTATCATGAAATTCATTTTCTGTTTTAATAACTTTGATCAAAGGATCATCTGTGTCTTAAAGATCAATTTTGATATTCTTTCTAAAAAAATTAACAAGTTTTTATCTTGATTAAATTAACAAACAATCTAAAACTGAAAAACTTCTGTTTACAGGTATGAAAACAGCTTTTAACCAATATCTAAGAAGTGAAAATACCCAAGGATTTAGACTCTTACCTAAATTACAATCATCATTCACAATACACACGTGTCTAGTATATGGAGTCTTGAACCAAAGTACATGTTTTTCTTAAAGTTATTTATTGATTGGATTTAGAGCAGCTACTTTTGTTTTTTATAGAGTTCCATTTGCATATATTTATGTTACTTATGTACTCCAAACATGTTCTAATATTTCAGGTGATTCAACATCTTTTAAATTATGTATGACTATAATTTCTCTAAATGTCTTATTAGGACTTTGTTATAGATTACGACTAAGTCTATCTAGATATCTTTGATCAAGACTAGTAAAATCATTGACTACACATAAAAAGTAATCTGCTAAATCAAATACTAAATCAGATATAAATGTTTCTGTTGCTTCTTTATCTACAATAGATAATTCATTTTCAATTTTAACAGGACTATATGTTCCAGCTGTGTCCACTAAAATCAATTTTGTACCATTATCTACATTAACATGCTTAAATGAAATGCCTCTAGTTGTAACCTTTTTTCCAGATGGCAAATTACTCATTGTAAGACTGTTCAAAACAAAGGTCTTTCCTTTATCATAAAGTCCAGTTACTGCAACAGTTGCTCCTTCTAATGCTTTAATGTTTATAATTTCTTAGTTAATCATTTTTGGGGACAGCCAAACTTTCCATCCAGAACTGTTTATAGATGTTATAAAATCTATATCAACTACCCAATCATAGATGCTGGTTTCATCTATAATTTGTGTATTTTATTTTTTGAAATCAGTTGGATTTCCTTTAAAGATACCACATTGTCTTTATCGTTTGACTTCACTTTATCTTTAAAATTGATTAACCTCATGTTAGAGTTCATGTATTTCTTTGAGCAATTGAGAGATTTACCTGATTTATTTAGTATCATTTTGTAAGATGGCTTCCATTAATTTATTACTTTCCTTTTCTCTTAGATTATATTCCATTAACACTGCTTCAAACATATCTTTAATACGCATAACATCAGTGGCTCTATTGGTTTCTCGAATGAAATCAGCGAAAACTTGATTGATTTCTTATTTTAATCCTTTAATTGCAAAGATCAATGGTGCAATACGTGAATGTATTTTAGGATTGATATCATCATGAACTTATTAAAACTCTTATTCAAAGTTATCTAAGACTTTAGTATCGAAAAGAGTATCATTCATGGATTTTTATTATTAAGACATAATTTTAATTTCAATTATTAAATTTCAATCATTACCTTCTTCATCAGACATTCTTTATGAAATATCCCCTCTTAATTTCATTTATCCAAAAAAAGAACGTTATGAATTATCACTTGGGAAATCTATCTTCTAAGTTTCTAGTACTACTTTCATAGGGAATCCATTATTTGTTTCTTAAGGATCAATATAAAAGTTATGTGTCGAGAGTGAAATAGATTCTACTTAAGATGATTATTGTTATTATTATTATTGCATTAGATCAGTTCTACGAGCTACTCTTCTATTTGAAACATTCCCATCAAGACTTTATTTATTCTTACGATAAGATGATTATGCAAATGGGAATACTCTTTAATTAATTTGACTCTTTCTTCTATGACGAAGTATATTATCAGCATTCCTTGTATTTAAATAAGCATTCTCATTTATTTCTAACTACCTAAGATTGTTTTGTTTTTGCATTTCTTTGATTCTCTTCTTCACTTTTCTTCTTTCAATTGCTCCTCTTAATATATTACTTATAGAACTAAAAGCAAATATATCTACTGCAAAATGAAGAAATTTCTAATCAACCAAATCAGGAAACTTAGCTTCCCATGATTTTCTAATCTTTCTCAATACTACTTTATCTTCAATTTATTCAATCCCAAGTAAAGCATTCTTTTTTTTTACTGCATTATAAGCTATCTACAAACAAACATCCTTTATATGAATCATCTCATTTTAATATATTAAAACTTAAAAATCACTTAGTTTCTTAAAGATATCAATCTTTTTAAGATGCATCTTGGTTCTAGGATTATAAATATATGCTGATTATTTTTTATGATCTAATATTAAATCAATATTATTACTTTAATTAAAATCAAATAATTATAAACAAGCATTTTCATCCTTAAATCCAAGAGGAGGATTCATCTCAAACATTAAAAATGCAAAATCTTCAGGAGTTATCCATCCAGTTCCTTTAGGATCATAATCAGACCATTTTAAAAAGAAGTCTTCTATTTAATAAGGATTTATGACTGCAGTATTTTCAAGCAAACATTCCTGATATGATTCTATTATCATAGCCAAAAATAATGAGATCATTATTATCCTTATTAATACCAAAAAACTAATAAAATAAAAATATCCAAAAAAGGTACTACATCCTTATACTCCTTCTTTTAATATGTCTTCTGGACTCTAGGAATGACAATAAACTTTATCTATAGTATAATCTGACATATAGAGTGGCCAATATTAACCTGTAGTAATTTCTATTAAAATTAAGACAGCATCCCAAAAATTCTAGAAATTCTTATTTCTTTAACCAATTTCTTAATAAAAAGGATATTAGGCATCTTATGAAGTTGATTTAACTACAGATAATGTTTGAATTCCAATTAATGCATAGACAATAATAATTATAATGATAAATGCAACTACACTTAATAATGTTGGTAGAATTTCTTATATGACATCAATAAGAACTTTGAGTTAACGATTTAATTTAAGTATTTTATAAGTGTTGAGAACTCTTAAACAACGAATGATTAATGGAATCATATACATCTTAGGCATTTCTATTTCACCATTCAATATTAATAAGGCATCTGTAGAAATCAATAATAAGATATCAAATCTATTCCATGAATCTTTGAAATAATAATACCAAAAGGCTGAAAATTTGATAAATACTTCAATATGAAATAATGTAATAAAAATAATGTCTAGAACATAGAATGCTGATTTTGTAGTTTAATTAATTGTGTTACCATTGGCAGAACAACTAAAATATGATAGCATCTTACAATATCAAATTCAATAAGAGTAGAATAAGTATAATCAATTCAAAATACTTATATGTTGCTATAGAGTAACATATTTATCTGAATCGATTTCTTGGTTTTTCAATTAATCTAATTAGATTCTTCTTTTGCATAATATACATCATTTATAACCATTCTCTCTAATGTTCATTGAGAGATTTGTAATTACTTATATTTTCTTTAATAGTTCTATAATTATTAATGATTAAGCCAGTGAATAGATTCAATAGCATAATATTCAAAAGGAATAATAATATATAATATAAGATCTAATAATTGGCAGATGAATTAATTTTAGGATGCATTCCTCTTTCAGTAATGTCTGATACATAAAACATTTAACTTGCCCATCCTTCACCAATAATGATTCTAAACAAACAAAGTAATGAATCTTAAATAGTATCAAAATTAGTTATATTATTAATCCATTCTCCATTTTAATCTAAACAATCTTATTTTGTATAGATGTCATCATATGTTTATACATTTGTACAAAAGTATAATTTGCCTTTCCATATTGTCATACAAAAGATACTTAGAATCCAAATACAGATACCAGTCACAAATATCATGGATGATAATAAAGATATAGTTTGAAATAATGATTTAGATATCAAATTCAATTCTTCACTTTAGGATCCTCTCTAAATATCAATTATATATAATTACTCTAGCAGATGAGAATACTCTTAAAGTACGCAATGCACGAAAAGCTTTTAAATATCCACTATTATAAAGATTTAGATCACTAATAGAACTTACAATTAATATAGCTAAATCAAAATTATTTTAATTATTATATATGAATGCTCTATTAGGTTCATTATGATTCCAAATAAATCCATGAGCTAACATTCTTAATACAATTTCAAATATAAAAATTATTGTAAAGATAACATTAAATTTCTATATTAAATCTTTTTATTCATATATAGGTAGATCTAAACCTAAAAGAATGATATTCAATATTATTATTGAACTCATCAACCATTCAAAATATTTATTCTATATCAATTATTGTATTCTTTTTCTTAAAATGCTTTTGTTATGTAATACAAATAATGCTGAATTCATAAAATATTGCTTATATGATTAATTTGTGCTAATGGATACTTTAATGTCATCATTACTTTTGAAAATTGTAATTTATGGTAATTTTGATGTTTATCTTTGTAAAACTTAATGTTTAGATTCTTGTTCTTCATCATCACTATCATCTGACATTTTAGATAATCTTCCAAAGTATCTTTTCTTATCAATCTAAGAAGAATTTTATTATTATTATTATAACTAAACAGCAGGTACTATTTTTGTTTCTATTAAATTTATTATTATAATAATAATTACTTTACATAGATGAAATAACCCTTTAAGCTCTAGCCTTAGATTTATCAGCTTCATTTTTAGCTTCTTCATAATTATCAAGCATTATAGTTAAAAATGAAGATAAAATGAAGAATCTGCATAAAATTAAAACCAAAATAAAAAATGGATAAGGTATCCAAGATTTTGTTTCTAAAGTTGTGTAAAATATATTCTACCATTGATCAGAACATATTATTATAAATAAAGAGGATACTGTATTTCTAATACTATCAAAATTTGCTCTAGGTAAATATTAACCTTATTTATCATAATTTCCTAATTCATCAAAGGCTAAAGATCCAGCAAAATATTCTCTTCCCAATATTCCTATAACTATCATATATGTTAAGAACACCAAAATTAATTTAGGTATATTTACAAAAGACTTTTATAATGCTTATAATAACACTTTATAGTTTGACCAACTTGTTTATGTATTGAAGAACCATAATAATCTTAAACCTTTAAATGCATAAAGTACAAATGGATTAGTCATATCACTAACTTAAATAATTATGCTAATAAAATCTATTATAAATTCTAAAAGCAAAGTATATTTATTTTCTTTTTATTTCCAAACATATATTCTTGCTATATCTTCCATAATATATATCAATAGAAATACTAAATTAATTATTGTAATTTTATTCTCAAAATTATTATGATATGCTGATTCATCATTTAATGAAAATAAGATTAAATTTGTTATAAATAATAGCGAATAAAAATATTTAACATAATTAGATGATATAATTAATTTAACTTTTATTTTTAATTATGATCTCTATCCTGATTTCTTATGTTAATTTTATATCAATTAAAGAGCTCTTTATTTGCTCTTACTTAAATGACCTGGAGTTAAAAAATATGTTCTACGTCTCTCATTACTAATTTGAATTTTTGTTTAACTCTTTATTTTAATTTTTGGTATTTCTTCAACTTACTAATCCATTTAATATTAATTTAAAAGAATTGCTACTAATAGGTTTTACAAAAAGAAAGTTCCAATAATAATATAAGACCATAGAAAGATTGAACTAACATATTTATTAAATGAATCTGCTAAGTTCTATTACACTTCTACCCAACCTTCAATAAAATGACAAATAAACAAAGTAAGTAAAGCATTTGGTATTTCATCAAAGGAAATATAATCATATTATGTAAATGGTTAATGAAAATATCCACTTTAACATACATATCCATCTGAACATTTTCTACCCATTCCACATAATCTAGCTGGATAGGCATCAATCTATCCATCTTTTACACAATATTAATGCAATTAATCACTCCATATTTGAACTCCCATAGTAGCATAGATATAAGTGAATAAAGTAATTATTATTATGACATAGGCTGTCATCATTAATGCATGTTTCACTGTATTACTTAATTTCTTTACAATTTAGAAATATTTGGTCTAAACTATAAAATCCACTAAAAATAATGCTCTAAATATGTATAAGTAGGATTGTCGTAAAATCAAAGCAAATAATAAACATATACTATTTATGAATGCATAAGGGTCTTTGTAATATCCATATTTGCAATTCCACATTCTAAATTTTAAACTTAACTCATTACCCATAAGAAATTATTGATATCACAATTTAAATGCTAAAAATTACATCACATGAAATTATTATTCCATTTATCACCTAGCTTGATATAGAAATATTTAATCCACTATCTTCATTATTATAAGGCTTAACAATTAATACACATACTACTATAATTGACTAAAGTTATTTAAAATAATTACTAATAGAGAATGAATCCATTAAAATAGTTTGGATTAACAGATTTAAATACAAAAAACTCGAAGCCTATTATTTAAAGCAAAATAATCCAATGAAAATCTACAATAAGGATTATCATCATCATCATATTTTATCAGATTCTCATTCGATTCTTTAGGATTATCTGACTAATTTACCTATTTCCGAATCTCAGTAGCTGTAGTATCTCCTCTTTTGTCTAAAACTTAAATCCTAATTTACTTTAGTAATTTGGTATAATATCAAGTACTGATGAAAGTACATCTTTTTCATACTCTTTTGAACCATCCTTTGCTGATTTATTTTTGAAACAGTTTAAAAATTATTAAAACATAATATAATAATAATATATTTATCATTCTTTCAAAATTGATGTACCCACTATATCTATTAATTCTAATTCCCCATCTAATCTCAATATCTCAATAAGATTTAATTAATTGATCATTTTCTTAACTAATTCTTTATCTTACATATAAATCTATTTCAATCCATTTATTAAATATTTATAAACAATACTCTTTGAAGAATTAATAAATTAAATTCCTTAATAGATCATTAAACTAATTTATTCTAAACTTTATTCATTGAATCTTTATTTAATCATCTAAAGAAAACATACAATAATTCCTAACATTATTTTAGATTAGTATTTTATTATTATCTCTTCATTAATTTCTTCCTTATTCTTCTAATTTTCAAATTATTTTTGGATATCTTCTATTTTCTTTATTTTGTCCTATAAATCTTATAAAATCAAATCTTTATTTATAATTAATCTTAATTATTTTTATAATTCTTAAATTAAATGCTAATCATCAATTAATTTCATAAGTATATTAATACACAACTCTTAACATTCTATGTGATCATCACTAAAATGAAATAAACAATTTTGAATAATTTAATCATTAAATTAAGTTATTTTATTCTAATACATGTTAACTATATGATACATTAATAGAAATCCATTATATCTTACATCAAAATTGATTTCAAACAAAGAGCAATTTTAAGAAACTTTTAATATTTCAATTATAGGTATATCTTAATAAGGATAGTATTAAATAATTGATTAGAGTGTTTTCAAACCAGATCTTCTAATTCTCCAATTTCTACTAATAGTTGAATAACAGCATAAAATTACACATTCATTCAATCTTTTTTCATTAATAACATTTATTAATTCAGTTTAAATAACACCAGAGAAATGTGGAAATAATTATTAAACAACAGATTCTGATACCTTTCTTAAATCATCACAATGAGAATTCTTGTATAATAGTATTAAAAGTTAATCTTTTTCTTTAGGATTAAGAGTCTTTAATTCATTTAAAGCTTGAATTCTAATTTCTAATGATTCATCCATCAGACCTGCTAAGAGTGTTGCATGTATAAGTTCTTTAAAAGTTTAATTTTCTTATAAATTAACTAAGTGATGTATATATTTCAAAGCATAAGATCTAACTTACTCATTTTAATGTCTAGCAATTCTTTGAGTTATTTCAATAAATTCAATAGCATTATTAAAAATGAAATTATGATTACTTAAGAATATTTCCATAGTCTTTAAGAGTCCATTTATATTAATGCCTTATTTATTGATGAAGTAATATTTTATAAGAGATGTTGGTTCAACAATCCTTATTAAATTATTAAGATCAGGAAATGGAGCATTTAATAGAATAGAGGTGTATTCAAATCCTTATTGAGGAGTATTTAATGTAAAATCCCATCTAATATTAATGAGAAGTGATTCAATAACTTGTTTATTTAAAGATGAAAAATCATATTTCTTATGGATTAAGTTTGAAATCAAAGAGATAGTTAAATTTTATACATCTGGATTTGAATGTAGTAATAAGTTTATGAATTAATTTTGCAAGAGTGGATATATATTGTATTCTTGTTAAGCGATTTGCTTTTTATTAAGTGTAAAAGTAATACATTGAAAATAAGGAGTGCATTAGATAAAGTTTATGGATTATCTAAGAATTGTAGAGCAATCTAATATAATTATTAGCTAGAGTAATTTGATTGATTTAAATCCTATTATTGTAAGGTATTATTATTTGTTAAATGTATGTCCATTGAATATTATAAATTAATTAAGAAAAATGTAATAACATTAGGAATTAAGTTTTGGATAAGTATTGTCTATTGAGATTGCAAAGATTGGAAATTACAAGAATATGTTTGGAACAAAAGCTTTGACTTTAGTACTAATACACTTTATATCATTGATGAGTTTTAATTTGAAATTTGAAAAAAACTAAGGATATGAATATTTTACTCATGTAAAACTAATTACTATTGTAGTTTTTAAGTGTATTCACAAGGCCTCCAGATATATTATTCATACCAATCAGCATTTTGGTTTTGATACTATACATATTTTTATATGGTTGTCTATTGTTGATGTCATACTTGCAATATGAGAATTAGAACAAGATAACGATGTCGAAGAATAAATTCAAGAGATTACATATGATGTTGTCGTTGGGGATTGAGAGTGCAGTGTGGCTTAGTTGTCCAATAGTAGACACTTGATTAAATTCTAGTTATCTATCAACTTGGGGTTGTTCAATAAACAAAGTAGTGCCTGGAGTGCAATGCCAATCGTAAACATATTTCTGCACTCTATCATTGTGTTAAGTTACTTCTACTTCTATCGCAGTTATCAATTCAATTAATTAGGATTGTATAGAACATTCAATCTGGCATCTTATTGTTACTATTTGATTGTGATATTTATAGTAGCAATAGATTGGAATACAGATTTATAGATTCAGCCATATATATTTTGGTTACTAAGTATATTCAAATTGATAGACATAATATTATTTTTGCCATATAAGATGACATTTGAAAACAAAGTATATATGTTTGGATGTACTGGATTATTTATAGTATCTTTATTGGGTTCTTTATCATAAATTACATCCTCTATAAATGGGGACAATATATTTGAGATATTCCTATTAGCATTTCCAATATTCTTTTATTTATTTAGATAGTTATAAAGTTGGAAATGGTAGGATTTGATATTGTATATGAGAAGTGGTTCAATGAAATAGATGGATATAAAGAAATTGTGTTCATCATTGGAAGCACTTGTATGGTATATAGAATAGGCTAGAATGGATTCATATATATTTATGTTATCACTTTTTGTGTTAAAATATCATATTGAAAATTGTAATGATCCTAATTGTGAATGCAAAGAAGATTTATCTAAATCTAATACTTAAAATGGAGAAAGTATGACTCATAGATCATCATTTCAATCTAGAACAGCTTTATTGAGTAATGGAGATAAAAATAGTAATCCATAAAACATATCTCAAAATTTGGATGTCAGTTAATTTCAAAAAACTATTAAAGATGGAAGTCGTAAAAATGATTCATTTGTTGGTGGTATATAACCATAATATGAACAATAAACAATAAGGGCAACAAAAGCTATTGTATATTAACCAATGAAGTTTATTTAGAATAATATAATAAATGAAGATCTTATATCATAATATGTGAAAAGATAATTTCATTAAACAATTTAATAATTATCATTTTCATTACATTTAGATGAAGTAGAATATTTATCATTGAAATATATTTCTTTTATGTTCTCTTTCAAATAGAATAGTCTTTCATCTCTTACAAAACTAAAACAAATATAAAGTAGAACTGTTTAATTTTCATATTTTTTTCGAAATGTTACAAAAGTAACAGAATCATAATTTATTGATGCTCTTAAATTAAAACATTTTGAAGATAAAAATTCTTATGATGATGTTGTAAAAATGAATGTAACTGAAATTTGGAGATTAGAAATGGTTAAAGATGATATTGTTAAAAGTATTGTATCTGTTTTGAGAAAAAAGATAACATTATGGGAAAATTTGTGTTCTGGTGATATTCAAAATATGAATAGATTTTTAGAAGATATTATTAAAATATCACTTTAAATAGAATAAAGTAGAAATAAAGTTGATTTGATACTTAGTGATTTTACAAATCAAGTTCAAAGAAATTATAGTTATTATCTAAAATATTAATGTTTTAGATCACTCTTTTTTGATTCAGATTATAAATAAGCAGTCATATATTAAAGAAAAGTAGAAGATTCATGGTAATTAAGTAGAGCTGCTCAAAAATAAGGATAGATTGGTAATTTTTAATGGCTTTCTGGAGATTTAGTAACTTTAGAAGTGAGTGCTGGAGTTTAAAGTGGTTAAATTATTAAAGGTGTATCAAATCGATTAGTTGATATGTTAGGATATTCTAATTATGAAGACATGATATAAAATTTACGTATTAGAGGTCTACAATCATCTCATTAAAATTAGAATTCAGATAAATTATAAATTTCTAGTATTATGCCACCATATTTAACTGCTTCTCATAATTATTTCATTTCTAGATTTATTCATAGAGGTTATACATATTATTATGATAAACCAATTACTTCTTATGCATGTGATTCTTAAGGTTTTGTATTTCCAGTCAATATCAATTTATCATTTAATTTTTAAAATCTATCTGATTTTACACTCTTAGGATCAATTTTGAAAATTAAAGATGATGATGAATATCTTATATTTGATGAATGGGGACGTATATTAGGTGTATCTATGCATACATTTGATAAATTGATATTAAAAGGAGCTTTAGATGAATTTGGTATTGTATAATATAAATCTGTTAATTAAAAATTTGAAAAGCTTGGAAATCTTAAAAATGCATTACTTAATAAAATAGCCAGAGATGATAATGCTAAATTATTTAAAAAAACTATCACTATGCATTAAAAATAAAGTACAACTAAAAGTCAAATAAAAAGAACATATTAAAAACCATCTGATATTTTATTATAATTTGGAAGCATTTAACATTTTTTGCCATAAGTTGGAAAATCTATTACAGAATTATTGGCTAAAGATATCTTTAAAAAATTATAAAGAGAATCTTAAGAATAATTTAATAAATTGACAGATAATCAGAAAGTTTAAGAAAACTAATAATAAAATAATAATAGATTATTTGAAAAATAAGCCAGCAACATTTTTTAAAGATAAATTAGTTAATTTATTGATAAATAATAAAGTTTAAATTAAGGAGGATTGTCAAGTGCTATGTTAGATAAAGATTAATATAGAAACTTCATTATGAATAATTTTATTGATGATAAAGGATTGATGAAAAAGAATACATCATTATTATAGGATGAAAGATTGGTACTTTATGTTCCTAGAAATTATAATGAATTAATTGAATATTTTAATGATGCAGGTGAAAGATTTATGGAAAGTAAAAATGATATGGAAACAAAATCTATACGTAGATAATAAATGTAGAATAAATATTCATACATTAAATAACAATAGAATTGTTATCATTTATTTGATGCTGAATTCTAAGATTTTATTGATAATAAAGTAAGAAAATACTATTCTAAAGCTTTATTAAAAGAAGCATTAGATTCTCATGATGCCAAATTACTTTAATAAGTAAGGTACAAGTGTGTTTCATCAATTGATGTAGGTGTTGGAGGAGTAAGTGACAAAGATTAATTCTTATATTTTGTTTGTAAATTATCTTCATTGAATCTATAAACAGCCAAAAGAAAGGATGTATTAAAAATACATATGAAGAAAGAAAAAAATCAATAATTTGATGGAGGAGAAGAATTAAGAAAAAGTTTGATTTAATAGGTATCCTCTATGGATTCATTTGATAAAGAAAAACCAAGAAAATCATTACCTTATTAATAATAGGAGAGTTTTGGTCCTCCTTAATAATAAATTAAATATAAAGGAGAAATTGATTAACCAATTATAGTAACATTGGCCATTCCAGATAGCAGAACATATTTATCTTCACTTGATAGAGATGATGGACCAAATATGAAAGTTAAATTTGAAGCTCAAAATTAAAAATTAAATGACTCCTCTTTTGATATTGATAATTCAATGAAAGAAAGTTTTATTCCTAATGGTGGCAATCATTCTATGACTTAATCATTAAATTTAAATGTCCCATAATTAATGAGATAAAATTCTATTGAAAAAATTAAATAATCTTAAAATCAAAATAAAGAATATCTAAAAGAATAATCTAGTAGTCTTTCAGAAAAAAAAGAAGAACCTCCTAAAAAAAAACTTAAGTTATCTTTTTTAAAAAAAATGGAAAAGGCTCTTGTACCAAAAGATCCTCCCTCTGAAACACCTACAACACCAAATGGTCCTTCTTTTTTATTAACTTAATAAAAATAATAATAATAATAATAATAATAATAATAACCTAAAGAAATATAACAACTTACAGAATTACAATAACCAGAGAAATAACCTTCCTCATTTTCTGTACCAGAAGAAAAAAAGAATTCCTTGTTTAATCCTTTAGGGTTATTTGCTAAATTATTTGGAAGATTAAATCTCAGAAGAGTATCAAATCTTGAAATAAAAAATGATTAATTTGAATCATAAGAACAAGGTTTCAGAGAAAATTCTGAAAATTCAGAAAAAGGAGATATGAAAAGAAGTGGACATAGTACTCCTTCAGGAACTAATTCAATGTCTAGTAATAATATAACAAGTTAAGGAGATTAATAAGAAGATGATGGAGAATTAAATAATGATGATGAATTAGTTAACATATTTGAAGTAATGAGTTAAGCATCTAATCATTAATCTATAAAATCTATATCAGCAATTTCAATGGCTACTAATATATCATTAAGATGTCTTAAATATTTACCAAGATAAGCTAAATCATTATAAATTTTTAAGATAATTTTAATAATCTTAAATATTTCATGTATTACTAGTTTATTATTAACAACATAAAATTATTTTGATAATTTAAGTGTGGATAGTCTTAGTTTAAGGATTAATAATTAATATCGTTATTCTGCTATAATACTTTAATCATCAAATTAAATTGATTAATAATCAATAATTAATTTTGATCAAATTCCTAATATTACTTTAATGAATCAAATAATTTCTTATTGTTATAATCTTAGTTTAAATATTAGTCAATCTTATTTTGATGTTATTGATTCTATATAAAATGCTGTTTAATTTCCATTACCATAATTAGATGTATTATAAATTCCAGATGATTATTACATAGTTTCACTTTAATAGTTTTTAACTCAATAGAAAATTGAAATTGATTCTATTGAATTCATCAAAACTTACAATAGAAGTGATGCATCATTCCAATAATTGTATAATAATTCTATTGATTATTTACTAAATAGACTAGTCTTCACTTAATCATAAATCAATAATATGAGTTAACAATTAAGAACAAGTAAAAATAATAATGTTCTAAATAAAGCTCTAATTGTAACATATCTAATGGTTAGCTTTGGTGGTTTACATTTAATAGTAATTCTTTTGATTGTTCCTTTTATTAGATAAATTAATAATATATATTTCCGTGTACTCTGTATTGTAAGTAGAGTGACACAAGAAGAGGCTGAAGATGAAATTAAAAAATTAACACTCTCTTAACATTTACTTGAAACTTAAGATGATTCATGGGTTACTTAAAATCAAATTAAACTTATTTTTTATAATAAAAGTAAGGAAATTGATTTAAATGAAAAATATACTAAAAATGGTAATATCAAAGCAAAAGGAAAAGAAAGTTCATATTTTTATTCAAAATTAAGTGATACTACTTTAAGTATATGGAAAGATATGGGATTATACATAATGATATCATCTATTTCTATAGGTTATTTAATTTTTTCTATTGTTATTATACAAACTTAAATAAATACATTTACTCCTTTTATTGATAATTTTGATGAAACTGTTAGTACAAGTGTTTATACTACTAGTTTAATTTCAAAATTATCGATTACTCCTTAAAGATATTTAAATTTATAATCAACCAGTATACCTACACAATTTACTTTATTGAATTTCTAATAAAATTAATAGATTTCCTATTTCTTATAAACAATATCTTCAGATACTAACAAAATAAAATCTTTTATTACTGATATGTCAAAGTTTTTAGAATAATTAAATTTAGATTATGGATATGATTCTAATTCATCAAAGATTTTAATAAATTCTGAGAAATATTAATCAAGATTACCATATATTTAACAATTAAGTGTATTGAGTGAAATAAATCATTTACTTAAAGACAATTTATGTTATTATTCTTAAGAAACACTTTGTTAATAATAATTATAATTTGATTATTTTGATACTGGTTTAATGGGTGCACTAGATATCCTATAGAAGATGTAATTTAGTTATTAATCATTTTTAAATGAGTATCATTAAATACAATATTCAGATTAATAGAATAATACAAATATAATTAATGCTTATTATAATTCTTAAGATTATAAATTTTTAGTTATGTATGGATAAGAATTAATTTTTAAGACATTTAATAGATTACTATTATTATTGGAAACTTTCTTGATTGATGAAAAAGAATCAAAAAATTAATTAATTTAGAATTTATTTATTGGCATAGGTATACCAATTATGATTATGACAATACTTTTGGCTGTTTTAGAAATGAATTTACTGAAGTAAAAAGTAAGGAGAGTTATGTTATCTCTTACATTCCTGCCTACATTTAAGTTTTAGGATAAGATTGTTCTTTCCCTCATTAAGGCTATTCTCAAAATTTGAAATTAGGGATTTAATTATATATATTTTACAATTTTTAATTACATCTTAATACATATAAAATTAATATTTTATAAATATATAAAGAACTTATATCTCATATTCATATATTTATTTCCACTGCAACAACTTACTTTTTCAACAATTTTAACCATCATTTCTAAAAAATTAGATATAATAATAGAGATTCTGAATTTTTGAATAATAATTATTTTCTCTTAGATGAAATAGATCTTTCCATATTTAGCCTAGTGATGTGGAAAAATATTTAATAGATGAATCATTAATTAATACAAAAAACTTAATTGAGAAATCAGTCACTTCTTAAATTTCTTTATCCCCAAAATGCCTGCAATTGATAATTTATTTTTATTAATGGCAATTAAGCCTATCCTTTTTTATCCTGGTTTCAAAATTCCTATGACAAAATTATACTTTTAAATGTCTTAAGAATACTCTAATATTTAAATAAATATAAGCACTACCCATGTCTAAATATACAGAGGGAGTCTCATTTAAATCGGTATCAATAGAAGTCCTTTTACTCCATAAAGACATTAAAGTATTCTAACCACTCTCTTATTTCTTTTCCATTTACTTAATTTTATTAATTTTGATGACATCTAACAAATTGTCTATTAATCTTGAAATTATGATATATCAATCATTAATAATGCGTCACATTATTTTGCATAATTAATTTTAGTAATTAGTTATGGAAAATTTAAATAATTAATACTGATGTATATTAATTAAAAATATTTGTTAAATACTTATTATATCTATATATTTAGTTAAATTATTATTTATTTAGGCATTATACTTATTAAACAATAAATATTTTATAATGCCCTTATATGATGTTTATAACATTATTATACTTATCTATTTTACTAATTATTTATATTCTTAATTAATTCAGTTATATTTATAATTTTAATACTAATACAAAAAAATTGTAAATTGGATATACATAATCGCTTAAAATGAATTAAATCATATAAATTTCTTATATTCTAAAAATACTTTTGATAAGACCATATACAAATATGGAATGATGAAAATAACATAGTATTCTCACTGTCTAATATATTAAAATATTTATTAACATTATATATTATAATATTGTTAAAAGATAACATACTCTATTATGAATTATTTTAGACTATTTTATAGATTTTTAATTAAATTCAATAATAGAGTGCTTGAAATAAAACCTCATTGAATTTAGCTTTTGTACATTAATTATTAATAATTTTCATATCAATAATACTTATAATTTTTTCAATTATTATAATTTATGATTAATAAAGTAATTATAACTAGGTGATATGGAGAATAATAATATATATTATTGTGAAGTTATCTAATAATTTCAAGTTTTTTTAGATTTCAAAAATATAATTCTAGTAGAAAATGTAAAATTTCTTAATTTAAGTTATATGAGATTTATTAAATAAGTTGATATGAATTTTTTAATTATAATATTTTAAAAGAATTTAACAATTAAAAATGATAAATGAAAATATTTATTTTTGCATTTATCAGAAAGTTTCTTTTTTTATTAATTTCATTTGTTGTTTTTAAAATATATAATATACATTTTATTTATTGTTTATGGAATTGGAAAATATGGCATAACCATCTTTTATTTTAAATTAGTTGAAATAGAATTAATAACCTGTATCAAAGAGCTAAAAATTAGAATTGGATATAAAATAAAGCAATCGCTTTTCTTTACCTTCTAGCAATTAAAATATTAAAGCATAAAATTCCTATATTTATTGTATAAGATATTTGAGCATGTCTAAGAGATTTAAAATTGAACATCTAAAGGATTCAAATTTTGTAGAGGCCATATAAAATATTTAAAATCTAAATGGAAGAGTTAAGGTTATGGGAACTATCTTTAAAATTATGAAATTGAAACCTTATTATTTTTAATAATATACAGAAATAAAAATAGCGGGTATTCTAGAATGTTTATTTAGATTCTATATAAAATGAAGAAATATGTTATTTAGAGGATAAATCAGGCAGAATTAAATTAGAATTTACAAATTGTTAACTTAATCTACCAAATAATACTTCGAAAACAATAAAAGTTGAAGACTTAATAACAGGAATAGTTGTTATGATAGAAGGATAAATTGTTGGGAATAATATAGTAAATGTATAATGCATTAATTTGCCTGATTTTATTGATCCTCCTATTTATAAACCTTTAAATTAAACAACATATGTTTGTTTGATGTCTGGATTAAATTATGATTTAGAAAATAATACTACAAAATTGAGACATTTGATATAATATTTATAAGGAAATTTGTATTTTGGTTATGGAAATGAAGTAATTATAATAATTATTTCAGGTTTCGTCAAATATATCATTAATAATAATTGCAGGTAATTTATATGGAAAATAAAGAGATGCAAAAAGTTGTTTGACAGGATCTATAAAATAGCTATAAGATTTTAAGCAACTTTATAATTAATTACAAGAAAATATTAAGGGAGTAGATGAATTACTTAATGAATTAGCTAATATTATTCCAGTTGCTATAATGCCTGGATAAAATGAACCAGTATCATAAATGTTTCCATAATCACCTTTGCAAAGAGCTCATTTTGGAGAGAGTTTTGAAAACAATACTAAAATAAAATTTTTAACAAATCCTTCAGAATTTAATTTGGGAAACATTCATTTTGTTGGAACAAGTGGATAAAATATTTAGGATATTAAAAAATAATAAAATATAAAAGATTAGTAAGATATAGATTTAATTGAAATGAATTTATTTTATGGACATTTAGCACCTACATTACATGATACTTTAATGTAATATAAGAATATATTATTTAGTTAATAATAATAATTTACAAATGATCCATTTATTATTGAATAATTACCAAATATCTATTTTGTTGGTAATATGAAAAAGTTTGGAACAAAGAGATTATCAAATAATTTAAGAATTATTAGTATTCCTTAATTTTCTGAAAGTGGTATAATTTGTTTAGTGAATTTAAGTACATTTGAATGTTTTTCTTTTGAAATCTAATGATATATAATTATTAATAAATATTTCTTTATTTCAATGAATTGTTATCATTGAAATATATTATAATAAGAGTAGATTATAAATAAAATGGATTGAACATTTAATATGTAAATAATAATGAGTTTTAATGACTGTTTGAATTATTTATTTTAAATTCAAAAATGGATAATTATAAGAAATACCTCTTTGATGAGAAATTTCAAGAACCTTAACCTCGCAATACCTATTCATTTTAAGCTTAAGAAAGCTAAGAAGAATAATAAATAGAATCAAACTTTGATGATGAGTATAAAAGAGATTTTCTATCAAATCAAATAAAAAATGTAAAAGAGAAACTCATAATGATGGGTTTTCCACCTTTAGGAGATTTATATAGTAATAATAACTCTGAAGTAGATCTCACAATTAAATTGTATTAGTTTATTATATATAAAATAGATTAGTTGCAATTATAAAATAAAGAAGGGAAGATATGGATTTCAAAAACTCATATCATGAGAAAATGAGTAAAATTGAAGCAGAGAAATAATAGTTATCTTAAAATTTAGAAAGAGTTACTAATAATCGTAAAATACTTGAATAAGAAAATGCTAATTTATAAGCAAAAATTAAAAGTGCAGAGAAGGTTTAGAAAGAATAAATGTATATATAGTATTTATTAATTTAGAAATAAATTAATGGCAGAAAAGGAAGACTATTAAAAATAATTATCAAAATTATAAAGTCGTTCAACTTAATTTGAACATGAATTAAAATAACGTGATCTTGAAATTTAAAAGATTAAGGAACACATTAAAAAATAATAATCATCTAAAACTTATAAAAATAGTGTAGAGATTACATAAACAATAGAATAAGGAGGACCTAGTTTATTTGCTGCCAATGGAGAATATGAATTTAGTTAACTTGTAATGAAAAAATGGGAAGAAGTCAATAATAAATTATTAAGAGAAAATGAATAATTAAGAGAGAATTTAATTAAAATTCATAATGAATTAGGTGAAATCCTTTAAATTAGAAGAGAAGTTTATTTAAAAAGAAGAAAAATAGATTTTGGAGATGAAAATATTCCTTAAGAATTAGATAATCCTTTATAAAATATGCATCAATTTAAAACTGATTTGTATAAAGCTCCATTAGAAACAAATGGTAAATAAGCCATTTAAATGCTTACAGAAAATTTATAAACTTTTAAAGAATTAATGAAGAAATTTGATTAATAATATGAGTTGCAAATGAATGAAGATGATATTGAAATTGAAGGAGAAGGTGGAAAGATTAAGGCTTGTAAAAATTTGACAGAATTATTTAAGAATTATAATTATATATTTGATGCCTAAGATAAAATGATTAGTTAAATTATCAATAAGAGTTAAAATCTAAAGAAAATTGATGAATTAAACTTTAATTTGAATAGATTTAATAGAGTATTAGATGATAAATAGATTGATGATGTAAAGAAGTATTTATAAGATCAAAAGAAATATTTGGATGAGTCTAAAAATGAAATGGATATGATTAAGAAATAATTTTAATAATAATTGAAAAAAAGAGAAGAAGAAAAATAAATAATTTAGGTATTAAATTAGTTTGATTTTTAATTTAGATGAAAAAATAAATGCTTGAAGAGACTAATGAGAAATTTAAAGAAAATATTAGATTATTAGAAAATGCAAGCAGATAGGCCCTTCAATAACTTAATTAAGAATACAAGTGATATAAAATTAAAATATAAATTATCACAAATTCATTATTATCTGTATTAATATACATACATATAAATGAATTGATTTAAATTATATGATCAGTAAATTAAATAAGATCTTATATGTTTTTATATAAGTTATAACAAAATTATTGGATCAATTGATAATCAAAATTTACATAGTTATCATTGCTTAATATTGTATTTGCTATTGTTGATTTCTTATTTTTTGAAAATATTAACTTGTATTTACTATTAAATTATTATTTATTGTTCTTCATGGATTAATAGCACTAACCTAGGAATAACAAAAAACGATTAACAATTTCCAAAGAATTGGCTTAAAGAAAGTAAAGCATAATTTAGTAATTTTAATGTAATCTAATGTTTTTTATTTTGATTAGCTGGTACTCAAATAGTAAAGTAAGATTCTTCATCCAAATTGATAAAACAAGAAAAATAGAATAGAAAAGAATCTATAGATTCATCCTTAAATTCTCGCTCATCTTTCTAAAAATAAAAAAAGTTTTTTATTTGCTTTAAAAAGTAGAAAATAAAAAGATAAAGAATCAGATGGAATCCAAGAATATAATTTAAATTCATCTGATTATTCAGAAGAAACTATATTAACCGTATAATATGTTTCATATGAATCAAGAAGAACATCAAAAAAGTTTATTTCGACACTCAATGAAAAAACTCAGAATTTAAATTCTTAATTTGATTAAGAAATCAAGGAAGTAAAAGAAAAAGATAATCTATTGAAATTTGCTAAATTATTTTAGTTGGATTAAGAAGAATCATAAGAAAATGAAATAGCATACAAAAAAATAATCAAAAGATATGATAAACAATATCAAAGAAACCCTTTTTAAGATCCTTATTACATCTAATTAGTACCATTAACTGGTTTGAGTCGATTAATTTATGAATTAAAGGTAAAAATAAAATTATAATATTAAGAAATATTAAGATAATGCTAAATTTTTGTAAATTCGCAAAAGCTTAGTTTTTCTATCCTTAGTATTTGCTATCTTAGCCAAAGAAATGATGAAAAGTAGAATATATAAAATTTTAATGACAATCTTAATATTATTTAATGTTGTCTTATTTATAGTCGTTAAGACATAGCATAGAGAAGATACTTTTGAAATAGAATAGGTAATAACTATATTATTTATAATTGAAATTTTGGTTAGAATATTTGTTTCAGGATTTTTCTTTACAAAAAATGCGTTCTTTAGGAATATTTAAGATATATATGATTTCACATTGATATTTGCAACTACTATCAATCTTTATTATCCAGAGATTTTTATTATAGATATATCACCTTTGAGAATGATTACACTTCTTTTCTATCTTGGAGACATATTTGTTGGTTTGGGTGTTATGCTTTTGGCTTTGAAATAGTCAATTAAATTTTTATTAGAAGCACTTATGATAGTTGGACTCTTTTCTTTATTCTTTGCAATTTGTGGAGTTTTTTTATTTTAAGGATTATTTAATTTTAGATGTGAATATGATAATGGTGATGAAACAGATGGATGGGTATAATGTCATTAAAATTAATGTTATGAAGATGGCATGACATGTAAATATACTGAAGATACTCCTAAAATGCCAACATCATTTAATAATGTAATCTATTCATATGGTTAAATTTTGAGAACTATTACAATGGATGATTGGAGTTGGGTAATGTTTTTTACAATGAGAATATTCCATCCTTAAGTATGGATATACTATTTAGGAATAATATTTTTGTGTGGTTTTTTTGGTTTTAATTTGGTTATAGCTGTGTTAAAAACTCATTATGCTGAAGCTGCAGAAGAAAGTGAAAAACAATAAGAAAAACTTAGGATTGATAAATTGATTAAAGATAATTAAGAATATCCAGAGAGAGAATTAGTAAATGTTTTTGATGTTGCTTTTTTAAGATATATAGGGTTTTTTGCAACTATACAAAAATATCGAGAATCTTTTTAAAAAAGAACTATTCTTAGTTGGAATCTAGAATCAGAAGCTTAAATGAATAAAACTATTATTGAAGCTAGAACTTTATCAGCAGCATAGAAAAAATTAAGTAATTAATATGTAATAAATAAATAATATATAATAGAATGTAGAAAATCAAAGTTTTTAAAATAAATTAAGAGAACTTACATTAAAGAATCTTTTATTAACTAAATTTCGTTTATTGAAATAATAATAGAAAAAAATAAATATCAAAAAATATTCAGATGATCCAATAGAATTAGAAATTTTATAAAAATTATAGAATTTTTCATATTCATGTTTATAATCCTAAGTGAATTATTAAATTGAATAATAATTTACAAGTTAACATGATATTTTGTTAAAATTAATGTATATATTAATAATTTAATTAATTAGTGAGATTGATTTAGCATTATAAGAAGAAAAGAAATTCAATCCAGAAAAATTAAGAAAGATTAAATTTAAACATTAATATCCTGATTGGTAGAGTCAAGTATAAAAGATAAAGTAATAAGCTCAAAGATCTATTCAAATAAAAAATAATAAGTTTCCTTGTAGATATAAAAAACATAATAAATGGAAAACAATTATAAAGATTGAAGATGAAAAAGAATAAGAAACAAGTAAAAATTCAATTGATGCTTTTGAAAGATCTCCTGAAAAGAAATTTAATTTTTGTTTTGATAAAAATGTTTCAATTTAAAAAAAGTCAAAAAAATTTGCAAAATTTGTTAATGGTGAAAATGTTGTTTATGTTCAAGGTTATTACATTACTTATTAAGAAATAAAAGATAAAATAAATATTAAAATACCAACATTAAAAAATAATTAAACTAGCAATCAATTTAAATATAGAAAAATAAGAGAGAAGGAACTTTAAAATGGAAAATTGATTACTTCTAGTAATTGGTCAGGTAAAGATGTTTTAATTCTAAATACAAAGAATTTAGAAATGTTTAGTCATATATTCCTATAACTTAATTAAAAAGATCTTTTAATATGGATGAAAGGTCTTAAAGGTATGTTTTTAAATTTTAACAAACATACAAATAAAATAATTACTAGTTCAACTAGTTAAACATTTTTTGATTTGATAATTTTTATTAATTTTACTTTTTTAGCACTTTGGAATATTGTTGATTCTACTACTATCCATTCAGTTGAGAATGCTTCAACAATTATTCTATCATTTGAATTAGGTCTAAGATTAATATCAATCCCAATAAAATAATTTACTAGTAATCCAAATTATTTGTTTTAAGCAGCAATAGTAATTTTAAATATAATTGAATTAACTATAAAAGATTTATTAATTGATTTAGGAGAATAGAATTTGAGATTAATTCGAGGTACAAAATGCTTATTATTTTATCGATGTCTAAAATATAATGCAATGGCTGTTAAAATAGGTCATATAGCTTCAATGACTTTTAAATAATATATCTATTTGACATTTTTAATGTTCTTAGTTATTTTTATGTATGCTTTAGTAGGAATGGAGATGTATGCTAGTGAATTTGATTAAACAGATTCTTTAGGATAATTACATTCATATGATAATATATTTAAGGCATTTATGACAATATTTAATATAATGACAAATGATGATTGGTATGGAGTCTATGTGATGGGTAGTGATTTAAATTACACTTTTGCTGTAATCTATTCATATTCTATGGTTATCATATTGAATTATTTAACTTATGGTTTATTTATGGCTATTCTACTTGATGGTTTTGGTAAGTATCTAAATTAATCAATTGATAATACTCATATATTTAAATCTGAAGAACATGCTCAATTGACTATGAATTCAAATGAGGAATTAGAATAATAAATTTATTAAACAATCCTTAGTCCTCAAGCATCTTAAACTAATATAATGTTGGAATAAACTTAAACATAAGGAAAATCAAAGGTTGGCCTCATTACAAACTTTCTTAAATCAATTAGTACTTATTATTTATTAAATAATTATAGGATCTTTGAATAAAGAATTACTTAATAAATCACCTAAACTCTATACAGGAATTGAATGTCAAACATCCCTTTACATATTTGAAAAAAATAATTATTTTAGAATGATGTGTACTAAATTAGCTACATCAAAATCGTATATATACTTTATGGATTTAATTTTATATGCTTCTTTAGTTACATTTATAATGAATACATATTATGATTATGAAGACACTAACAATACTATTTGTGATTACATTTAGTTGATTATTAATATTCAAATGTTTTTAGACATATTGATAAATATTATAGCAAAAGGTTTATTTTTAGATAAAGGATCTTATTTTGTATCAGTATGGTAAATTTTAGATGTAATATATATAATATCACATTTTATAACATTTAATAATTCTTCTGATCATTATGCTAAGATATTTGACCTTTGTTTGTATTTAGGATATTTAAGACCAATGAAATTATTGTTTAGAATAAGTTGGTTGACTTAATTAAGAATAGCATTAGGATATTCTTTGGTTGATATCACAAATGTATTGATTACAATGTTAGCAGTATGGATTATGTTTGGAGTATATGCAATTATATTGTATGAAGGATAATTTGGATTTTGTGAAGACAAAATGAATTTTAATATTAATTATGAATAATGTATAAAGGAGAATAGAAATTGGATTAATTACAAACATAATTTTGATAATATAACAATAGCAATACCTTCATTGTTTGTAACATCAACATTAGATGGATGGGGAGAAATATTTTAGATTGCTGAAAATAGTTAATCAGCTAATATTGGACCATAAGCATTCAATAGTTATGTTTATACTTACTTCTTTTTTATTATATTTGTCTTTATAGGTTCAATGTTCTTTTTGAGTTTATTTACAGGAGTATTATATTCAAATTTGAAAGAAAATCAATAAAAAATAGAGATGACAGATGAAACTTAATCTTAGAAAGAATTCTAAGAGATATCATCTATTATTATAAAAGATTTTCCTATATTTAGTTCTCCTCCAACAAATGGTATGAGAAAATTAGCATCAGATATAACTAATAATACATATTTATTAATATGTATGTATTTATTTTTAATATTGGATTTGGTAATTTTATTATTATTTGAATCAGATATGAGTGAAGAGTATTTTAGAACTGTAAATAATATACATAATGCATTAACTGTCTTATATGTAATTTGGGTGATTTTATTATTTTTGGCTTTGGGAGTAGGTAGGTTTTTTGATAATTATTGGAGACGATTTTATTTTTTTCTTATAATAGTATCAATAATAGATTTTATAGCAGATTATTCTGTTGATTGGATTATGATTTATTAAAAATCAACACCACATGATAATGGTTATTAATTATTAAGATTATTTTTTTCTTTAAGAAGTCTAAGAGTAATATTAATATTTCAAGGACTTATCAATTTATAAAGATTAATGAGAGTAATGGTATTTGCTTTGCCTTTTTTAGGAAAGATATTTACAATTTTAATGATTGCAATGCTTATTTTTGCATTAATAGGATGTTAATTATATGGTGAAATTGATAGTGGAGCTGTAATGGATGATCAAATTAATTTTTAAAATGTAGCTTAAGCTCTTCTTGCTTTATTTAAATGTGCTTCTGGAGATGATTGGAGAACAATAATGACTGATACTATGTAACATAATCCTTTGTGTTTAGAAGATCCAAAATATTGTGGAAGTGTTAATAGTTAATATTTTTTCTTTTTATTCATGCTCTTGTCAAATTATGTTTTACTTAATCTATTTGTTCTAGGTCTTATAGAATAATTTGAATAATTCTTTTAATTATAAAATTCACTTATATAAACATATGTTGAAAATGTAGATAAGATCAAAACTGTATGGTGTAAGTACTCTTCAGAAACATAAGGTTAAGCAATGAATTATAAGTTTTTATGCAAATTTCTATTAGATATAGGTAAACCTTTAGGAGGAAGTAAAGAAGAGAATCTTTGGGATGTAGCTAAATTGGCTTCATCATTCAAATTGAAATGGTATTGTTTTTGTTTCTATATTATTAGTGATCATTATGGTTATATTTAATATAATCATTTGATGTATGAATTATTTAGAAGATGTTTTATAAATGAAGTATTTAGAGAAGGTACTGAATCTTCAATAGTAAAAATCAAATAATTCAACAAAGAAATGTAGTTGAGATTGATGTACTATAGAAAAAATAGATTATTAGAGAGAACAAATATTAGTCCAAGTAAATAATTAAAAGCTAATTTCAATATCTTACATGACTATTTGACTGTTTTGATACTATTTAAAACATGGGAATCTTATTCCAAATTAGTGTTTATTAAGATTGATAAAGAAGGCAACTTTTCAGATTGTGATGATATTAGTATTTAGAATGATAAAGTCAGTAAATAAAAGTATTCATTATTTTTAATTAATTTAGTTTCAATATTTACAATTATGATGATGATATGTCAGATTCTGATAATATGACTTAAAATTAATAGAGTAAATAATTATCCTAAATGTTTAATAATACAATGAATCAAATGCAATATAGTAGTAGTATTAGAAGCAGTCCAAAAAGTTAAATAAAAAATAGTCTAAAAAATTCTAGTTTTAAAAAGAATCTTAAAATGAAACATAAAAAGAAAGATAATTAAAAAAATAGTTTAAATGAAAGAATTATTGATCCAACAGAATATATTATATAAACAAAACATTAAACTACACTACAAAGTCAAGATCTTTAAGAATAAGAATAATTACCAATATATAGAAATTAATTTGATCTATCTCTCTAAAGTGAATATTAGTAAGGTACCTTATTAAGTGCAAAAAGAAATTAATGATCAATTTTATACTTTTTATCAAACTAATTTATTTTTGATATATTCTCAATTTCTATATTTCATTAGTTATAAATATAAACATTATCTAAAATTCACTCTAATACAGATTTCAAATATATTAATTTTGCTGTTACTCCCCTTGCTTTATAAAAATCTAAGAAACAGATATTTCTCACATCATATCCTAAAGCTGATAAACACATCTATTTATAATAATGTTTCCCTGTAAAAATCTTAGCTATAAATATTTATATATATATTATTACAATTATTTTATTCTATATCATATACATAATGTTAAGGTCCATTTACTTCTAAAATCTAATTAAATTAAGGTAAGAAAAAATCTATTTAATAAAGATCATCAATTAGTTTCTCCTATTCATAAGGTAAATTAACCATATTCAAAAATAATTATACTTCTTTCTATAAATGTGATTACTTATTCTTTTATAATGTTGAATCTTAATCTCCTATCTTCCAACTATCAGGAATTGGTATATTCTTATTTTAATATAATTCAGATAATAATAAAAAATTAGATGGAGTTATTTCTAATATATTCTTATCTTTAATCAAATTAATAAGTAATGAACTTTGATCATGAGGGAATAACACAAATAAACAGTATAAATATTAATTCAATAATTAAGCATCTACTTTGTTATGTAAATTATCAATTAATTAGGATACAAGCTCCATATCATTACATTATAAATCAGCACAATATTTTAAAATAGAAAATTCTATATCAGAATCAACCTTCATTTGATTATAAATAAATTATAAACTTAATTGATCATTAAGATGAGTTGTCCTTGCTAAACTTAAGTAATTTCCACATGTTTTATTCTCAAGATCTTTTGAATACTTTTAAATATATTCATTTAGTAATGTATAAGATTTTTTAATACTTCTAGAATATCTATTTTATAATTTCACTATGTCTATTCCAATATTAATAAATTAGTTGATATTATCAATCTCATTAGTGCTAATACTTTTCCACTTTAAAAATAATTCATTTGTTGTAAAAGGATCTAATTTAGTGTTGAATTGAATGGCTTTACTAATTAAAGCATTCAGCTCTTTACTTAATTATTACATTATAATAGTGATTATAAATTGATCAAATAATAATTGCAATTAATTAAAATTACTTATATTTTTATAACAAACAAAGCACATTATATATGAGAATTTCATAGAATTTCAAATATATATTTTGAATAAGGAATTCATATATTTATAATATTTAATTGATTATCATCTATAAATATAGAAATATATTTGTTGTCCTTTTTAATTTGAATATTATACATTTCTTTAATAAACTTTTATAAATATATTATTATTTAATTGTACTTTTATAAGAATGAAAAATAAATAATAATTTGCTGTTAATTCCAAATTAAAACCATCAGAATATAATCCTTTATTGGATAAATATTTATCATGTTATTTTCAAAGTAAATAAGTAATCAAGACTTTAAACAGAGGTAGACTAATTAATAAAAAAGGAGAAATCCTTGATTATGGATTATAAAAATAATACATAAGGTATCATTCTGAATTTCCATTTGATAAATTACCATTATTGGAAATTTAAGGAAGACTTAATACATAAAAATAAAGAGAGAAAGTAAAATCTTAAAGTGTTAATTTGACATAAGAATAATTATCTTACCATTTGAATAATACCTATTTAAAGAAACCTGAAATATTAGGAAAAAAAAAATAATATGATTTTTGAATTATGAATGAAAAATTATTTCATTTAATAACTGCTTAATCTGCTGAGACACAAAAGTTTTGTCTTCTCTTATGTGCAACTAAAAACATTCCTATTTAAGTTAATTTAAATTATTAAATTATATCTCCTGGATATTATACATATTGTATAAACTTTTTCAAAATACTTAGATTTTATAAAAAGTTTTTCTATTTGACAATTGAAAAATTATCTTTTCTAAAATAATATTTATATGTCTAAGGACTTTCAAATTCTTAATCATCAATATATATTTTATTTGATAATTTCTAGATAATAAAATTGATATCATTAAGATACATATTGAATCTTTTATTATCTAATTAATGTATATTTTTTAATCTTTATTCTAAAATTTACAATGTTTATTAAATAGATCTTTATTCAATTATTTTTTCAAATTAAACATAAGTTTAAATTAAGAAATAAGGATATATTTTATTTATGGAAATTAATTTATTTACTAATTATCTAAATTTCTTTCTTATAGGATCTTGATTCTATTCAAAAGTAGAAATAATCTTTTTTTTAATCATAGGAATATGATGATTAATAATTTGAGTAGCATTTGATTTCTTTATATAATGCTTTAATTATTCTTCATCAATATTCAAAATGTTATCAAACTTATATAATTAGAATAATTAAGGGTCGTCCTTTTATATTAATAAAGCACATTATTCTAATTTTTTTAGGTTTTAATTTAAACTTTGACCTTTTAATCTGGTCCTATCAAATTTAACTCTCTCTTAATTTTTAGGATATAAATATTTTTTAATCAAAAACTCTTAATCAGGAATAAACTTAATCAAAGGACAATCAATAAGTTTATGTGAAAGTTTTCCACAAGAAAAGCATTCAACATTAAAATATTGATCGTCTCCTTAAAATATTAATTTATCTCTTATAGAACAAAATAATTCATAGTCTTCAGGGTGATCCTGTAAAATTTTTAAAAAACTCTTTCTTTTAAGTATCATAGCTTTTGTAAATCCAACACTCTTAAAAGATTCAAGAGATTCAGTACCCAAAATGAAATTCTTAACTCCAATAGAAGCACCTTTATTTACTATTCCTAGATTGATTTTTCTTCCTTGTTATAAACAGATTTAAACAGATCCTTCCTCTATATAATACAATAAAATATCGTTTGGTTGTTTCATATCTTATTCTGGAGATAAAAGAACTTCTTAAACCTCCTTGATTAATTATTTTTTGAATTATTCAGTAAAAGGTATCCTAAATAAACTACACTAATCAAAGATTTTCTAATGGGCCTCACTTATTAAAGATTGTCTTAAAAATTCTGATAAAGAATCAATAATTTCTTTCTCTTCTTCAGATTGAGAAACTACTTTATTTTCCCAATAATAAGATAAATACTTCCTCACTTAAACTTATAGACCAGATGATAGGGAAGTCTTATTCATATAAGAATTAATAATTCTTAATTTTCTTTTCTTCTCTTCTGAAAATGCAGTCATCTCAGTAATTATTGTACCTACTGTGTTAACACTATAAGGTAATTGAATGCTAGATATCATAATTAAGATAACTGAAACTATCTTTTCAATATTAGACTAAGGTGTTACATCTCCATATCCAACAGTAAATATTGTGACAGCTGTATAATAAAATGCCTGAAGGTATTATGTATTCCATGATTATTCTAACATATTAGTAGAGATCAACCAACTCTTTCCCTCATAATTATCTATACTATATCGACCAATCTAAAATTGTTATTAAATACAATTACCCAAAACCAAAAACATGAAAATAAATGTATAACATAAAATAAAAATGCAATCAACTTTAATAAAGCCAAAATAGATGATGTTTACTTTGATAAATTTAAACCTTCTTCATAATTAGTGACATAATTGATAATTGTCTTATGATGTACTAAAAATATTAGTAAACCTATATTAATTAGATTATTTGAAATATCCAATGATACATCTGTAAATGCTGAGACTATGAAATATATAAGTAATTATAACACAGATAACCATTGCAATCCATATGTATTATATAAACTATTTTTGATGATTTTAATTCTTGATTACACAGCCTCTCCATTTTGAAAGTATATAGTGTTTAGACTTAATAATAAATCAAAAACTAATATAAGTAAAAACATTATTGAAAAATAATGTAAATCATGAAAAATGAATTATTAAGTTACCCATGCTAAATCTATAGGAATAATGTATAAAAAATATAAACGAGCAGTTACAGCTACAATATCCCATATCACCTTCATATATTAACCAGGATGAATAAGAGGCAATTTTTCTAATTTTATAATTATGGATTTTTTAATATCTTAACAAAACCTCATTTATTATTAATTTAAGTGATGAAGTGTAGAAGATTTTCTCTTTGTAAGGACTTCTTCAGAAGCCCCCTGATCTCCAATCAATGATATATGATAATTTGTTAATTTCTTTACTTTTCGAATTTAATCAAGCATGTTATCAATAAACTTTCTTATAAACACATTTTTCTTTTAGTAATTTAATTATTTTCTGTCACTAGTTGGTAAATACAAAAAATCAGCTTAAAACGGAGATGACCGACACTACATTATGTTGCTACTTTGAATTTTACTACTCAGAATATTTGATTCATTTTATTCAGACAGCAATTTTGCTTCAAATGCAAAAGGAAATACCAGTTTATTTTTCATTATTTTCAATATATTTATTATATAATTAAATATACTTTTACATTTTACAATAGTATACATATATTATTTATACTTCATTTTCTATAACTTTTCTATTTTATTATCATTTAAAACCTCTATATTCTATAAAATAGATTAGGGTTAATAACATGTTAATATAGTTAAATGTCAAAACATCATTGGCTTTCTCAATTACTCTAATCTATTAAAAGAAAACTTACTGAAAATTTTCATTTTTCATTTATATAGCAATTTATTTAGATCATTTAAGATATGAATTTTTTTAATCTTTGACTTTAATCAAATTAATCTTTAGCTTATTATGGATATAGCATCCATAAATATTCAATTCTACAAAGAATATATTATGATAATTTCATTTATTTATGTGAATCACTTTCTTAATTACAATCCCTTCTCTAATTTATCTATAAATAATGATCTCTTTCTCTTTTTTTCTTATATAAATAATTTGTATCCACAATTACATTAATTTATAAGAAAGAGCTGATAATAATAAAATTAATTTAAATTATTTAAGTTTTTAAGTAAGAATGCCTATTGAACTTTAAATTAAATATTTCGTATATAAACTTGAAGTTCTAAGAGATTTCAATTTATGGTTTAGCAAGGCTATATAAATCACTTAAGTTGAATTTCTTAGATAATAAAATTAGATTAATCAGTTGTATTTTATTTGTTAATTTTTTTGACCTAAATTGCAATTACTCTATTTATACTAAGTTTTGTTCTGTATTTAATACTTAAGATCCTCATTTTATTGAAATTATGGATTAACACATCTATTTNTAAACTTTCTTATAAACACATTTTTCTTTTAGTAATTTAATTATTTTCTGTCACTAGTTGGTAAATACAAAAAATCAGCTTAAAACGGAGATGACCGACACTACATTATGTTGCTACTTTGAATTTTACTACTCAGAATATTTGATTCATTTTATTCAGACAGCAATTTTGCTTCAAATGCAAAAGGAAATACCAGTTTATTTTTCATTATTTTCAATATATTTATTATATAATTAAATATACTTTTACATTTTACAATAGTATACATATATTATTTATACTTCATTTTCTATAACTTTTCTATTTTATTATCATTTAAAACCTCTATATTCTATAAAATAGATTAGGGTTAATAACATGTTAATATAGTTAAATGTCAAAACATCATTGGCTTTCTCAATTACTCTAATCTATTAAAAGAAAACTTACTGAAAATTTTCATTTTTCATTTATATAGCAATTTATTTAGATCATTTAAGATATGAATTTTTTTAATCTTTGACTTTAATCAAATTAATCTTTAGCTTATTATGGATATAGCATCCATAAATATTCAATTCTACAAAGAATATATTATGATAATTTCATTTATTTATGTGAATCACTTTCTTAATTACAATCCCTTCTCTAATTTATCTATAAATAATGATCTCTTTCTCTTTTTTTCTTATATAAATAATTTGTATCCACAATTACATTAATTTATAAGAAAGAGCTGATAATAATAAAATTAATTTAAATTATTTAAGTTTTTAAGTAAGAATGCCTATTGAACTTTAAATTAAATATTTCGTATATAAACTTGAAGTTCTAAGAGATTTCAATTTATGGTTTAGCAAGGCTATATAAATCACTTAAGTTGAATTTCTTAGATAATAAAATTAGATTAATCAGTTGTATTTTATTTGTTAATTTTTTTGACCTAAATTGCAATTACTCTATTTATACTAAGTTTTGTTCTGTATTTAATACTTAAGATCCTCATTTTATTGAAATTATGGATTAACACATCTATTTTGACTATAATTTCTCATTCTTAAGCAAAATAAACCATAAAAAAGGTCAAATTTTTTAAGTTTGGCAAGAATAACATTTAATTTTTAATATTTATATTTGTTCTAATGCAGAATTCCTTAAAACTATCTTTTTATTTTTACAAAATCATAAGTAACACTTATAAAAATAATAGAAGGCTTTATCTCGATCAAAGGATTTATTTAGTAAATTTTAGAGGTTTTATCTTTCCTCAAAATAGTTTTCCATATAATTATTTATAATACTCAGAGAATTTATTAAATTTCCTTAAGCTAAATTATTTTCATATATTCTCGAAGTGATGTAACGGTTCCCTTTTACTATTAAAAGTACTATGTCTTAAACCAAACAATCAATCCTTGTTTATGTATGTTTACCATAATATCGAACCTTAAAGATAGAATCAGAGTTGTTAAATACATAAAAACACAACTTTTATTATTAGTTATAAAATAGAAATGTAATACTATTAGATATAAATTAATAAATAAAAAGTTTTAATGAAAGAATCGTATTAATCATTTTAATATTAATTTATTCAATAGTTTTTATATTCCTTATTGATAAATAAAATAATATATGATATTTATTTAAATAAAATCATGAACATATTTTATTAAAATGATTATTTTTAAATTAAGGATAGTTAATCATCTTCAAAGAAATTTATAAATTTTATAAATATAATAACTTTTAATAAAAAATTAAAATCTTTATTACTAGCAGTTTCAAATTTCTAATATTTTTATTATTTATTTAATTTAATTATAATATATATTGATTAATCTATATTTTTGATTATTTTTTTTATGTTTATTATTTAATCTAAAAGGTGGAAAGAGTTTCTCTTTATTTTTATATTCTCTCATTATTAAATAAGTTTTAATTCTTATCCAATCCCATTCCCAAATTTTTAACATCATTATATATTACAATGATCCTTCATTTTATAAAATTCTTGATAAGTTATTAGTTCAGGTCTCTAGTTTACATACACAAAAAAAGTTTACATTTCTTTTGGTTTTTTCTTAAACTGTAACATGAAATTATTTTTCAAATCCTTATATATCATTAATATTATTATTTTTGAATCTTTCATTAATTCACACCATATTACACTTCATATAATTAAATAAATTGGTGCACTTAAAATTTTCAAATATTATACAAGTATATTTCTATTATACTCTGATTTTATAATTATATCTTTAACCCATTTCTATAATTTACTATTTTTCATATTAATTTATCCTATTGTTCTTACTTTATTTTTTTAATTTATTAGATTAACAGTATTATTAGAATGCTTTAACTTCTTCAGTTTTTGTTATCCCATTTGTATCCCATAATTTTTACCTTAAATCAAAGTAAATCACTTAAGTGAATATTGACCCTCTACTAATGTTAGTATTCAAAATCTACATTTATTTTTTATAAAAAATTTAGATACATCCTCTCTTTAACATTAAATGATTATACATTATCTAACAATTTTAAGAAATCTAAAATATCTCTAGTATTTGCTTGTTTTTAAAGCTCTGAATTTAATAATTAAATGAACATTCAATTTAAAATCATTATTATTATTGATTTAATTATTATTTATTTTTGTTAAGATGTTCTAACTTAATTCTAATATTAAATAATAATAATAATAAATTGATTTAGAATAAAACAACAAATAATTACTTAACTTTAAACTCTTTAAGTGATACCAAAAATATCTTAAATATTTAATCATAATTCTTAAGAATTATTTCCTAAATTATATAAAAGAATTAAAATAAATGATAAAAGTATGAGTTAAAAAGAATAATAAAGTTCTTAAAGATTATAACTATTAAATTCACAATAATAAAAGACACACAAAATGTGAGAAGGATACTTAATTTTAATAAATTTTATTCTCATTTGATCTAATTAATTTTGCCCTTCTGAAAATAATATATAAAATAGCATACAATAATTATAATGATGATAAAAGATATATTTTATAAAGTAGTATTTAATTCATATTAAAATAAGACATCCAAGATAAATTTATTATTTTATTCAGATGTAATATTTAAAATGAGTTCTTTATAGGTATGATATTTATACTTATTATCTAATCTAATAATCATTTTAATTGATATTCTAGTTATATTTATTATACAATTTACTTTAGCATATCTCTATATCTAAATTAGTTTTATTAATGAATTATATATTTATTACTTTTGATCCTAATAAATTTAGTAATTGATTGATTATTTTCATAAATTTTATAAACTGAAGATGCTCTCTTAAAAATCCTTAAAAGCAAAGTTAGACCAATCCATTATATATGTATCAAATTTTACAGATATATATAGGTCAAATATAAATCTCTCATAACTTCAGAATAAAAATAGTATGAAATTCCTTCCTACTTAAATTCTAAATGTAAAATAAAAATTCGGCAGACTAAACTAAGCCTTCCAAAATTATTTACTATAATACCTTCATTACCTTCATAAAAATCACTTTCAAATAAACATTAATGTAGTCATAGTAGGATACCCTAAATTGAAAGTTCATAAAAAGTTCATGAAAGATTACCATCAATTGTAAATGATACATATTTTTTGAGAACAAGTTAAGGTGGTTACTTTGAAACCCTTTTAACTCAAAATAAACAAAAAAAATAATGATGGTTCTATTAATTTATTAAAGTTACTATATGAACATATTTTATAATTTATGAATATATTTATAAATAACTTCATATATAAAATTAATATTTTATATTTGAATATCTTATCAATAGGATCTTTAATAAATAAAATTGATGATTATATAATATTTCTTACAAATTTGTGATAATAATATAAATAACAAACTTATTTTAGTATTTTTCTTCAAATCTAATCTGAAGATAATCTGAAGCTTCTTCTCTAACAAAGTTCAGAATCAAGATTGAGAGATAGAATCTTTTATGATTGAGGAGTTCCTACATTTTCTATTGACAGCAATGAATTTCGTTATTGATTCTAAAATTTATCAACAACAATTAGTTGATTAATTCCAAGAGAATCTAAATATGTGATTATCGATTATTCAACCTCAGTCTTAATTGGAAGCCATCCTTGTATGTATTAATCACTTTTTTATGAGCTTTCTGATTATTTTTACAAGGAAGGGGATTACATCAATAATATATTTTAATTATATATTTGGATAATAAATCAATTAAGTCATGCCTTTTTTATAAAAACTTAATGCATCAAATTAATTTATTTTTAATTCCTCTTTATAAATTATTTTTTTGAGAATCATTGTTTATTTCAACTTCTATCAATTAAAAAATAGTTGAATTAAAATTCCATTGAACTTTTCATAATTATAATATTTATATAATATAATTTTTGTAAAAATACTTTGATTGATTGATATTTAGAGATTTTAATTAATTAATATATGCTAATAATAATAATAATTTATCAAAATGATATTTAATCATAATTCATACTTTTTAATATTAAAAATAAAAATATTATTGTTCTATATTCTCAAGAATACCTAAAATAAGGTAATTACAATCTTATAATTAATCTTTTCAATTATATTATATTTCTGTTACAATTTTAATAATTATATTAATTTTTAATAAATTTGATTGAAATAAATGATTTGTTTCAGAACTTAATTATGTTAAATTTTCAATTTGTTAACTTTAATTATGGATTCTAAAAATAATCGTACTTTTCTTTATGTATCTAAATAATTTGAATTAAATTATCAATTTTGTAGATTTAATTATATAAAAAATATTTATTTTAAGGATTAAGAAATCTATAGATTTTTGGAGAAAACATTTTTCTTTCTTAGATAATTCAAGTAACAAAGACTATTTTTAAATGACCATTAGTATCGACAAGCTATTTAATGCAATTTAAATGTAAATCATTTTGATAAGCATTCAACAACTAGTATTAATTAAATTTCTTTTAAATAATAAATTGGATTGTAAAATGTAATTAATTGTCAAAAAGTTAGAATTTATTAAGCTCTAAATAATTATGAAATTAAACGGAAATTGTATAATTATTTAACAAATCAAGTTTTATCAAGATAATACCATTTATGCTCGAAATAAAAGTTCATTTAAGATATGAATTAATGAAAAAAGAACTATATTAAATTTCTAGTGTATGATGATTCAAATTTTCATAAAATAATAATCTATTTATGGATGATTTTCACTAATACGATTTATTAAATTTTGGATGAATTTGGTAAGAATTACATATAATTTTTATGGTATTCAAATTCTATAAAAATCATTTTTAATTAAGGCTTGAATTATTTTGATAATTATCTAGAATTTATATAAATTTTTATTTTTAGAATTTAATTATATAATATATTAATATCATTAATCAATCTATCAATTATGCATCTAATTTGATTAATTCAAGATAGATGATAATAACCATTTAGTTATTGAATGTAAAGATTAATTTCATGATTAAATAGTATAATTTTCGATTAAAATACCTGTATGTAAAAATTGTATTTAAACTATTTCTTACTTATATTCATAATCTTTTTTTCTTTTCATTTTTTCATCTTAGCTTTATTGTGTTATTTAGTTTTGAAATAAACTTTATCAATTTAATTATTTTTGATTTGATTACAATTCTGATCATCTTCAAATTTACTTTATTTAAAAATATATTATTTGATTAATTATTTATTTGCATATATAAACATACTTTAATTGTTTACTTATTTTTAGAATATTTTCAAAATACTAAAAATTATAGAAAAATAACAATATATATATTAAACTTTATTGATAATTCCTAAATACAAAATAATTTGGCAATAATAATGACAAATTTCAAAATCTATATAAAAGATATTCTATATGAGATTTTCATATTCATATATGACTTATTGATTTAGTTTTAATCACAATTCTATGGAATCCTAGAATTTGTTAATATATTCAATTATTTACATATTTTATAATATAAATATTTATCCCATATTTAAGTCATATATAATTTTATTGTTATTTTTTGAAAAATAATTTGTTAAGTATTTTTTTTATTTGTATTTTAATGATGTAAATTTGAAAAAATGCAATAGAGAAAATAAAATAATGGCTTTTTTAAATTTGATTGGTTTTATACGTTAAATTTTATTATTATTTTTATTAATAACTTCTGTATGCCAAAAGTAAAGTAACTTTATGGACTTTCCTAAATTAGTGCTATAAGCAAATCACCAAAGAATAATACTAATAGATTAAATGGTTCTCAAACTTAGCCTGCAAGTAATAGGATAAATTTACAATATGATGCAGAATGTGAAAGAAAGGATTGTATGATGATAAAATGGAATGGAATATAAATGTAACATTAACTCTAACTTCTACAAAAAGAATTGGATAAATATAAATCACTTTATGTAAAGGAAAGAAAAAAAATAGCAGACACTTATAAGGAAATAGAAGAAATTATGAATGCTATCACGAAAAAGGAAAAGGAGTTGAAGAAAAAAGAAACTTAATTAGCAGAACTGGAATAATAATTATAGTCTTAAAATTTATAAAATGATTCTCTAAATTAATCTTTAAAAGTTTTAAATAAATAACTAACAGAAAGGGAATCTTAACTTCAATTATAAGAAAACAATTTGAATCTATAGACAAAAAATTAGAATGCATTAATTGATGATTTAAATAATCTAAAAAGTAATTTAGAATCATCAGTTAAGTTTTTAGAATAAAAAGAATCACAATTATTTGCAAGTCTATAAGATTTAAATTAATAAGAATAAGATACTATGAAAAGGGTTGATCATATTAATTAATTTCTTAAGAATTCTAATGATCATTAATCATTAATGCAATCGATAGAATAATTATTTAGAGAGAAAACTAAAACTATAGAAAATGTTAAGGAATCAGTATTATAAAGATAAGAAGAATTATAATATTATGAATAATAATTGTAATTAAGAAGTGTATGTGCTTCTGCCAATGAAGCAGCCTTTATGAAAAGAGTCGCCTAAACGGAAAGAATGAATTAAAAGACACCTACTTAAGAGTCGAATAAAAAAGGAGTGATGAGATTTACAAATAGTAATAATAACCATAATGCCTATTCTAATTAGAACACCAATACTATTTTTGAGAATCAATTATATTCTACTTTTTGTAGTCGTGAAAATAGTCCTATTTCGAACAAGGAATCATTTAAATTAATAAAGAAACCCTATTTATAGCATTAGATGCCAATGACCGAAATCAATAATTTTGATATAAAAATTTGACACTAATATTAAGTATTACACAAATTGAGCTATTATTTATAAAATAATTTTCTTCATATCTATTTTTTCATAATTATAATATTCTCCTTATGTTATTTATGAATTATAAATTTCATATAATATTTGATTGTCAACTACTTTTATTAGATTGATTTTACAATATATTATAATGGATTTAAAAATTACAAATTTTATAATATGTACATATGAGTCATAATAATAAAATAATTATTTATAATTTATTGATGGGAAAGGCAGATAATTTTAGATGTTTAGATAACACTAATGTTAAAAATCTTCTGATATTTTTTAATAGTTCGATAATCTTTGCATAAATTATTGAAAATCTAATTATTAGCAGAGGACCATTTATAATGACTTGTTTGATTTTTGTTTTGGTAATGATAATTTATTAAGCATTATCCTTTTATTTTAAAACAATGAGAATATAGCTTATAATATACTGTTAATATTTTATGCTCACATTGTTCTCTGTGGAATTACAAATTGAAACATAGTTTTTAATTTTCTAATAATTAGCTATATTTGACACTGTGTTTTTCAATAGAAATGAAAAAAAAAAAATAGTTTAAAATATACTATTTTTTGGTGCCATTGTTATTAATACATATGTATTTCTTAGAATTGGATTTCATAATAAATATTTTACTGATTTAATAAAAGCATTATGTTAATCAATCTTACTGAAATTATTGTTATATTATTTTAGATAGGAACATGATGAGAAATGTGATTCATTAAAAGAAATATAGAAATTAAACAATTAAGAATTAGAACCATCAGTACCAAGAAGTAATAATGTAGAATATGAAGCATAAGATTCTTCAAAACTTTTTAAGACTTTTGATGTATTACCTGAAGGTATAATAATACTTGAAAAGACTTTGAAAGATGATTTTACAATTAAATATTCAAATTCAGCTGCTAAATATTTAGTAGATGCTGATGATCATGATTATATGTTATCTGAACTTTTAGATCTTAAAAGTGTTTCTCCAAAATAGAAAAGTGAAGAACATTTATACAAATATTCATTCAGTATTTAATCTTAATAAAGTGTGAAAAGAAATAGTTTTAAAATTATTCCAAAATAATAACCATATATTAAGTCAGCCTTTAAATTATCTTAATAATTTATTATAGAGAATCAATCAAATTCATAAAAATAAGAATTTTAATCCAATCATGATTTTTGTCTACAATTTCCTCCAGTCCAAATCATATTTCCAGGTACATAAACAAAAACAGAAAATATGAATCATCCAAATTCTCCTTCAATTCATTATGCAACTTCACATAAAAAATCATTAGATGATATAGATTCCTTTCATTATCTTTTATCCTAAATTTGGGTATAATTACATACTTTAGTTAAAGAAAAAGTATTAAATTATTAAAATTAACCACTCTATTATATACATGAGAGTAATGCTTTTGTAACCAATATTAAAAAGTTTCAAAAGAAATAATGTTTAGATCTAAAAGTCTTTAGTGCCATTCATTACAATAAACCATTATTAGTTATCATACTTAGAGATGTTAATCATAAGGATTATATTAAAGTATTAAAAGATTACAATTCATAAAAATCAAAAACACTATCATTTGTAAGTCATGAATTTAGAACTCCATTAACATGTATAATATAAATGCTTGAAGAAGTTATTGAAAATAAAAACAGTTTAAATTTGAGTGAATAATAACTCATTCAATCAGCTTTGGATAACTCTAAATATATGCTTAATCTATCAAATGATTTATTAGATTTGGCATAAATAAGGGCTGGTAAATTTAAAATTAGAAATGCTATATTTGATTTAAAATCTCTCTTAAAAGAATGTCTTAATATGTTTGAGATATAAGCAATGAAAAAGAATATTTAATTGAATTATTATTATGATAAAACATTACCAACAGATATTTGGAGTGATTTAAATAGAATTAGATAAATAACTGTAAATTTAATTGGGAATGCTTTAAAATTTACTTTAGAAGGTTCTATTACTTTGAGAGCTTATTTAGATGGACCCAATGAAATTTGCATTGAAGTTAAAGATACAGGTGTGGGAATGAGAGAAGAAGATTAACCAAAATTATTTAAAGCATTTGCTAAAATTGAAAATAAGGAAGCTAGTTAAATGAATGCTTAAGGTGTAGGATTAGGTTTATTGATAAGTAATTCAATTGCTACTTAATTAAATTCTGAATAAAGAGGTTTAGGATTTAGATCAGCCTATTAAGAAGGTACAACATTTTGTTTTTTGGTTACAAATAATAAATCAACTTATACAGATGAAATAGAAAATTATGAAGATTCGAAAAAAGAATTAGATTTAGAAACTAAATTAAATGATTTTAGAAGATAATCATAAAATGAAAAGAAATTTATACTTTAAAAAAACTTTTGTTCTTGTCCATAAATTTTATTGGTTGAAGATAATTAATTTAATGTGGATTCGTTTTTACTAAAATTTAATAGAACTTTTTAATCATTAATAAAACTAGATTATACAATCTCTGGATAATTGGCTGAATAAAAAGTACAATAAAGATTTTTAAAATAATAACACATTTGTCATCCTTACAAACTTATATTTATGGATGTAGAATTACCAATTTAAAATGGTATTGTGACATCCAAAAATATTAAAAATTACTATAAAACTATGAATATGCCAATTACAATTGTTGGTTGCAGTGGTTATGCTGAAGAAAAAGAAAAAAAAGAATGTTTACAATATATGGATGATTACATTGTCAAACCAGTCACTAAATCTGAATTAGAAAGAATAATGAATACTTACTTTTTTAAATGACTTTTTGTATTATATAATTATTATTATATATAAATTTTCTACTTTAAAATCCTTTAATAGTTATTAAAAAAATGATTAATACATTATTAGAAAGAATAAGCATCTCAAGAATGAAAATAAATACAAGATAACATTTTGATATTTATCAAAATAAATTATTATTATAACCTATTTTTATATATAAAATTAAATTTAAACACTTTGTTTGAGAATTAAAAAAATGATTGGTTTCAAAGTACAAAAATATATCAGAGTAAATTCATAATTTTTAGAGTATAAAGATTAGGAATATTATTAATACTGCAATTTCATAAATGATTTGGATTTAAGTGAATTTTTAATTTTTCAATATTTAATTAATTTAGATTTTGAATTTTGTCAATATGCAATATATATAGAAAATTTAATAAGAAATATAATTAATTTAATATATATTAAATATTCAACTTTAGAAACTTAATTGTATTTATGTCAATATTTAATCATATATAATTCATAATTTTCATTAAAATTTGATGAATCCCTTTTTTCTATACTACTTTTGGATCTAATAAGATTAACAAAAATTTTATCTAGTGTATCTAAAAATATTGATAGATGACCCAAAAAACTGAGAAGATAAAATACAATAGGAAGATGCTAACTTTTAATAGATATTTACATTATTCCAGTTAAATTAAAGTATTCTGACATGGCTTCAATAAAGATATCGCTTAAATATATACTTTCATTGATGAAGTAACTAAAACAAGTGAAAAAACATGATTAAATATCTTAAGCATATTGAACAAAAAAATTCTAGTGAATCTATGAATTAATAAATTGAGTATTGTTTTTCGAATATTATAAAGTTTGCCTTTCTGTATTAAATTCTTATTGAACCATTTTTTTATAATTTTAAACTACTCCTCCTATACCATCTTAAGTGATTGTTAGATAAGAATCACTAAGTTTATATGGTAATTTTATCTAAGTTGTATTACAAAAAACTAGAAACCTTTAAAATGTCAAACACAAATCTTTTCTAAATGCATTTAATATTTGATTCTTCATTGTATCATTAAAATAATCTGATACAACCAAATCATCAAGAATTTTATTAAATAAATCATTTGAATTATCAGCATACATTAAATATAATTCTATAGTTTCAGTTTAATTTATTAAATGATAAGGATTGGATGGAATTAAATGTTCTGTTTTAATTAATTCTCCAAATAAGATTGAACTATCAAATAATTTCTTGAATTTTATATAATTCATAGTCATTAATAAGGAATGTTTATAATTATCATAATAAAAAGCTCTATAATAATATGCTCCAATCATTTATGAACCATAAAATATTATAAAAATAATTGGTATAAGTAATCGAAATTTAGATGTAAATGTAATATTTTATAACCTTTGGATTGTATGATTATTTTTATTTTATTGAGAATTTTCATTCATTATTGCATCATTCTTAATCAAATTTGTAATAGAATTTTAAGAATAATTTGTAAATTAATTAATTAATTTTGTTTACTATATCTGATTTTTAATAGAATTGATCTCTATTAAAGATAATAAAGTGAATATTTGATTTTTTAATTTGATATCTTTATAAATAAAATACATTAGAGCTATAGTAATAATATTTACACAACATATCTAAATAATCTCTATCAAATAAAATTTAGTTTAAGAGAACTCTACTTTTTATTTAAGATATTCTATTTCATCATTTATAACAACATCATGAAATTTAAAAATAGTCATTATATTTTATCTTATGAATCCATTAGCTTTAAATATAGAATAATCATGAGTTGAGATATTTGAATAATTAGTATTTTTTTAAACTCTAACCATTTTCTCTCTGGTTATAGAATAAAATGAATAAAAATCCATTTTAGTTATAATTTTATTATTGTTTTTGTCATATTCAATTACATCAACCATTTCCATCCCTAATTCTCTGCTCCTTTAACTCAAATTTAATGTATAATTAACATGGATACCTCTCCATAAAGTAAATGCATAATTTAATTTCTATTGCCTTTAAAATTCAATATATTAAGAGAGATTATATAAGCCATTTTATACACAATATCTATTCCACTATAAAAGAAATGACCCTGCATATGAGAAGGTTAAGGCTTAAGGATTTATTAAGAAATTAATTGAAGATTAATACGATTTGATTTCATTTAATCCAGATTATTTATTGATAAAAATAGTACAAACTACATAAATAGTTAGAATAATCATTAGTATTAATTATAATTTTAAATTTCTTGATATCTCCTTTTTTTCTATTATTTATTCAATTATTGACATATTAATTTTATTATCTAAAGCAGTATTTTTTTTAATTGTTTTTGTTTCTAATTTTAAAGTCTTATCCTAACTTTCCAAATGATATTCTAAGTCTGAAAAATGTAGTATAAAATAATTCTAATTAAGATTATCTAATTCAACATATTCTAATTCAAATTTATGATATGATATATTTTATTCTAAACTTAATTATTCTTAAATTTATTCAAATTGGATAGAAAATTTTGGATTTAAAAGATTTATTCTTTTATTCTTTTTAATTTAATTATCATCTTATAACTATTTTCGACAATTAGAAGATGAATTCATTTTAATTTAGGTTAGAGATTCATCTTTGATATTTAAATTTATTTTTAATTATAAACAATCATTATGGTTTATATTTTTTGGAAATGTTGATTAAAATTCTACTTAATTATATTACTAAGATGAAATAAGTTATAGGACTTAATATTCTATTTCAGGAACATAAAATTATATCATTGCTTTTTCTAAAAAAGTTTATAAAGTTATTTCTTATGTATAATATTCATCAAGATTTTATAATTCATTGAAGAGTAATTCTGAAATTCCTAAAATTTTGCCATATTAATCAAATAATAGAAAATTATTTTTATCATCAATTTCTATTATATTATTAATTATTAAATCATTATCTAAAATTTCATGATGAAATGTGATTCGACATGAAATTATATAATTATTTTTCAATAAATAGGTCTTTAATTAATATTTATCTACAAATTCATTTTCTACATATTTATTCAATTATTATTGATAATATTCTCTTAAGAATGATGGAAATAAATCCAATATGTTATCTAAATATTAATCTTTAAAAAAATCTACTAAATATTTCATTTTTGAATTTAAAATTGTCCATTTCTTTGATAAATAACTAACTTTAATAAGAAAGATTTAATCTAAAATAGTATGAACATTTTAATACTTTTTTACAACTTTAGATTTAGATTACGATCCCATCCTGATAATTCTTTAGCTTTCTATCCAATTTGAAATGCCTACAATAAGATTTTTCATATACTTTCTAATAATCACCATAAAAGACAAAATAGTATTTTTAAATAGTTTAAATTGTGTTAAGATCAGTTAAATTAGAATTTTGAAGAGTTTAAGCTTTTATATCAATACTAGACTCAAGATCTTTTTTTAATTGTTACATGATATTACAAAATTTCAAACATTCAATTTTAATCATCTTACAATATTAATCTTCATTAATATTAAGTTTAATTAGGGTTTAATAAAAATTTAATTTTGTAAAATTTGCTTATTCTAAAATTTAAAAGTTAGATTCTTATTATTCAAAAACTCTAACTAATTATGAGTTATCTTATAATTATTTTTTTGATTTTTAAAAACATTCTTATTAAATTAAATAAATATTGGCTTTTAAGAAAATAAAGTCAAAAAATGACAACTTTGATTAATTTTATTACAACAATAGAAAATAGAGTTTATATAAATTTTATTCAAAATATCTTTCTATCATTACTCTATCTTAAATATTAATTAAATTAGAGTTATTATTTTTTTGTAAATATTTTAAATTTGATTTTATACATCTTTATATCAATAAAACTTAAATAGTTTCATCATTTGAATAATTTTTAACAATTTAAGAAATCAAAAATTTTAATTAATATTAATTTTTAGCGTCAATTAATTTATTTGTCTCAAGTCTATTTTTCCAAGATTGCATAACATTTAATGTAAACATATAAACTAAAAATATTTCAACCCAATCTAATTTAGATATCCCTGCTATTCCAATTACAAAAAGAAATATTCTTAATTTAAAAATAAAATGACTATTCAATTCAGTATTGTTGATCTAAATTACAGTTAACAAAAATGATTCTATGATTAATATTAAAAATTGTATTTCAATTATTGGTAATTTGATCTTTAATATGCATAAAATAATTCGAAATATCTAGATTACAATTTCATCTATTTATCTTGAAAAGCTTCCATCTATCTACAAAAAACTTGTTTAACAGTTAAATTTAATATACATCATATTCAATAAAATAGTTAAGATGAACAAAATTAAATGAACATATTGATTCTAATTCAAAATTGCGTATAGGGAGTTTAAAATAATTGGCATAGACTACACATAATAAATGGTTTAAACAAAAAAGGAACCAATAAATTAATGAATTGAAATTTTCATTTTGATTACAATTTAAGTAATAGCTATATGAAAAAAAATGCTTAAAATAATGATGTAAGCAAAAATCAAATAGTTACTGTTTCCAAAATAAATTAACAAATTTATTCTATATTTGCTTAACATCTCTTAAATGAAGCTATTTTTAATATGAGTATTTACACATTTTAACCATTAATTAATTAAACAACTTGTAAAGTATTAATTATAAACAGAAATCGAAACCATAATATGTTCTTTAAAGTGACATCAAAGTTTTCTCTCAACATTAAAAATTAAAAATATGCAAGATAATCTCTGAATGCTGATTCTATCCTATTTGAAAGAGATATTTTATTTTTTTAATTCATCTAAAATATAAATAACTAAATCACAATTTATTATTAAATAATTGAAATTAAAATAATCATACATAATATGATGTCCTATGTAAGAAAATTAATTGTATATAGTATAAATAGTTTAGTAATTTAATATTTAATATCATAATTTACTATTATTTGCATATTATCGTTAGATTAAAATAAATAGTCAAATATCATATCAATATTATAAGAACCATTTAATTCAAAATGAAATAAAAAATTTGATTATTTTTATAGTAAAATTAGTTACTTAAAATTTTATATTGTATTATAAAATTTATATTATTGAGCGGTTGAATGCCTTTAAAAAAATAAAATAAATGAAATCAAAACAATCATCCTTTAGTGTTGCTAGTGAGTCAGTATCTGATTTTACTTCTGGAGTATCAATTAGATCAGGAAAGGTATTGACAGTCACAAAATTGGAAGAACTAGCATCTGCAATAGAATAAAAGTCTTCAGAGTCAGAGAAGATAAAGGAAATAGAAAATCCAGAAGAAATGATTTCTCCCTTAGATTTCAAACTAGATTTAAGCATGATTATTTAGAAGAATGTGAAAACTGAGGAATTTTATAATTTAGTTCTTTAAAATTATTTAGGAAAATAATAAAAACCAATTGAATTCTTACATAAAGATGACAAGGGTTTTGATGATGAAGAGAGAATAAGATTTTTAAATTGGTTAATTGAGATCACATATGCATATTAAATGAATTGTTCTACGTTCTTCATAGCTTGTTCCATTTTAGATGAATTTTAAAAAAAAACTCAAAAGTATGGTTGTTTGAAATAACAATAGTATTACAAGATATAATCTCCATTTAACTGGAATTAGTTGTATATATTTGGCATCAAAATTTAATGATGTCAAACCATTAAAAATTGATTAAGCAATAGACATATCCCATAAGAGATTAGGTAGAAGTAAGATTTTTAAGAAAGAATTAGAGATTTTTGAATGTTTGGATCATTAACTTAATTTTTCTAATGGTTTTTTGTTTTTAACGTTGTTATTAAGACTGTATTTAAGTAAGATCAAAGATAAAGAGAATGATATAATAGAAATAGCATATTTTACATTAAAGTTATGTTGTTTTGATTATGAATTATAGAGTAAATATTATCAAAGTGAGATATCTGCTGGTTGTTTATCATATGCAGTGATGTTGGTGAATTCAAATAATTAAGGAAGAGTGAATGAACATATTACTACATAATTAGTAAAAATTATAATAAACTAATTAGTTATATTTATTAAAAAATTCAAATATAGTAAAAGATTAATAAATAGTAATTGTTGGAGAACATATTGAAGGATTAATAGAAAGATATTTTACTGATATTCAATTTAGAGGGAAAATTAAAAAATTAATTGAATATAACTTAATCTAAACAGATTTAGTGAAGTCCTACCTTGATAATAGAAATTAGGATCCATGAAAAAGAGTATTATTCTAAATTATTACTATTTTTTAATAATATAAAATAATGATTAATAGAGACGCTGGATTCTAAGATTTAGAAAGTGGAATTCAGAGCAATAACATTTCATCAGGGCAATTATTTGATATCGATTAGCCAAGTCCTATAGGTGGTTATAAATTAGATCCAACTCTTGAATTTTCTTAATTATAATAGTTGGAAGCTTTAAAATTAAAGAGAGATATTTTTGATAATAATCATAAATAAGCTATAAATTTAGGTCATAAGGCAGATGTAAATGAAGAGGATTGTCTAATTAGTAATTTAAGGTATTTTGTATTGATATGAAAGTGGTAAAAGAAGCGAACCTTAGGGTTCTATAAGTTCAATTAGCTGTAATTTAAAAATATAAAAGCCTTTAACAGTAAAGACTACATAAAATAAATCTAACAAATCAATTTAAATTTAATAAAAATTTGATTAAGATGACTTTATTATACCATCTCCAATTGAGAATAATGGAACAATCAATTTAGGATTGAAATCAGATGCTAAAATAGCAAAATATTAGACATTTGTATAATAATTAGAAGAAGAATAAGAATAAAATGAAAGAACAAAAAGAGCTTAAGTTAATAGAGATACTGTAAAATAGTCATCGTTGATTTAGAGAGGTAGAAGCAAAGAAATGAAGACTGGGTATAGAATTGATTTATTATTTTAGTTTAAATGAAGTATGGACTTAAAAAGCATTCATAATTATTAGATTAGTTTCTCGTTTTATTTAATAATTAAAAACTAAGACTGAAAGAATCAAATTCAGATTAATTACTAAAAGAATTTTTGAAGTAATTTGTGATAATAGTGCAAATTTTGAATATATGTTGATAAATAGATTAATTAAATAGAAACCTAGTATTAGTTTAATTATCTTTGATTAAATTTAAAATAAAGCTCTAAAATTGTTGAATTCTATAGAAGCAATAAATGCTTTCTTTGGAAAATATGTTAAAGTAATAAAACCTGATAGTTTATTCAAAATAGTTTGGGATATTATTTTATTGTTATTTATTGTGGTGAATATATTTTATATACCTATTTATATAAGTTTTGATGTGAGATCATCAGGTGTATTTGAATGGTTCTTTGATCTGTTGCCTTCATGGATATTTATAGCAGAAATATTATTAAATTTCAACACTGCTTATTATGATAAAGGTTTAATGCATGAAGATCGAAAATAGATAATAAAGCATTATGTGAAAGGCAATTTCTTTTGGGATCTAATAGTGATAATACCTTTTTTAATATCCTACATGGATATTCCATTTGTTAGATATACATTATTGTTGAGATTAACTAGATTATCTCCATTGATGACAAGTATAGAAGAGGTTCTAAATTTGGAAGTAATATTATCAAAGTTATGAAAAAGGATAATATGCAAGTATTTTTGGATTTGTTAAAATTAATCTTCTTTCTCTTGTTAACAGGACACTTTTGTGGTTGTGCATGGCATTGGGTAGCAGTGATAGAATATTAAAATTATGGTGAAGAATTAACTTGGTTAACTAAATATGCACCTGATGCTATGGATTATTATTGGTTTGATAGATACATAATTTCTTTATATTGGAGTGTTATCACTACAGTTACAGTAGGATATGGTGATATAGTTCCAGTAACAACTGTTGAAAGAATATTTGTAATAGTTGTTACTTTATTAATTTGTGGTGTTTTTGGTTATTGTCTTTCCAATATAGGAAATATTTTTAAATAAATATCTGATAAAAAGGCTATTTATAAATAAAGGATAAGAGAAATCAATTAACATATAAGAAAGAGAGGCATGAGTTATAATTTATAATTAAAGGTATTCAGGTTGATATAATATAGGTTAAAAAATATTTTGAGTATTTCTTTAAAATTAAGTAGGAAGAAGATTAACATGCTGAATAATTTATTGAATAATTAACAAAACATCTAAGAGAAGAAGTTCTTATAGATATTTATAGTAAAACATTAACTTAATCACGTTTCTTAAGAGAGAATTTTAGTGATGAAACTATTCATAGATTATGTCAAATAGTTAAAGAAACAAAGTTATATCCAGAATAATTATTATTCTAAAGGAATGATTCTCCTAAATCACTTTGGTTTGTGCTATCTGGAGCAGTTGAATATGTTGCTGACCATTAAAGTAAATTGTCCACTAATGCTTATAGATGAGGATGAACATTTCTATACTGAAACATTCTTGAAGAAAATAACACAAGGGTAAATCCTAGTAATAACATTATTTATAGAGCTGTAATAGGTGAACGAGAATTCATTTCATAAACACCTTATGAATACAATGCCAGAGCAACTAAATTTACTTAATTATTAGTAGTAGAGTAATATATATTTAATTTATTTTTATTTAGTTTTTAATAATTCTATTTAATTATTTAAGAGAATATAGAAGAATTTGAGAGATATAGTATGGTTAAAGATAATCTCATTTTTAATAGCAATTACAAAGCTTTTGGTTAAATTTGTGAAATATGTGGATGGACTCATAGATTCATTTAGTAATTCTATATTATAGATTATTAGATGTCCATTTGTATTTTTACAACCAAACAAGAATAAAATAGCTAATTCTTTTGCATCAATTAAAACTAATAGAAGACTTACATTTCCATATAGAACATTACCAAAATAAAATTGGAAAAACAATCTACCTGATGTATAAGAAGCAGCATTGGGATATATAGTTTTAAACAATATCATACCTGAAAAGTAATTTATATTAATATTCAAGAGAAATAAATGATGCTTACCTAATTAATTTAGGTTTTGAATTAAATGATAAAGATGAGGATCCATAGATATAAGTTCAAAATAAAAAGAATTCCATGTTCAAAGATTAAAAAGTATTATCTTAATTCGAAAACAATCTATAATAATAACCTGTTCCATAACCTTCAATCTAGACTGTTTTACCAGCTGATCAAAAATCTTAAAATCAAACTGCTATTTTTCTTAAGGATGGTTAAAGAGCTAGTATGACAAATGTAAAACTATATATACTTAACATAATTTATTAGGAAAGTTAAATAGATTGGGATTAAGGAAGTCAATTTAGAAGAAGTCTTAATAGAATTAAATTGTAAGGCATAGATAAAGGCAAGACTCTCTAATCAATAAAAGGGAAGTTTCATTAAAATGGAGTAACTGATTTATTGGATGAATCAATGATATAAGAGGAAGTTAAAATACATAATGCTAATGTGGGATCATAGAATTTTATACATAGTAAATTAAAAATAGTCAAAAACAAAATAAATAAAAATCAAAATTAAATTGGAATTAGAAAAGTATCTTGGTTAGAATTTGATAGTGCTATAAATTAACATCTAGGTTTCATTTGATATTTAAATAAATTAGATAATAAACCAATTCATTTATTAAAATAAGTTAGTAAAGGAAGTGAAACTAATTTCGATCAATCACTTCCTTCTTGTTCATAAGAAATAGAAATCAAATAAAGAATAGAAGCAAGAGAAAATAGTATTATTTCTAAAAAAACTAGCAAGTATATAATTAATATTTAAATTTATAGTGTTGAAGTTACTCGAAGAAAAAAAAGAAGAAGAACTACACAATTATTATAGTTATTTTAAGGATCAGAAATTGATAATAAATCAAATAAAAAAGTTGAAAAAAGTCTTTTAAATAATGAAGCATATAGTTCAAGTGTATATACAGCTGGAGTCCCTAGTAATTCAGCTGTTGTTGAATCCAATAATAAATTTGATAATTAAGGAGATAGTAATAGTGTTCATGCTGGACAATCTATAGATGGAATTTAAAAGAGAATCCAAGATATAGTTAGAGTTCATTATGAAATGGAAATGGATGTTGCAAGATCATCAAAAATCTATTTTCCTGATTTCAATCTTGATGTTGTTATTTAAAGAATTACTTTATATTATGAAAAATTAAATGAAAAAAAACAGGAATTTGATATGAGAGAAATGAAAAGAACTAAAACTAACTTTACTCTTTTTGATCGTATTAGATAAGCAAAGAACACTACTATTAGGGGAAGCTTCGTTGATAAAGAAAACGATTGAGCACAAGAATTGATATTAAATTATCACTATTAATCTTTTTTATTTAATAATTTTTATATTTATTTCATTTACAAATCTTATAATTTATCAAAAATAAATATAAGATAAAATCTTTTGTTATAATTTAAAATATTAAAGAGAAGAATTAATTACAAAAGTAAATAAATTCTATGTGAAAAATTACTTTTGATAATTATTATTATAGAATTCCCCTTAATTTTCTGTTCTTTAGTTTTTTGTAAATATGAAAATTACTATAAACAAACTTAATTAATGAGAGTTTCAAGTATTTAACTGCCATATTTTATCAATTCGGTAGGAAGTGTTATCTCGAACATTAAATTGTTTAAAAAAAAGTTACAAAAAATAATATAAGAATTATATATACTTCTCTATATTATAGATAAATTAGAAATAAAAAAATATAGGAAAATGAATATACTATCAATAAAAAATGATTTTGAATATTATAAATAAGTAATTTAAGAGATAGTAATAATATGATTTAATTTGAATATGAATACCTTATTTTCTATTTCCAAATAAAAAAGTTTATAAAAGAAATAATATATATATTCAATAATCTTTAAAATAAATAAAAATTATATTGAATTTTTATAGGTAAAGTATGTAGAAATATCATTCATTACAAAGTATACAATTAATTTTAATCGAATGTTAGTGTCTTTCAAAAGAATCATGATCTTAATGTATCTTAGATATCGATTTACAGACATGTTCATATCTATTCTACATTTTTTCACTTTTATAGTTAAAATGCTGCCATTTTAATTTTTAATTTCTTACAATAATGTCACCTATTGTAAAATAAAATTGAGGGACTCTTTCATTCTTTTTCATTTTAAAATCATTTATAAAATCATTTCGTGTTGCTGATATCCATTATATTAGATATTCATCCTTCTCTTATTAAATAATTTAAGATTCATTTAATGATTCTAATATTTTTTAATAAGTTTATTTTAATTCATTAAGTTTTCTTAATTAATTAGCCTTTCTAATTTAATTTTAGGAAGAATAATATTGAAACACAAAATGTAAATCAATATTCTCAAAATAAACTTGTTTTTTACTTATGATATGTTCTTTTCCCGAATAAAAGGCCAAAGATATATTATGTAGCAATTGTGAATCAAATTATTTTGATTATAAGTTTTTTTTAAATAAAAATATTGTAGTTTCAATATTGCAATTTGCTATAGGTATTTTATACTATAAATCTTCTGGATGTAATTTAAAAGAATTAGATAGATCGATTGAATCAAAGTAAATTATTTTAGATAAGTTAAATTTCTAGAAATCATTAAAAACTCTAGTCATTTAAATACCACCAATACGAATATTTTTAGTGATTCTAATTTTATATATTGCATCATATTAATAATTTTAATCTTAAAGATATTTGTGCCATTTTAACATAAAGTTTGTATTTTAAACTAAGAAGATTATTATATAAGCCTTTGACAATCTTTGTTAAAATAATTGATGTACATTTTCAGTGTATTTTTAAATTCTCTTCTTAAATTACAAACACAAAAAGCATTTTCACATTATTCTTAATTGTTTTAACTTAAACTAATACTACAATTAGTGATTTCATTCTAATTTTCCCAAAATGAACATGATCTTTTTAATATAACATCTTATCATATAGATTAATAATTACTTTCAAATTAAATAATTAAAATTTTATCATAATCCTCTTCTTTTAATTCTGAAGCTTTGAATAAACATTTTAAACTTGCTCCTTCTTATAATTATGTAAAATGTTTATTCTAATAAAATATTTAAACAACATGATCTAGACTTTTTTATTTTTTAATTAATGGTTTTGCAAATAACTATCTTGTTTAAAGTTTAATTTAATTCATATTGTTTTAGATAGGAAGAGAAGGTAAAATTTATTTTTATGATTTTAACATCTTAAAATTTGCTAAGTATCTCTAAGTGATTGAGCTATCATTTTTTTAGAAATATAGTTCCTCTATATTATTAATTTAATTTTCATATGTAATCCTTCTTTATGGTACTATTAATTTTGCTGAATTAGTAATTAATATGGTATCCTCAAAATCAGATGTTTAATTGTTTTTTTCTTTCTTTTCCTTAATTCTTCTTTCCTCTGGACTAAGGTATTACTTTTGTTTGATTTCAAGCAACCCTTTATACTTGTTAAAATATGATTATCTAGGAAAATATAAAGTGCTTGTTATTAAGGTATTTTGCATTAAATAAATAAACTATTTTAGTTTAATCATAAAATAATCAAGCAATAATGAACAATAAAAATGTGGGTTAAATTAAAATTTGAGTATTCTTCTTTTTTTCCTTTAATCTTAGAATTCTTTTAACTCCAATTAAATATTCAATATTCATTTGAGTTATTATGTTATTATAATTTGATTTGCCTTAATATCAGGTCTATTATGAATCAATAATATAGTTTATTTTTCTATTGATTATCAAAGTAAATATAAAATTTCTTTTTATTGTAAATATTGATAAAATGAGATTTGAAAAATAGTGATTATTAAATTGCTTTATGAAGACATTTAGTAATATTCATGCTCATCTTAAGAAAGGTTTAGATAATGAATTTAGAATATGATTTAAGAATGATCTTTAAAGAATAATCAATACTGAAATATAGGATCTGAGTTATTATAATTATATACAATAATTATAGAATGATATGATTAACTTTATAAAGGATTATATGATGAAAGATATTTTGAAAGTGGTGCAATCCAAATAATATGTTGAAATAAGAAAGAATATTTAGGTTTAAAACAATAATGAAATTTATTTAATTAATTATTATTACAAAATAATGAATATGAATTAAACAAAATTGGATTGCTACAATAAAACATAAGCTACAGGTAGTGGAGCTAAAGGAGCAAGTACTTTTGTATCTGGAACTTTGATGTCCAATTGGCATGAAGAAGCTCAATTAAAAGAGGACACTGGTTTTGGAAGAGCACCTGTTCCATAACATATTAAGAAAAAGCATACAGATTTGATGTTAAAACCTCCTGAAGAAATTCCACTTTATAAAGAACCAATAAATTAACTTGATACAACAACTAGGTTATTTGGTAAAATATAACCTGATATTCCAAAACCAGCTTCATAAAAGTAATAAATTAATTTATAAATAGTGTCGGAGGTACTGTAAACAGGGCTGATTTAATACCTAAAGTTGGAAAGAAAGCTTAATTAATTGAATAATAATATCTATAATAAATACAGTCTGAATTAGAATCTCGATAAGCAGACAGTTTCAGTTAAACATAATAGAGATATTTTGAAACAACATGTAAATCAGAATTCACTTAAGTAAGCATAATATATATGTTATTAGAAACCAATAGAAAATAATACTATTGGAAGAAGAGTTATGAGAACATAAAATGGAACTGCAATAGATGCAGATAAAAAAGATTTTGATTTATTAAGTGACATGGGATTTTATTAAAAGTATCACAACTAATCTATTATATGATAGACCTCAACTGTCAACTGATTAATAATTGGCAGGAATTTTACCACAAGAATCATATCTAACAGCAAAACCTATAACATTTTATTCTGAAAAGCAAGGTTAAGGAATCCTTTATCAATCTAAGCCAGTCAATGAAGTTAGACCATTTCATAAAGTTGATGAATTTGTTAAAACATTTCATCACTTCACTCATGTCAAAAATTGAGAAAAAAGTGAATAGCTAATTATGCAAGATCATAATAATAATATAGTATCACTATTATATATATCAAATTTAATTCTTAAAATGTCTTTTTAGTTTTATTCTACTTATCTAAAGCTATTTTCAAGTATTATTTTTGTTTTCAATAATAAAACTTATTTCAACTTCAATCAACCAAAATTAAATTGATTATTAATGAAAAGATGTGTTTATAAAATTTATAATCAAATGCTACTTTTTATCTTCAATTAATTTTTCTTTTCTTACCTTATTAATTATAAAGATATTGATTTGTAATCAAAATAATTAATCTATTAAAGTTTAAAAAATAAAAAAATGGTTAATCAAAAATTGATATATATAAATTTATAATGTTACAACAATAAAATTCTTGTTTATATTAATTAATCTATACATTTTAAATTAGAATTAAAAAATTTATAATAATTTATAATTGTTTTCATAATTCAAATGAATTTAATTTATTTTTACATCTTAATAAAAATACATGCCAATACTCAATCAAATGTAATCCTTTTTGTATTATAACAATTAATCTGTCATTCTTAAATGAATCATATATAATTCATAAAATCTTCCTAAATTTTCAATAATTAAACTCTTAAATTAATTTCCATCTAATTCATTTTTTTTTTCATAATAAAATTCAGCAAATGTCTTTTTATCAAACTCTTTTATTGAACAAGAAAATGCAAGAAGATCATTTAAAACTTCTTTAGGTGAACCTTTAATATAGATCATTAATATATACCTTTTAGTTAACAAATTAATTCTTGTTTGAATGCTTTAACTGAGAAATCTACTAAGATTGCTAATTCATGTTCTTGACTATTCTGTTGATTGAATAAATTGATCATTTACACAATTGGTTTGCAATCAAAATATTCATAAAAATCCCAAGGATCTATATGAATCTTTAATTATTGCTTCTACATATATTCTGATTTTTTTTGATTGTATTATGATAAAATATCATATAATTCTTGAGCTAAATGATAATATAAAGGACTTTGAATTTATAAACTTAATGAACTTGGTTTAGCTAATGTTGCTGAAGGTGTATGTGATTGCAATGAATCTAACTAAAATTTTTATTATATTTAAATCATACCTCTTTCTCCAATTCATCATTTAATAAATCATCTCTAGAATCTCTTTATAAAACAGCAACAGTAAGATTACTATGTCCTGGTCTATAACCACATGATTATGAAAGATCTTTTAAAAGATTTGACAAGTACACAGTTTTAGTGGTTTTCTCATAAAGATAAGACTATATTGTCTCTTGTAATTTTTAATGTGCAACAAAATGATCATAAATTTGATCCATTACTAACAATGTTTTATTAGATTTTGCTATTTAATTGGCATATTCTAATGCATATTTAGGTAAAAAATAATTTGATCCTTAACTTTCTGCATGTTTAAACCAAGTGGCTGTTTAAATAGGAGACCTTCCATAATAGATAATCTAATCGAAAGCGTTCAACTTTTTTAAAAGCTCTTTATCTTTAATGATAAGCATTTGACCATACGTTATTGGATGAAAGAGATCTATATACACATTATGTGTTAAAATTTAATTCTATGGAAGGACTCTTTTAGGTAATTATTTGCTATCTGTATTATTTTCATTTGATTCCTTTATGTCTGCAATCGTACAAATATTATTTTAAGGATAAGCCTTTAATGATTTAATATGTTAAATTGGCTCTAATACTTCTGATTGTTGTAACAATAATGCTAATTGATTTTTTTCAAAAATTGACATGACTACTCCCAATGACTTTCCAAACTTTAATACTTCACCTTGTTTAACTTGATTATCATGAGCAAAAAGAATCATATCATCTGATTTCTTAAGAATTAATGAAGACATTCTACTAATTACTTTCATCATTAATATTATTAATAAATTATTTACAAACTAATTCTATTTTTATTTATAAATAAAAATTTCTAATGTTTTGTAAATATATTTATAAATTATGTAAAATGTAGCATTCTTACAAATAAATAAGATAATAAAATAATGATTTTATTATTAAAAAACAAATATAAATGTTCATATAGCTTCTTTGCTTTTTTTATCTTTGGATTCATAAAATTGGATATATTGAGTTACCATTTCATTTACTTATGCTTAACTACTTTCTTTAAATTCTTTTCGAATCAATTTTGTATAAACACAAAATAGTAACACAAAAAATATGACCATAACAACTATAATTATTGCTATAGTCAAATATAGATTTGTTGATGAATCTGTTTAAAATATATATCCATCAACATAATTACCACAAGATTCTGGTGGAGTCTCAAAACTATAACAAATATCAAGAAAAACATTTGCTCCAGTGATTTATCCTAAGTAATCCTAATGATTTATTATGATTCCTGGCAATGATTATACACCAGCAGTATTCCATAATGTCAATTAATCTTCTAAAATACTGTTTTACTTATAATTATGAGTTTCATTTCTTAATACAAAAGAGAGTGTCGATTGCTAATCTCTTATACATTTTTCAACTTTTTAATTTTCAATACCTACCTCTAATTATACCTTTGGAGAACAAATTTCATATTATTATGCTGAAGTACAATTATCTCTGAATGATTACTAAATTTATAATAATATTTACCATATAATCAAACCATTTGTCTATACTTTGATTAAATATACATAATTATCTAAGTGTTTCTTCTACTATCATTTATCCAGTACCAACACCTAATCCATCAGGATCTGGTGAGCAATATTTACCATAAGATATACAATTTTGATAATCAATTGGTCTATCTGGATTGGGAATAATTTAATATAATGGATACAAGATGGTAAAGTTAACTAATAGAGCAATATAACCAAGAAAATATACATTCTTCATTTTTCAATTTTTCATAATAAGGTCTAAATTCTCTTAAAAATTTATATGTTTCTCCAGATAAAATTGATAAGGCAAATAAGGCTTCTACACTTTTCTATTAGCGAACATCAAATTTAATAAGCAATTAAATTTGATCTGTTTCTGAATTGGCTTTTGGCATCTTTAAATATTTTGTTAAAATCTCTCCATCTGATTTAGATATAAAAATACTAGGGATTTATAACTAAAATATATTATTATATATACTCCATATCCTGTTCCATCATCAGACATTGTAATGTTTTCTATTATTTCTACCTTATTATCTTCAATTATTGCTAATTAATATCCTGCATTCTATGCATTTCTAACTTTTGTCACAAAAGAACAACCTCCTCTTTTAATTAGTACAAAGTGACTTTTTACAGTTTAATTAATTGCTGTACAAGCTTCTATAGGATTTGAAATATCAAGAGTCCCACTTAATCTACGACCCCAAGGAACATTTCTATATTAGTCTATATATTCATAGTTTACCCAAAATTTGCTATGCTAAATACTATTTCTCCATTATTTTAGGCTAATTCTTATTTCAATTCTTCTGGACCTATAACTTTAAGCTTTCCTAATGTTAGTTCAACCGAGATGAAAAATAATGCTAATATTAACATTTTCAATTAATAAATATTAGAATTTCCTTTTTAAAAATATTTATCAACAAAAATAATAATAATAATGATGCTAAGTATCATAGATAAAAGGATCCTAAGAATTATCTTGAAATCTAATAGAGAGAATATTCAAAATTTATTTATTATTAAATTTATATTCAATTTAATATGAGATTAGTTGTTTTCATTTTATTACTATGTTCAAATGTGATTGCTATTCCCAAGAAGCAAATTTTACTTGGAACAAAATATGATTAACCAATTAATACTTAAGAAATTAAATTAAGTAAGTATATTATTATAGATTTAGCACTTTATTAAACTGATGTTCAATAAGATGAATAAAGAAATCATTTGAAATCAGAAATTACTAATTGGACAGCTGCTAAGAGTACTTTAATAGAGCAAGTTTCTAAATTTCAAAATAATTTTGAAATATTATTATCTAAATAAGAGTAGATTGGAATTTTCTTAGTGTGCTTAATTTGTTTTGCCTTTTATTTGATGATAAAATTAGAAGATAGAAATATTAGAAAGAATGAACATAACAATAAGAAAATGATTTAAAAGTAATAATAAGAACACAATGTAATTATATTGACAGATTCAATATTTGGAAAAGAATAATCTAATTAACCATTGATTTCTACAATAATTGGATCAATAATTTATGAAGAACGAGTGTTTTTATAATGTTTTAGCTTTTTAGAAATAAATCAGCTGATAATCTGATAATTAAGTAGTAAAACCCTATTTTAATGAGATCCAATTCTTATACATTTCTAAAACCATAACATCCAGATTAATCAGCTGAAGAAATACACAGTTTATTGAAGGATATTAATTGATGAAATTAACAATATTTATTCATTATAATTATAGAAATATTACAGGATGAGTCATCTTATTATTGAATATTGAGTTAGCATTAACTAATTATTCTAAAGTAATTTAAAAAATGATTAAATTTTATTTAAAAAATATTAAATGGTGAACGTACCTAAAAACAGAAAAACATATTGCAGAAAATGTGGAAGCCATTAAAGTTGCAAAGTGTCTCAATACAAAAAGAGCAAGGAAAGTCCATTTGCTTAAGGCAGAAGAAGGTACGACATGAAACAATCTGGGTATGGTGGATAAACAAAACCAATTTTCAGAAAGAAGGCAAAGACAACTAAAAAAGTGGCTTTAAAGTATAGATATTTTTGGAGAATAGGCTTGAATGCGTCAAGTGTAAATTAAAGTGGTTGAAAGTTATTAAGAGATGCAAGACTATAGTCTTTGTAGATGCTAATTAGCTCAAAAAGTAATAAGAAGCCAAGAAGAATGCTAAATGAGATAATTACAGTATTATAATAAAATACATATGTACATTTAGAATAGATTAAATTGCATTAGATTATTTTTTAATATTCCTTAAAATTAATCTATAATTTATATTTATCTATAATATCTGAATAATTTTCATACTGTCTTTATCTATATTTGATAATAAAATCAAGAGAATATTTAAATAATAAACAGAAACTGAATTCTTAGGTTAATGATTATTTAATAAATATTAATGTAGAATTATAAATAGATTCTAAAAATAAATAATGTTATTGTTAAGCCTATATTTTTGATTATTTAATCAGATAATCTCTTTGAAATTATTAACTTATTAATTAGCTAGTAATTTCAATTCAACAGCTTTTCTTGATTTTTTATATTTCCCAACATACACCATACAATTAAATTAAAATCTATTCTTTATTATTATGATTATTACCTTAACAATGAACCTTACTTTGAAGTTTTTAAAGTCTCTTTAGTTACTCCAGCCTTTTATAAATCATCTAAATGAACAAATATATCTGATTTATCTTCATCCATAACAATAAATCCATAATTCTTTTATTCATCAAAAAATTTAAGTCTTCCAGTATAAATTGGATTAGTTGATTATTTCTTTTAGTCTGTCATTTATAATTTATTATTTAATGAAGGACAACTAGCAGTTGATACTAAATCTAAAGGAGGAAAGAATTCTAGATCATCAAGATTTGGAATTCCATCTTCATATCTTTATATATTAAATGAAGTTTATTATGAAGACTATTCAATTTTTTTCTTTTCTTCTTAAATAGAAAATGGTTTAAATGAATTTATCTAATCTAATGATGGAAATTAATAATCATCTTAAATAAAAGTTTGTTATTTTGTTTATGAAAAAAACACTAAATTAAATATATATATTTACATGCTCTATCTTGCGGAATAGATTAAATTTAAGTGATAATTTATTATTCTTTTTATTCCCTTTAAAAATCAAAAATTTAATGTTCTGATAATGATTTCTTATGTCTTCTAACAAGTTTCTACTAATCTTTTTCTGGTGTATTATTTATTTAAGGTAGTACAATCTATAGTTTATTATATCATATATTTACATCTTAGAATATCTAATCAAATGTATAGCATTTCATTTATTGTTAATTATCTATCTATGCTGTCTTTTCCTCCATCATAATTAAATTATTCATTTGATCTGTTGTAACTAATGGTAAATATCCTGTCAAATTTGGACTATAACAAAATATCTTTAAAGTTTTAGTGTATTTAGGGGGAACATAAACATTACAAAATAATTAGTTCTTTTAATTAGTAAAGAATTCTTTAATCTTTGTTTTCATAATGGTTGCATATAGAGAAATATATTACTAAAAATTAATTTGTGATTAAAAATACTTTTTCATTTAGCAATTCACTATCTATTATTGCAAGTGTTAATTCATATCTCTAAATTAGTTTTGGAAATTCTTAATCTGATTTGTAATTTTATTTAACAGTTTTAAACAAATGTTCTTTAATCGAGGCATCAGGACTGTGGAAATTGGAAATAGAGAGTACATCCAATAAATGCATACCTGACAATCTAGAAATGAGTAATTGATTGATACCAATTTCGCCTTTGTATATTAGTGTATGCAAATCATTATCATTCAACACCTATCTTTACTATTATATCATAATTAAAATATATGTAAATATTTGTAAAATAGTATTATTTATATTTAGATATATATAATAATACTCATTATTCTAAAATTAGAATTTGACCTATTTGAAATTGAATAATCTGGCCATCAGATAATAACATTGATTTTATAGAAATAAATTAAACTAGAAAGAATGCATCATTATTTTTTGGTTTGTATTCTATCAAAAATCGATTCTTTTGCATCCATTCTAAGTCTACCATCTTCTTTGAATCCTCTTCCTGATTAAAATTACCCTAATACAATGACTTTACTGGATTATTGATAATTTGGAACAGCACTCATTTAATAACCTTTTTCTTTATAATTGTTTATAAGTTCTAATAAAATATATATAATTATAAACCAATTGCTTAATCAGCAGATTATTAATTTGAAAATGTAATAGTGGCTTATTTGTTATTAATCTAAATAAATAACATATATTACCTATATTCCCAATATGTTGGAATCATCATTTATTAACTATTTTAATTCATTAGATGTTGATCCTTCTTTTAGATTCCTAATAAATATTGGAAATGATCCTGTTGGCTTCTATATATTTTATTATATTGATTCTAAAATATTATGATCTTTTATATTTACCTCTTTTGGTAATATTAAGAATACCATGCTTTTTTGGTTATTATTAATGAATTTACATATTTCCTTAATAATTATTGTTCTTAATCTTAATAATCTATTTCCTAATATCCTTTTTCATTATTTAGGACGAATACATATTTCCATTCTCCTCATCTGATTCTTATTCTTATTTTGATTTTGATGCTGAATGTTAAGAAGGCTTATATTCTTATTAATGATCTCTTATGATGTTTATACTTTTTGTAAATATTTGATTTTTTTTCATATTATAAAGAATATATATATATTTTTTGTTTAGAATCCCTAAATTTACATATTTAATACTAATTAATTATATAGCTATTATTCACAAAATTGGTCACTTTGAGAATGAGGCTTATAACTTTTTAATAGCCTCTACAATAGAAACACAATTTTGAACTGTTTTCAAATTAAAAATCTTATTGTTTTAATTACGAACATCATCAAATTGATTTACATGCTGGAGATAATGTTACAAATGTACTAATTCCTATTGAAGAATTAATTTAATTTATACTTTATCATTTTTATCATCTAGATATGGTATTATTGGTATCCCATTTTCAACTTAAAAAGCAAATGAGTAAGCTGAGTTATCCACTAAAAGAATATCTTTCATATTTCTATTTAGAATTCGTAAGTCTTTTATGTGACAATTATTTGATATTTGTATACAATCATCACGAAACAATCTATATGATACAAGATTATGTTGTGGATCTAAATAATCAATAATTTTGTTTGCATAATCTGGATTTGAAGCTGTAAAAATTATGATTTCATAATCCTTAGCCATATTCCTCAAGAATTGTTATGCATATGGTCTTATGCTTATACCAACCTAAAATATAAATTATACATACCTAATAGATTTGCTCATTAAATATTACTGGAATGAAAAAATCACTCTTTAAACAACTAAACTCATTACAATGTACTAGTGTTTCATCTAAATCTATAATCAAGGTTTTCTACATTTCTTGATTTAATAATACTTTGATACTTTTTTAAGGTTAAATTTAGTTGGACAAAGTATATTCTTATGGGCATACAATTAATTTTGATTTTTATAGGTTGTCATATAATTAAGAGAAATGGTTTAAGTACATTTAAGCCATAAAATTGTCTTTCAATGTTCCCATTAAATATCCAATTAAATTCTGCATATAGTATTAATTTTATAATTAGAGTGCTAGAGAAAGTATAAAAGGAATATATACTATTTTCATTCAATATAGCTTCTTAGTGTATTATAGCTTCTATTGATGGAACTGGAACGAATTCCTATTGTTCAATTTAAATGGAAGTAGGCTATTCTATTAGTTTATCTGATATTCTTTAAGTTTTGCATTTTATAATAATCTGTTTTCTACTGATTTAAGTTTTAGCACCTCCAACAGTACTGCTCTTTCGTTTCTTAATTTTTTTATTTGTTTGAATTGACAATTTTTGTTTTTCCAATGATATACTGAAAATTATTATAATCATTTACAAGGATGAAGTTTAAGAAATACATGTCAAATTATCATCTAATAATGGAAATATTTAAGAGAATGACGAGGATTTATGTAATTCTGTATTATTTTTAAGCTAATGAGATTTTGATAATAGACCATCAATATTCGATAAGGATTGTTCTTAGAACTTCTTATTATTTTCTAATTAAGAATCAATGTTTTCTTATTAACTTTCTATATAATATATGAATAATTTCATACATCTAATAAAGAAGTCACTTTGAGATGCTTAAATTGAAGGCATTTGTGTTTATTGTTCACTTCTCAAGATGCTTATGATAACATGATTTTCCTTTGATTAGTGAGAAATAATACTTGATTTTATTGATTCAGCTTTTCTTTTTGAACAGTATCAGTTTAAATTTTACTCAACAGTATTTCATCTTTTTCATTTGTTTTCATATTGTATTATTAAATAATTTACACAAAAGAGATTAGATCAAGAAATTGATTAGAAGAATGTGAAAGGGGGGTAATAAGATTTGATTAAAATTATTTAATTACTAACATTTTTTAGTTAATTTCTTTTTCAATACATAATAATGAATTATAAATCATGCATTTGTAAATTTACATTTATATAAGTTGATTGAACAATAAAAATTGATAATAAACTTTGTGAATTTCAATTTCCTTCCTCTCTAGTTTGTTAACCTCCTTTCTTAAGCCAACGTATTCTTTTCCCTTCTTACCATTCTCCTTCCTTTTCAATTTTCGAAGAACCAATATAAATTCCAATACCATGTTGTTTACCATTGGCCCATTATCCTCTATACATCTAAACTTAATAAGGTTATTCTTATTACTCTTCCATCAGGCCATTTAAATTCTCCATAACCATGCTTCTTATCATCTTTATACTCTCCTTCATATTTTCTACCATCCAACCAAGTAAAAACCTTTATAATAATTTAAATATTTACTCCTTTTCCATCCATTTTATTATTCTTCCACTCTCCAACATATATTCTACCATCTTCCCATTAATATTCACCTTAACCTTGAATATTATTTTAATCAAAATCTCCAGTATATATTGATCCATCAGCCCATTTAAAAGTTCCTTTACCATGCTTTTTTCCATTTTTATACTATCCTTCATAACAAGCTCCATCTGGCCATATTTCTTTACCGTTTCCATTTTATTTATCATCTTCCCAATATCCAACATATTAAGCTCCATCCATATGCACATATTTCCCCTATAAAAATGATATGTATTGTTACATATCCATGAGCTTTATCATTTCTCCATTCTCCCTCATATTTGTCTCCATCAGCATGAATCAATCTTCCCTTCCCACAAGCAACATTTTAGTACCAATATCCTTCATAAATTGATCCATCTTGCCAAATTTATGTTCCTCTTCCATGTCGAAGTCTAACATAAAATTAAGAACTTACCCATTCTTCCATTATCCTTTATAAACACTTCCTCCATCCAACTCATATGGTTCTAAAAATGGTAATTCTTTATATTCATCCTTGTCCTAATCATATACAAAGGGTTCTATTTGACTTAAAACCTAACCTAAATAATTTAAATACTTGTTTAGTTTTAGCTGTCAAATAATCAGGCATTCTATCTAATTTTTTATATTTTTCACTTGGAGCATGAACATTATTTGAATCAACTTTATTTTAATAGCTTTCTTCTTTAGGTTCTAAGACATCTTTTTTATTCTATGGATTCATATATTAATTCTATTTCTTTGGCTTACTTGAATCATTTTAAGATTCCTTCTTTGCACTTTTATCTTGTTCTTATATTGTTTTCACTTTCTTTCTAGCTATATGACCTCTACAATGAGCTTACTTTGTAGATTTAGAAATACCTTAAATTACTGTAGCTTTCTTATTAAGAATATCTGAATTTGCAGACTTCTCTGATATATGTTAACCTAAATCTATCTGCACATTTTTTTCTAAGGCAGATCCTCCACCTGTACAACAATTTCCCATTTATATACGGTTATCTGAAATTATTTGATTTAATAAAATAAATGATTACGCATCAAATATATAAATAATGATAACTAACTCATGATAATAGTCAGTCAATAGCTTATTCAATACATAAAATAAATACATCAAACGAATTTTGTTTTAAAATATATACTAATTTTTATTATAATACTTAAATAAACTAGAACATTATATTGTAAATTATTAATATTACAGAAATTAAATTTATTAATATAAACTTTATAATAGTATACTTTTTCAATAATCTTTACTTGTAATTTATACATCAAAAATTTAAGTACGCTTTAAAGACAATTCTTAATTTTTTAACTGAAAGAAAGTTAATTAGTTTTATTATTTAAAAAATATATTTTTTTATGTTTATAATGTTTTCAAAATTAATTAATAATAATCTTTAAGATTTATAAACATTTTTATCATTGTTAAATTTCTGGTTTGTACTAATTGATACAGCTTTGATATAAGTTTTTAAACTCTTTTATCTAAAGAAGATCATCCATTTATAATTTAAACGGTTAATATTGTTGTTAGTGAGGATTAATGGAAATAGTGGGACCTATTTTTAATTAAATATCTTGCCTCCTCCATATATTTCTTATAAAATATGCCATATTGGTGCAGTTATCATATGAAAATGTTAGCCATCTTTTTTTTATTATATAATCTACTAATCCTTATCCAATAATAAATAATTCGTAATCTCTCCAGGAGGAGGATATCCAAATAAACTATTTCTCTATAAAATTGACTTTGAATTATAAAGATAAATTTGCCATTTTCTTAACCATTCCTCATGGACAAAATATATTCTGTCATATCCTTGTAAATTTTCATATTTCATTATTAATTGTCTCTCTAATTTCCTTCTTCTACTCATCTATTAAGCATATTCAATGCAAGCACTACAAGTTTTAATATTCTTCTCAATTATTGGACCTCCTCCATACTTTTCTATTAAAAATTCACACACTGCTTTTGGAATAATGATTGATGTTAGCTATAATTATTTTTAGGCAGAACTCTCTTAGATATTAGCAGGTGAATTAGAATTCTGGACTTCAACTATAGTAATGAAACTTGTATTAGTATCTAATTAGGAATTTAATTAAACTGAATTAGCATTCTGATTATAATTATATTGTTACTTCATATTCTAATCTAAAATCCCAATAATCAGGTTTTAATAGATTATGAGGACAAATTAAATGAGATGTTATAATCTAAGGTGGTTTTGAAAGATATAAAAATTATTCATACCAAAAATGTGGTAAATAACATAATTCTTCATCTTTTAATGATAATTCTTGATTTGAAATCATATTATGTTAATTTTACAAGTTTTTTCGAAGACTTGTTTTAAATGGATCTAATTAATTATCAACTTTTTCATAAAACAACAATAAAGCTTCACATTCTTCAACATATTTTTATTAAACTATTTCAATCATTTCATCTTTAATGCTAAGAAATTGTGAATTTTGATATCTTAAGATTGTTTCAAAATGATCCCCACCTTAATCATGTAAATGTACAACAATACCAAAAAGTCTATAATTCTATTCACTATCAAACTATTATTTATTAAAATCAAAATCATACATTAAAATAGTCTTAAAAGTTATGATCCTTTATTGGAAATGAAACATGTTTTGTATCCTTTTAGCTTTTATTCAAGAATCTTTGTAAATGAATACATAATAAATTGGATTATTATTAAAAATTATATTTTCTCTTAGATGATCTGGTACCACAACTACATAGAGTAAATGAATCAATCACTGGTTCATAAAAGTAATCAAGACATTCTTTTAATGAAATTGTCTATTTCTAATTAGTTACAAATTATTTGAAAAATCCTTATTGTTTTAATTCTGGTAATTCTAGGGATAATGCTGAGAATTATTCAACAGACTTTGTAACTTTCTTACAATTCAAACATTCAAGGTTAGAAATAAGTTCTCCAGAAAATATACTTTGAATAAATGAATATTCCATATATAAACTAGGATCAGCACTAACTACTTTTTAGAGTGTACATTATGTTCCAATCATGTCCTAGAGCTTATTTTGTGTAAATCAGATCATTTTTAAAGTATGTTTTTAAATTTGAAAATTTGAACTCTTCATTTAAAAAGTTAATAATTGTTTTGAAAGAATCCTATAAAAAGTAAATAATATATAAATTACATATGCATCTTTTCTAGAATATCCAATAATTTTGTAATCAAGTAACGCAAGATTTTTAATTAATACCGAAGGATTTATGATTCTATATTGATTTTATGAATAAATTGAAGCAATTGCACTTAATTCTCTAAGAATCTATTTCCTATTAGATTTTAAACTATATTCATTTTTCTCATATTCATAATTGATCTTTTGAAGTATTTACTAGATTACTGGATAGTTTAGTAATATTTATAAAACACAATTCAAATGGCTATTATTACAGATGTTTAACATTCCAGCATGTTGAACATTTTTTTGATTTTTCAATTCAGAATTACGAAGTTCTTATTTATAAAAGAATTTATGATATTCCATCCTTATCTTTTAAGGATTAATAGTTTCTTCAATATATTGATCTTCTTCATTTTATTAGGTTTGCTCAAAATCATAAATTTCTATTTTACACAACAAACATGCAATTAGATTTGAGTGGATATTAATTATCACACAATGTTCAGGACTATTTACTAATTATAAATTCAATATTTTTACATCTTAAATGCTCTGTAGAACATATTTTTTCAATATCACATAAAGGTTTTTCACATTTCAAACAGATATTCATTTAATCTTATTTTCTTTAACAGATCTCACATTTTATTTACTTATTTTTGAATAACACCTTGATATCAATTAATAAAAATTAGTACTAATAATTTAGTGAGAGAGTTATGAACTTGAGGTGTACTTCTTTAAAGAAGGATCTTTTGAAAATGACAACAAGTAGATTGAGGTTTCTATTACTGCATGATATAAGTTAAAAATTATATTATTTATCAAATCAATTATGTTTAAATCATAATTAACATTTCAATTATATAATTATGATATAATAATGAGATCCTTCTTTATAATTTAGATCTATCTTTATAGTATAGATACATATCAAATTAAAACAAATTAATATATAGAATTCTATGATAATAATAATAATTATCATGACAATAACAATAATAATAATAATAATAATAATAATAATAATAATAATCATGACAATAACAATAACAATAATAATAAAAAATAGTTTTTTTAATGTTATAATCTCATTCTATTTGCTTTGCATATGTTCACTCTGGTTATTTTTCTCCTTCCTATTACTACTCTTATTCTTATTATTCTTTATTTGCTTCTTCTTATTATTATTCAAGTTTCTTTTACTCTTATTCTTATCTTTCCTTTTCTTCTGCAGCAGCCTTTTCTTCAGCCTATCTTTATTCTTCTTGTCTTCTTTTTTCTTCTTCTATTTTCCTTTATTCCTCTTCTTATCTTTCTCTTTCTTATCTATCTCTCTCTTCCTATTCTTATTTTAATCTTTCTTCTTCCTCTTATTTTTGTTTCTACTCTTTAGCTAATCTTTCTTATTCTTCTCTTTATTTCATATAGGTTTAAAATGTAGGTCTTTCCTTGATTTATCTTGGTTACTCTTATTTTATTTCTTTTTTTGTTGCCCACTTATTCACATCTCTTTTATTTTCCAAATCATCTAAGAACTATCTTATTCTTTCAGGTAATAGTTTAGGTTATGGGAATACTTAAGAGTTTTTCTTTGAAAAAATAATGATTCCTATAAATTTATATAACTGTTTACCTTAATGAGAAATTTCAAAAGCTCCAGTTGAGGGTTTTTTCTTAGCATTATATGTGCAATAAGATTTAGGAATTTATGCTTCAATCTCTAATATTATTAATATCTAATTGAATACCTGCTTTGCAATCCAAATACAATTATGTATATTTATTTTCATCATGATGAGTACACCATGCATGAGAAGAGCAATCCATACAAACTTCAAAATCAAATATAATTGCTCCTTCTTGAGGAGGATCATTTTTTGGGACAACAGGTTTTTATTTTTGTTATGTCTGATTTTATTATTATTATTATTATTGTTATTATTGCTATTATTGTTATTATTGTTCAGATTATTCTTCATGCATACCTTCTTATCCTTCTTAACCTTCAAATTCTTATTGCTCCTCAGACATTTAATTTTTTATTATTTTATTAATCAAATATCAAATATCTCTTATTTCTTAAATAACACCTTAAACTTTTCAATAACTTCATTTCTCTTGAAATCAACTTGATTCACTATCTCTTCATCATTTATTATATTAATTAACTATTTTTCATTATCTTCTAATTTTTAATCCTTTTTGATATCAAGTATTTCTTTATGAAGAGACAATTAAACCTCATCAATTTATCGTTTTCTTTGATATCCCCAAAACTAATAACACTTTCTTTTAAAGCTATTATTATTTATAGAAATTTACATCAGATTTAAGAAATACTTCAATAATCCATAGATTGTTATTTTTCATATTTAAAATTATATGCTTATTACTAATTTTGTAATTTGAAGTATTTTAATAACTACTTTCGTATGTTAAATTTCTTATTATTATTCTTATTATTATTTTTGTTCTTAGCAATAGTTATAGTTATATGTCCATCGATTGTTTTTTTGTAATATTCTGGTTGAATGTAATAATATCTTATGGTTTTAGAGTATCGATATATTATATAGATATTAAGTTCTTAGTTTTAAATATTATTGAAATTAAAAAGAGATGAAAAAGAAAGTTTAGGTGAAAAGGAATAAGAAAGAAATAATGAAAAAGGTAAAACCTGAGTTTGACAGTGCTGACTAATTGTCACGAATAGAACTTTATAAAAGACTTGATCAAAATAACCCTTTGAATTAAGGAATGCGACCTTATGAAGGTTTTAATGGACCCAAAAGTACTGTGATTAACTAAATTAAGAGGAGAGATCGATGACTGATAGATTGTGTTTGTTTTTCTTGATTGTATTCTTTTGTGCAACAGTGTTCCATGGAATAGTACTGATTAGTTATGGGAACATAAATAGAATATCAAATGGTTATGATTTTCGAGATGAGATATGTGGGTTAAATGGTTTGATTAATCTACCTTATCTATATTATCTATAACCTTCAGTAGATTTAAACGTAGCCATGTGTGTGAATGAGTGTCCTTCATCAACAGGTAAATATACTTGTCTGTATTCAATTGATCATTTTACTACAACTAACTTCTGCTATGTTCAAATGAGTTCAACTAAAATGGCAAGATATTGTATTCCAAAAGAACCTGTGAGTAGAAAAATAGTAGATGATTATTTGAGTTAAACTGAACCTTATATCAAGCGTACTATGTCTGATATTTTATTAAGTCTTGATTTGATAATAGCATCTATCATTTTATTAGGTGCATCAGCTTATTTTTTAACTTATCTTTTGAGTTTCCCATCTATAGTAAAATATTAAGTGTGGGGATAGATTTGGTTGAGTATAATTTGTTTTGGAGTACTCTCTTATTTATTTTATAGAGAATATGAGAGAGTAATTGATACTAGATGTCTCTATAAAATTGATAAACATTAATGTGGAGGAGATAGAGCAACATTATTTTATTTAGCATGGATAGCAACTGCTGGAGTAGGATTACTATTTCTATTTAATATCATGAAATTATTCAATAAAATCAATTTGGGAATCAGTTTAATTAAGACATCTTCTTAAATTGTAGTTGTTCTAAAATAATTACGATTTTTTGCAATCTTTGTAGCTTTTGTTGGATTTGTTTAATTAGGATATTCCTGTATAGTTATATTATATGGTATGACTATTGGAGAAAGATCTACAGTTTAAGCACTCAATATTAATGGAGATGCCGTCAAAATATTTACAACTACTTAAATTTATTAATTATCATTACCATTTTAGGCTTTTATGATATTGTTCTTTTTATTATTTGTGATGAGTGTTAATGAAATGTTCAATAGTTATGCTTTAAGTGTATGGTTTTTCACTAAAAGAAAGGATGTGGTCTAGATTCCACTATTAGTTGTATTAAGAGAATTATTGTTACATCATCTTGGATCTTGTGTATATGCAGTCTTTATGGAGATATTCTTTTTTGTACCTAAATGGATATTCTACACAATCTATTATTTTCTAAGTAGTTTACCATAAGATTCAATGATTGTTAGATTTATTTAAGGATGTTGTCTTTGTTGTTTAGCATGTTATCAAAATTGTTTAAGATATTTAAGCAAACATGCTTTAGTTTAAGTGGCCATATGGTCTGAAGGTTATACTTAATCATCTAGAAAGGCATACTTTTTATTAGATAGACATAAAGAAAAGATTCATGATTTAGATTTTCTCATTGAATTTATACTCTTTCTATTAAAATTGTCAAATAGTCTTGTTATTAGTTTACCTATTTATATATACCTTTCAGTATGTGAAACTACTCTTTTGGGAATAAAAGTGGCAGATATTGAAAGTCCATTGATACCTACATTATTTGTATTCTTAATTGGATTCTTTTATGTTTCAGTATTTCAAGTAAGTTATGATATCACTACAAAATCTGTTATATAATTATATTTAGTAGATAGAGAAATGTTTTATGGTGAATAAAGATTTGTTGAAGATTTTATTCAAAAATTTATGGAATTCTATGGGAAAAAAGAAGCTGATTAATTAAAAATAAAGAGTAACGCCTAGAGGAAGTATAATGCTCAAATAGTTCCTGAAAATATCAATAAAGAATTGGATGAACCTAGTTATTAATCAGAAGAACAAGAAGATGAAGATGAAGATGAAGAATAAGAAGAGGAATTTGAAGATATAAATTTATAAGATGATAATTCAAGTCCTGATCTTGGAAATAATTATAATGGTAAGAATAAAACAAATGCACATCATATTGTTGCTGATCCATTTTAATTAGATGATGTAAGTGATAGCAGATCTTAGACTTAATGGAAGAGCGGTACGAATTTTAATAAATGAATTATAAAGATTATTAATTATGTAATTAGAAAAAGATAGCAAACAGTCTTATTTATACTAGTTACCGTTACAAAAGACTTGGGTATTATGGTTAGCACTTGGTCTAGCTTGCTTTCTTTTATTTGGAGATGCTTATGCTTTTGATAATCCAATGGCTTTGTAATCAACTATTCAAACTGAGATGAACCTTAACAATGTATAATTCAATATGCTTTATTCAATATATTCTGCTCCAAACATCATTTTGCCATTTTTTGGAGGCATCCTTATAGACAAGATAGGTGTGAGAATAAGTATATTGATATTCTCGTCTATACTTATTTTGGGCTAGAGTATTGTAGTTATTGGTGGATATACATTATCATATGGGACAATGTTGGCTGGCAGATGTATTTTTGGCATTGGCTCTGAAAGTCTGAATGCAGCATAAGCAGCCATAATGTCATAATGGTTTTAAGGAGGGTAAGTCAGTTTAGCCTTGGGTTTGTGTTTATCAATACCAAAATTGGGAAGTGCATTAAACAGTTTAGTTAGTCCATAGATTTAAGCAAATCATGGTGAATTAGGTTTTACATTTTTGGTTGGACTTTTTATAGTAATATTTTCATGGGGATGTGGATTAGTTTTAATCTTTTTAGACAAAAAAAATGAATAATTGATGGCAAAATGGAAAGAGTTCAATCCAGAATAAGAGAATAATGAACATAAGGAAGTATTATCTGCAGCTTAGGAAATGAGTTTATAGATTAGAAAAAGCGAATCTACTGAAAGTGAAAGATCAATATCATTGTTAGAAGAGGAAGATGATGATAATGATGATGATGAAAAAGAAGAGGAAGCAGTACATGAAGCAAAAGAAGAGATTAAGTTATCAGATTTGAAACATTTAGATGGTTCTTATTGGATATTGTCATGCATTATAATGTTGAGTGAAGCACTCTTTGTTCCCTTTTTAGATAATGGAAATGCATTCTTTTAAGTCAAATTTGGGTTTAGTTAATAATCAGCTGGTGTTTTATTAACAATTCCCTATGTATTTGCAGCATGTGTGACTCCTTTTGTAGGCATCTATAGTGATAAAATCAGATAACGTTCATTATTGATAGTTCTCACTACAGTTATTTTTATCATCACTCATTTGTGTCTTCTCCTTATTTATTGTGATGTAACCTTCTATACCTATTCAATATTAGTCCGCTTGTGGAGTATCAGCGTTACCTTTATTGTCATTAGGAATTTGTTATTCTTTTTATTCTGCCATTTTGATTCCATCAATTCCTTTAGTAGTCAAATCATAAATGATAGGTATTCTTTAAATATATATTAATAGGAACGGCATTTGGGTTATTGGGAGTGATGTAGAATACAGCTTTAGCATTGTTTCCTCTAATTACTGGAAGTTTATATAATAGTCATTTAATTAATGAAGAAGGCCAAGTTGATCCATTTTAAGGGTAATATAATGTAATTCCTATGATTTAGATATGTTTATCAGTCTTATTTCTTTGTTGGAGTCAGTTGTTTTAATTTTGTGATTGCTATTAGTTTATATGTATTTGATAAAAATGGAAGCAAGAAATTAAGTAGATTAAAGTCTAAGAGTAAATGAAATGTTTATAGTTGTTATTTTCATTAATATTTATTATATGAGTAAAAGAAATAATAGTCTTGCAGATAGAAAGAAATCCAAAAGCAAATTAAAGACAGCAATATCGTAAAGAAAAAATTCTGATTCACAAGAGAATAATTTCTATTATGAATTCCAAAATTTCTATAATCAAGCTTAGACCACCACTTTTATGAAGTTTGAATACATGAAAGAATTTTTTAACTTAGGTCTTACAGAATTTCCGACTGATGAAGAAATTAATTAAATATAACTTGAGATTCTAACAACTAGTGGATGGAATACAAATTTAAAGAAAAATTGGACATTAAATGAAAAGAAAGTACTCATTTGGTTAGTTGGGAAACTTAGCTAATTAAGAAATGAAGACTTAAGAGATTTATCTGCTGAACTTTTTGAAGAAGTTTCAAAAATGATATGTCGTAGAGATAAGGAATAATGTAAATTAAAATGGACTTAAATGCAAAAAGTTGCATTGTAATAACAACCTTTTAGACCTGAAGAAGATAAAAAGTTATATGAAATTATTATGCAATATTAATCAATTGATTAGGGGTAAAAGTGGAGTCAAATTTCATAAGAATTAAATTAGAATTCAACTGTTTATCGCTCTAGTAAATAATGTCGTGAAAGATGGTTAAATCATCTCAATCCTAAAATATCAAAGTATCATTAAATTAATACTAAAAATAGAGAACCTTGGACTGATGATGAAGATATATAATTATTAACTATAGTTAAAGAGATGGGTAGAAGATGGGCAGAAATTTCTAAAGTTATGGATGGAAAAAGAAGCGAGAACAATTTAAAAAATAGATTCAATAGTTTATTAAAAAAAGAAAAAGATTTACCTTATCTGTAATAATTTAAATATTCTATATATTTAGATAAACTTAAAATGGATCAGTCACTAACTTAGATGATTTGTTATCTGGCTATACTGGACCTGAAATAACAGATCTACAAAGATAAGTAATTGAAGCTGTTTTGGCTAAGTTAAAATGGAGAAGTTCAGAAACTTAAAATAAAAACAATCACAAAAAATCAATAGACATATAAGAATTATAAAATAATCATGTAAAATCTACATTCTAATAATAAACTTCATATACTATTGGAAATATTGAATAAGAATATGATATTCAAGGATTAACTCCTTGTTTAGTAAATGTAGATAAAAACATCATTTATTTTTGTACTCATGAAATTCTAGAATAATTTTACGACTTTCATCAATAAAAACAACAATAATAATTTAAAGATCATCTCCATAGAATTAAAAGTGAATTACATATCTATGATACAGGATTCCAAAATTTTAAATCTACTCTAAGTATGATAGAAGAAATCGACGATTCTTAAAGAAGTCATTAAAATCTTTATACAAATGATATAGATGGTTTTTTCAATCTCGAAACACCTCAAACATTTTCTTAACCTGTTTATGTAAATCCAATTGAGATTATCACTCATTCCGCCATGAAATACATCCACCGATGGAAAACTGATAGTCAACTAAATGATAGACGTAGAAATAGTATTACCATACCAAGATCATTGCCGATTTTGATATAAAATTAAACATGAAAAGCCTCCAGTATTTAATTACTTTCAATTCTATCATTTTAAAGATAAACTATACATCACTAATAATCACAATTATTACAAAAACCTTTAATTTTTTTTAATTACCAAAACTGCTAATTGTCTTCATTATCATAACCCTGTCAGTTTTTATTCTTGATAACCTAAAAATAATAAAAAGATAATACAATAAAACATTTAAATTGCATAATCATTAGCATTCCTTTTTTATAAGCATTTTTCAAAATCTTAATTTCATTTAATAACCTATTCATTTCAAATCTTCAAACAATATTTGATGTTTTTAATCATTGAAATTAATTTTACCTAACCTCTATAGATAAGCTATTTTATTTAATCTAATAATATTCATATTGTCAGAAGTGATAAAAATCCCAATTAATTGAAAATAAAAATAAAACATTTTTGTTGCCGAAAAATTTAATAACAAAAAATTATTTTTAATTATTACTAGATAATTGATCATCAAGAAGTGATAAGTACTTTTTATAAATGAAGTAGAATAAATTGGTTGGATAATGAATTTTATTAGGATCTTTAATGGTTTCAAAATTATATTCATAACATATTAACTCAAAGAAACTCTTATATAATATGTTGTTCAATTATTAAATGAGTAAATAAATGAAATTCGTATTTATAAAAAAAAATTATTTTTAAAGTAAACAATAGAGGTAAGCCAAATTTATTAAATGCCGTATTGAATCTAATTTGTATTTAATTTTTTTCAATCATTTGTATAAATTAGACCTTTCTCTCCTTAAATTTATGAATTTTTATAAAATTTGATATTGGAATAAAGAATTGATATTTTATTGGAAGATATTATATCTCTCTTAAGTACAATTGTATAATTTCAGATGATAAATGAACTAGTATGATTAATATAATAATTAAAATAATATAATAAATAATTTCTTTTTAGCAATTATTTTATTACATACGTAATTTTGATTCGTATTAATTTTGTATTTTTATAGAAGTTAAAAACGTAATTCAATAAATAAATTCCTAACAATTTGAACATTCAAAAATGTCTCTTCATTCCTCATTTGGTTATGATAGCCTTAGGTCAGTTATTTTTGCAAAAGCCATAAAAGAATGCGAAAGTAATATTTAATTTTTATAGTAATAGAAATTTAAAATGAGCATTATTTATCTGAGACCAGTTCTGATATTAAGAGTAACATCTCTTCAGATTCAGAAAAACACTTATTTGATAAGTATTTCATTAAATCTAATAATTAGGGAATACATTATGGAATCTGCTGAATCCTTAATGACATTCAATAATCAATAATTTTCTCTCTCTTAATTTAATACTCAACAATGATTAAACATTTAATTTGTATAGCATATATATAATAATATCAATTTCTAATTAATATCTAATTATTCTTTGATATTGATAAAATTTTTGAACTAGATTAATGACTAGGTTTTGTTAAACTCTTTTAATAGAATTTAAACAATTTTGTTAGTTGAAAAATTCTAGTTGAATTTTAATTACAGATTTTAACTATGAATAATCAATACTTTTGAATAACTTTTGTTTTCTATTTAAATTTTATTAACTAATCATTTTGATAACTCTAAATTGTTCAATCTAATATTATAAAAGATTATGATATTCAATATGTGCAATAAAAATATTTATTAGAATTTATCTTCTATATCCAAATATATATATCTATTATATAGTTTATATGATAATTATATTAGGATCTATAAGTTTATTGAAGAATAAAGGTTTTACATAAAGACTATATATAAGTTGACTTTTCTAAATATTCAAATATATCATAAGATTTAGTATGCGTAATCCTTTGTATTTTATAGTTAAAATTATATTATTTAAATAATCAAAACTTTATTATCTTTATTAAAGTATTTCTAGAAAAAGAACTAATATTTTACTCATAATAATAAATATTAAATAATTGAAGATACGGATATAAGAATTGAAATATTAATTGAATAGTTTTAATTTAATTAAATAAAATTATATTTTGATTAGATGTTTGACATAAATTTAATTAAAAAAATAAACATTAAAAGTTCAGAATAACTTCTTTAAATTTTTAAATTCTTATTGCAAAATAGATGTAGAACTATGATCACTCTTTGTATTAGTAGTATTATTAGAATACCTATGACTAGCATGAGAACTAGTTTTTCTATGACAAGAGGGAGTTGATAAACCATTTAATTCAGTTTATAATTTAATAACCATTTTGATTGATTAAATTAATTCTCCATCTTGATCTTTTGTTTAATTTAATTATTTCATTTTTTAATAGAGAGCTTATGGTTAAACATTTTTATTTTTAATAATCATTTAAGTATCTTTTTCTAATTTTTATAAACCTTTTTGTATAATTTAGAAATATTAAGTAATAATTTACTCTGAACTTTCATTAGTACTAATATTTTAATTAACGTTATTAATAATTGATGTATTATTAGTATTTAATTATTTATTAGGTATTCCAGTTGCACTTCTTTTATGTCGAGATGGTTCAGTAATTTCTTTTGGGATTTCTTTTTGAAATTAATTTTCTTTAATTTCTTGAGTGTATTTTTTATCATCTAAATAAAATGGTTTATCTTTTTATGGTTAAAATTGAAGTGGATTTTATGTTTATTTTTTATTATCAGTATTTTAGAAATTAATGTGAAATTAAGATGCAAGTGGAGTTGAATAAGGACTGGCATTAGGAGTATTATTATTAGGTTTTAAAATATCTTTATTAATTAATTAAGTTTGTTATTGAAGTTCTTATTATTATTATTATTATTAGTATTAGATTAAGGTTTTTTAAATCTAAGATTAGAATTAAGATCCATAAGGTTACTAATTCAATTGAACTTTGGAACGATCTAATAATTTCAAATATGAAAATACTGTCTTCAATAATTACACCAACAGTTGCTGATTATTTTTGAATGTGACTAATAGTTGTATTACTTTATTTAGGCTTTTCATTCATTAATTTCATTGCATTATTAGTTTATGTTAATAATTCTGACATTTTTTGTTGAGCAGTGTTTTAAATTTTATTTGGAATATCAAAATTAGAATATCTTCTACCATATTTTGAATCATTTTATAATTAACTCTATATATAGATTAGTAGATACCTCATTTAAAATCTCTTTATCCATTTCACTTGAGTCTGTAATTAGATTTAACTCATTGTTTTCCATTAAAAGATTATTGATATCATAAGTATGAGTGACTCTCCGACATAAAGGACATTAAATTCTATACTTATTCTGTATTTAACTAAAATACAAATTCAAATTTTCTCTTACCTTGTATTTTCTTGAATAGATATATTTTATCCACATTTGAAACAAAGTGTATGAGAACAAATTAAAGAGATAGGTTTCATAGCTTACATTTTACACAATTGGCAATGAGAGATTGATATCCTTTAATACATATTTAATTAACTGATTATTTATATAATTAAAATCTACTCAGTTACCATAGATATTTACTAATTTATCAACACTGCAACTATATATATATTTGCTTAATTGTCCAAATCTAAATTAAATAAAATTATTTACCTAATACTAGTGACAAGATCTCTATGACTTTCAATTTTATAGAATTCTTATTTTTTCTTAACATCAAAAAAATGAATAGTTTTGTTACTGCCAATAGCTAAAAATTATCCAGATGGATCATATTATATTGCACCTAAAATTTAATCTCATAACCTACCTATCTTTTAGCCTTGATAAATCTTTTAGAATTAACCAGGACGTCTTAAATCCCATTCATTTACTTCACTATTGCTACTTGAAGCTAAATTAGCTCCACTTTCAGAAAATGATAAACTTGTGACTGCTCCCTATATTATTATACTTAATATATTACATCTTATCCTTCAAATTAAGCTAACAACTGATTTTTTACTATATTCCAAACCTTAATTTAGGAATCTGTCTACCCAATAGCCAATAACAAACCATCAGGATGAAGAGATACAGATGTAAATTGACATTATCCTTCAAAATCAGTTACTCTACTCAATTGTTATCCATTTTTTAAATTATAATATGCCAATAATCCATTATTTGTTACTATAATAGCAATATATCCTAATGGATGGATTGCCACTCCTGTAATACTTTAACCAATATTAATTGTCTAAGTAACTTAACCTTATTATGTTTGAGAGTTAAATTAATAAATATTGAGGTTTCCATCTTATGAAGATGAAATAAATCTAAGATGCTCATCAAAAGTAAAGAAATTCACTGAAGTAATATTCTATGTGTGTTCTTAAGTTTAATAAACTAAATTTTCATGAGAATACAATAAAATCTATCCTGCCTATCCACCTACTAATACATAATTGCCTTATGTATCCAAGGATGTTCCTCCTTAAGTTTATTAGTACTATTGTTTTACATCATAATTTGAGAGAATCTAGATAATTAGGATCTTTTACTTCAGGACCTGGGAATTAGTCAAAATATGATTGCTATTTTCTTTAGACCTTTCTTTAATTTGTTAATTTAAGTGCATTTTCTTCTATTTCAGCAATATAATTTGATGATAACTTTTCAGGAGCATTATTTGCTTCTACTTCGATTTTATGATTTAATTTGTGCTATAATTATGCCAATTCTATTCTAGCTTAATCTCTTTCTTTAATTAATTTAGCAATCACACGACAAGCTGCATCATGTTAATATAATGCATGTGTCAATTCATGTCTAACTTATTCTAAATGCTATTTTAATTAAAATTATTCCAATAATAATGCATCCCATTCATTTTATAATAATGACAATAAGGATGGTATTGATGTTGCTGTTACTGGTCTTGGTTTCTAAACTCTTGACACTTTCACCTATAATAGTCATTTATTATTATTATACTTCAATCAAATCTTCAATATTTAATGGTCTTCCTGTTATTGGACATGTGCCTGTGCTTTCTATGTGTTTTTCTATTAATCTCTTTTCATAAATATGTCCGCTCACTTTAGATATTACTGGAGTTTCTATTAACTCTCCAGATAAAGCACAAGTTTACCAGGATTACATATTATGATATTTATTTATTTGAATATTTAATTAAAATATGTTCAAGAAACTAGAGGATCTTTCCAAACCAACATTGCTATCTAAAACTGGAGTTAAGGAATTAAAGCAATCATTCAATGAATAATATCCTTTTTTCAAAGAAGTTGAGGATGAAATATTTCCTAAGAAATCCAATATCTAATCATTTAAATTAAGGAGTGAATATAAAGTTGAAATAGTCTAAGTTGATAAAGATTATATTTGTTTCACAAAAGAAGATTTAGTCATTCCACATTTGAAATTAGTCCATAAATTTCCAGATCTAATTATAAAATAATAAGTTGATGCAGGAGCAATTAAACATATTTTAAGTGGTTCAGATGTTTTAGCTCCAGGGCTGATTTCTTAAGGAGGATAACTAAATTAAGTATGTTATTAAATATAAATTTAGGCATAAAAAGGATAGGTTGTAGCTATATATGGAGAAGGAAAAGAAAATGCTATGGGAATAGGTATTATGAATGCAAGTTCTGATGAAATAAAAAAAGATCCAAAAGGTCATGCAATTTAATTGTTACATCATTTAGGGGATGCCTTGTGGTAATTAAGTTTCAAATGAGTTGATTATTTGTCTATCTATATATATTGTACATATAATATATCATTATTATTTTGTAATTTCAGTCTTAAGGTTATCAAATGAATCGACTGGGACATATTAAGCAAGTGTATAGTACTTACCTTTTCCATCATCTTCTTCCTTCTTCTTTCTTTAGAATCTTACTCTTATTCTTCTAGGCAAATTACGAATTCCTCTTGCCCAAACTGCTTCATTTAATTATGGATCAATTCTGACATCATCAGTTAACATGTTTTTTTAAGCTAAAATAGTGCATCATTTAATACCAAATCTAATAATGTGACTGACTGCTCTAGGTGCTTTTCTTTTAAATGTTTCTTTATGAACTGCTTTATGGAGATTGATGGTGTAATCTCTGCTTACTTCTCCTAATGGATTAGGCTTTCCTTTTTCCTTCTTTCCCATAAATTAAAAATCTTTAAAAATATTTTTTAAAAGTAATTCGATCACACTACAAACTTATGCTTGGTACCATTTGCTTTAAAATGTCCAATTCGAGTGTTAAAGAAACTGCGCATGGCCATAGTACTCTCCATCCACATCGATTATGAAGCTCTGTTATGAGTAACCATCAATTGATCACATTATGATTTATTGTATCGTTCCTCACTCTCATTATTATTAACCTTAAGTATTTTTAGACAAATTTATTATTACTTTTTTCAAGATAGATTGTAAATACATATTCTTTCTTTTTAATTACAAAATAGTATTTAATTGAGCACTCGAATAAGCTTTTTATGGCATTGAAGGTTATTATGGAAGAGCATTTAATCTTAATTTTAATTTAGACACTGTTAAAAGTTGAGGAGGTGGTAGAGGTTATTTAAATTGTTTTTTAACATATAATTTGCCTAAAGAATTTGAACTATGACTTCCTTATTCATAATGAACCGAATTTATAGGAGTTCGAGTTTTCGGTGTCTTATTTATTTTTTTAGGAGATGGTTTTCTTTCTGAAGAGAGAGTTTTTGTTTAGCAAGGTTCTTCTGCTATAATTTAATTAATCTTAGGTTTCAAAATCCCTTGAGATTCAAATGATGTATCAATATCCCAACCTTTTATTGTTTCTAACTTTTATTACATATATTTTTTTTATATATAATAATACAATAAACACCCACTTATAATAGATCAGAATTCTAAATTTTAAGATAGTAATTGATTTTCAATTTTTTGAATACTTAAGTGTTGATAATATCTCTGGATCAAATGTAGCCAAAAATAGTTTCTTTATATATTTCAACACAATCTCCATATTCCCAATCTTTTTCGACTTAAGTATGTCATCAATTATTTGAAAACTGCAAAAATATTGTGAGCATATCTTTCTAGCTTCTGCATTTTACAATAAATTTTTAAAATCTTTACGAGTATAATTTTTCCTTTAATTCCCTTTATGAATAAACTTTTTTATGGTTGAATTATACTACAATTATTTTTAATGATTTTTTTCTAAAAAGAATTTAAATAATTATATACTTAAGTAATTCTTAACCAAGACTCCTATGTTTTTAGGAATGTTTTTAGTTTCATTTTATATTTTATCTTTTTCTTCCTCTAAATCTTCAATTAATAAATTTTTAAGCTCAATGTTTTCATTTTAAATAATGTCAAGCTAAGGTAAACTATAATCGCAAAGAAAAGAATCTTAACTCATTAAATTTTAAATATAAATTCTGTTTCATAAACAAAATCAAAAGATTGAAATTTCTTATAAATTTAATTCTACATAATATTACTTTAATCCTCTATCATCTATTAAAGAAATGTATAAACAGAATTAAATTTTATTTATTTTTCTTATGAAAGATTCCCATTATTACAAATTTTATCTTAAATTTATATTGATTTAATAAGTTCTACATAATTTAAAAAATAAATAACATAAACAGATTTAAAATATTCATATCTTCATCATGTAAACCATCATAATATTATATATAATATATATTTACAAATATTATTTTATTATTCAAAATAAGATTTAAAAATTAAATACAAGAAAAATTTTATACTTTTAATCTGATTGATAAATCATAAAGTAGAATCCTTCGAACATACATCTTACATATCTAATAGAATGAAAATTAAAGTTTCAAAATGGGCAAATGATATCAAGTAATTTATTAGAAATTTTGGAAAATTATTAAATTTTTTTTAACACTAATTTTAAAATGTCTAAATATAAAAAATGAATTAAAGTAAACAAAAAAAAAATAACAAATGCTAAGATAAAATAATACCTTTAATTATTATTAGATAATTTCATAAGTATTATAATTAATGTGTCTATTTTTTTTGATTATTTCTAATAGATTCTATAAAAATATAAGTCAAATTAAATTATAATTGCTGTTGTCATTAATTCTCGGATTATTTTGTTCACTCATAGAGGATAATATCTTTAATGAATCATTTAAACTTTTTTTTCCAATGTTAATCTTAACTATACTGTTGATTAGCAATTTTAAAAGATGATAATTTATCAACAAATTTATTTGTAAGCTATGATTTATTTATTTTGATAAAATAATATAATAATAATTCTATATTACATAATAAAAGAAGGATAACAATAATAAATATCTCTAAGATATAAGAATTGTAAAACAAACTAAATTTTAATAGAATTCTAATTTTAATTTATAAATAGTATCTGATAAATATATATATATAATTTTTTAAAGGATCTTATGATATCAATCTATATATTATAAATAATAATTGAGCAAATTACTTTAGATTTTATATTATAAGTTAAAATTGATGGAGGAAACTGTGAAATATTATAGAATGTTTTAGATCTAAATAATACTTATTCAAAATTATTATAGTGTTATATGATTGCTTTGGTTTATGTTATGAGTTAGTAATCATAAATAGATATTGGCTTTAAAATTGAATTATGTCATTTATTTGTTAATAATAAAAGATATTAATTTATGGTATACAAAATCAGAAATAAGTCATTCTTCTGGACAAGAGCTGGATGGAAGAATAATTGGCATCCTAAAAATTTCAATGCTCCACGTCCATCAAGTTCAGAATTTACTATTGGTATTAGATGTCGTTACGATCATAATTCATTTTTGAGAGGTTAGAAATTTAATGTCTATTGAATAGCTTATCATTCATACAGAAAGATATCCAGACATTGCAAATAATATTTCTTTGGAAATAAAGAGTTGGAAGAATTATTTTAGATGGGTTTAAGAACATTTTTCATTGTACCTCACATTGCTGAATGTTAAGTCACTTAAATCAAACATGGTGGTGAAAGAAGAATGGTAGATTAAATTGATAGAGATTTTGAATTAGTATCCTATAATTCACATCCATATTAATTGTTTACATACACAATTTGGAATTAATATTTGGCAAATTAGTAGGAAGCTTATGAATAAAGAAAGAATGGTGGTAAAGCAATTGAAGATTAAGTTATTGATCACATCAGGTATAAAAATGAATTAAAATTTAAGTGAATTAGTGAAGGATGAGAAAGCTAAATTAGGAGCAGGCAAATAATTAAGTATTGAAAGAACAGCAGAAATTGTTATGAATGTTATGAGATAATTGAGAGCAGCTTAATAAAGACCAAATCTTAACAATAGGTATTTTAAATTAATATAGTATAAGACGTGCAGATGGTGAATTTGATGATTTCTTAGAATAGAGAAGACCATTTACAGCTCCAAACAATTAATCAGCTACTCATTGAGCTACAATACATTCAAATAAAATATAATAGCTATTATTAAATTAAAGCATTATTGTCTATAAAGATTTATATTTTAACAAAAATTTCATATTCTTAATAAGAATATCCTATTAATTTATTTTATTTTTATAATCTTAAGAGAAGATAAATGAATAAGATTTGATCAATAATTATATAAGTTGATATCTATAATTTACTTTTTTATTTAAATAGATATATATATTCAATTTATATATTCTGATAATCCCATTTCAGCTGCCTCTTAAAGAGCTTTGCTTAACATATCTTGAACAAAAGTTTAATCAGATTTTAATGAGAGTGACTTATGATAATAATGAATTGCTTTGTTTAAACTATTAGGTAATTCACTTAAATGATAGGAAAATGCTAAACCAAAAAATATTTATGGAGAAACTGAATTCAACTATTTATAAAATAAATATTTTTACTTGTATACATTTTTCAAATATTTGAATTGCATTCTTATAATCTTTTTATTTCCTAAAAGTATGTCCAAGATTCTATAATGCAGATTCTCTAATTTTATGATTTGAATTTTAACAAAAAACTAAAGCATTAAAAAAATACTATTATATAATATATTAGATATATTTACATCTTTTGCTTCATTATATTTCTTTTATTTATAAGCTATAACTCCTAATTCATTCTAAATCATAGGATCTGTTGGATTAATATCTTTGGCTTATTATAATGATAAAATAGCAGTTTATAAATTATTTGTTCTTAAATATTCCATACCAATATAAACATGTGCTTAATAACAACCTGGAAATTATCTTGTTATTGATCTATATATTGACATTGCTTAATCAGATTCATCCTATATTGCATAAGAATGTGCTAATCCTATCCAACTATATATTAAATGTTAATCTAATTAAATTGATTTTTAGAATTATTTTCTAGCTACTTCATATTTTTTAGTTGAAAAATAATATACTCCAACAACAAACCAACTTAAAGCATTTTGAGCATAATTCTCTATTAAATTATGAGCACAATAATATAGTTCTGCTATCTATTCTAATTCCAATAAACATGAAACATAAGTTGGAATAACATCAAAATACAAAGGATCTTACTTTATAGCTTTCAATGACCAATCATAAGCAGATGCAATATCATAATTATAATATGCTTTCTTTGCCTTAACATTAAGTATATCAATATTATTCTTCTTATCCAATGCTACATATATTAAATCATTTTGAATTGGAATCTCATCTTTACGTATATATGGACTGCGCATTGGTGATGGCTTCAATTATTAAGTTTCAACTTTATCAAATATTTATAATTATTATGCAATTTTCCTTTTCTCTTCTTGTAAATGATCAGCTAATTTTGAATTTACAATTTCATAATTTATCGTTTTGCTTATATAATAATCCTTTAACCAGGCTTCATCAGCATTTAATTATATTTATTAAACTAAGTTCTCCTTTTCATCTGAAGAAATCAAATATGAATCAACTAATTATTAAAACACTCTAACATTAGTTGGTGTTTTCTATAAGCATTCAAAATAATTAGAAACTGCTAATTATTTATTCTCTAAGGCTTCATAACATTATCCTCTTACCCAATCACTCTATGAACTACACTCTTCTTGAAGAATTTCTATTCCCAATTCATATTGTCTATTTGAATATAAAGCTCTAGCTCCCAACACTGCAAAATCTCCTTATGTCAATTTATGCTTTAAAAATAGATTGTACACTCCTGAATATTCCTAATTTGCAAAATGACACTAATGTAAAATAATCAATGATTTACAATTCCAAGCAAAAATACTAAATATGGTAATACAATTTAATCTTAATTCAAACATAACAATTTTTCTGCAAAAAATATTGCTTATCTATAATATCCTTACAAATAACTGCTCATTGCTTACTGATATATATTCAATAATGAAGGATTATTTAATAATCCTGTTGCAAATACAGAATTAGATTAAGGATTGAAATAAGGCAATTGAACTTCATAATACAAATTTTAAAATTTTCCTTATTCACTTTATTATCTTGTAATTTTTGTCATTTTTTTTTGAATTGACATTTTGACTATTATATTTTAAATTCAAATTTTATATATTATTTCACTTTTGTTAATCAATCATATTTCTCTATATAGAATTGTTTTTACTATTAAAATATTTTCAATAATTTTATTTTCCATTAGATATCACTTTATTCTAGTTGTTTATTTAGAAAATTAATTTTTTTTATAATATATGTCTAAAAAAGACTTATTAAGATGTGAAATTCCAATTAACCCAAGTGAACTAGCTATCACTAAATTGTTGAACCCTAAACCTAAGTTTGAATACTTTTAATCATCACTTTTATAAAAAGTCTAGAATTTTTTACCAGAATTTAAAAAAGCAAATGAATAACTTGAAAATACTGATAATTTAAAACAACTTTAAATAAATGATGAAAATGCATTGTTAAGAATACATATAAAAGATCTTATACCAGATCCTAAATTGAGAAGCAAATTTAGAAGAACTGGAAGATAATAAAAAATGATTAATATGGTAATTATAAATAATTGAATAGCTAAGGATTTGTATATGGGAATTATGGATACAAACAAAGAATTTAAGGAATGATTTTATAATTATTTTAGTTTTTATGTAATTGAATAAATTTAGTAAAAATTATTCTAAATTTATAAATATTTTATACTTATATAATGGAACCTTGAGTATAAAAGATAAAGGTTATAATAAATATCGTTGTCGGCCATACTAAGCCTAAAGCACCGGATCCCATTCGAACTCCGAAGTTAAGCGGCTTAAGGCGAGGTTAGTACTAAGGTGGGGGACCGCTTGGGAAGTCCTCGTGTTGACAACCCTTTTTTTTTTTATTTATATTAATTTTAATACTATATTACTAAAACTCATAATTAACTATAATTTTATTTTTAAAATTTATTCAATTTTTGTTTATATCAATGAGATCATTGATTTTATAATAATACTAATAATATAATTAAATAATTTAGAAAATAAAATAATTTAATATGGTAAAAAAAAGAAAAAATTACATTAAGAATTAACGTAGATTTTTCAAGCATTTATAAGATCTTCATGATATTATTAGCTAGTTAAAATACATATACTCTTTAAAATATCCTTAAAATTTCAAAATTTAATTCGAAATATTTCAAAAATCTGGATTAATAATAATTATAAATTTATAGTGGATTCTAAATTTGTTATATCTTTCATTTTATTAGATTAAATTTTATATAAATAGAAACAAAAATTGATTTTAAATCCATATCTTTAATAGATCTTAATCTACAGAAATCTGTGATTAAAATTTATTGATTCTATTTGAAAATACTTTTGATTATTCTATCCAATTATCATGCATCAATTATAAATAAAATTGATGTTTCTTTTAGGATAGATATTTGTATATAAATGAATGAATTTAATGATGGCTAATAAATAAATTAAAGAAACTAATACTCATCTATTAAAAAGCGATTTCTTAAATGAATATATACTTTTATGATGTTAAAGTAAAAGCCTGTTAAGGGATATTCTTAAATCTAATAAATTTTATTTATATAAATAGATGTTTAGACTGGAAATAAGAATTATCTTTAAGATATTACTAAATATCTATTTTTTACATTTAACTCATAAGAGAAAATGTAAAAAACTCATTAAGTTTCTATACAATCATCGTTTATTTATATTATTAACATAAAACAAATTTTTATGTTGGAATGTTCCATATAGAAATAAGTTTTTAATTTAAAAATAGAAAAAATTATGATATTAAACTGTCCTTATTTTAAAAGTATATTTTGTTTAAGGTACTATTAATAATTAAATATGGAGAAGTATAGAATTAATATTTTTATTCTGAGAAAATGATTAGCAATTTATATCCTAAAAATTCTTTTATAAATTTCATTTAAAACAAATTCCATAATAATTTTCATCTCTTCTAGTATATATCAAAAGTAAAATGGTTTTTTATTGAAAATTAAATATTTTTACTATTTGAAAGGAAAGGTTATTATTGACTTTTTACTTATAATTATATTTTAATTATTATCACATAGAAATAGAAATAATTAAATCAATTAATTAAAATTTTTGCTTCTCCAGTTACAGCGATTTTCTAATCCATTTTGGAAATAGTAGTATTCAATTTTAAAATTGATCTTCCTTTTTTTNTTATTTATATTAATTTTAATACTATATTACTAAAACTCATAATTAACTATAATTTTATTTTTAAAATTTATTCAATTTTTGTTTATATCAATGAGATCATTGATTTTATAATAATACTAATAATATAATTAAATAATTTAGAAAATAAAATAATTTAATATGGTAAAAAAAAGAAAAAATTACATTAAGAATTAACGTAGATTTTTCAAGCATTTATAAGATCTTCATGATATTATTAGCTAGTTAAAATACATATACTCTTTAAAATATCCTTAAAATTTCAAAATTTAATTCGAAATATTTCAAAAATCTGGATTAATAATAATTATAAATTTATAGTGGATTCTAAATTTGTTATATCTTTCATTTTATTAGATTAAATTTTATATAAATAGAAACAAAAATTGATTTTAAATCCATATCTTTAATAGATCTTAATCTACAGAAATCTGTGATTAAAATTTATTGATTCTATTTGAAAATACTTTTGATTATTCTATCCAATTATCATGCATCAATTATAAATAAAATTGATGTTTCTTTTAGGATAGATATTTGTATATAAATGAATGAATTTAATGATGGCTAATAAATAAATTAAAGAAACTAATACTCATCTATTAAAAAGCGATTTCTTAAATGAATATATACTTTTATGATGTTAAAGTAAAAGCCTGTTAAGGGATATTCTTAAATCTAATAAATTTTATTTATATAAATAGATGTTTAGACTGGAAATAAGAATTATCTTTAAGATATTACTAAATATCTATTTTTTACATTTAACTCATAAGAGAAAATGTAAAAAACTCATTAAGTTTCTATACAATCATCGTTTATTTATATTATTAACATAAAACAAATTTTTATGTTGGAATGTTCCATATAGAAATAAGTTTTTAATTTAAAAATAGAAAAAATTATGATATTAAACTGTCCTTATTTTAAAAGTATATTTTGTTTAAGGTACTATTAATAATTAAATATGGAGAAGTATAGAATTAATATTTTTATTCTGAGAAAATGATTAGCAATTTATATCCTAAAAATTCTTTTATAAATTTCATTTAAAACAAATTCCATAATAATTTTCATCTCTTCTAGTATATATCAAAAGTAAAATGGTTTTTTATTGAAAATTAAATATTTTTACTATTTGAAAGGAAAGGTTATTATTGACTTTTTACTTATAATTATATTTTAATTATTATCACATAGAAATAGAAATAATTAAATCAATTAATTAAAATTTTTGCTTCTCCAGTTACAGCGATTTTCTAATCCATTTTGGAAATAGTAGTATTCAATTTTAAAATTGATCTTCCTTTTTTTAGTTTGATATCTTGTATTAGAACTTAAGCTATTACTTATTCATCAATAAAAATGGGGGCTTTAAAAAATATTGATTAATCTAGATAAATGGCCCCAGGAAAATTGGTACCTACTAATGTAGAAAAAAGGCTAGAAGACAGCATTCCATGTACAACTCTATATTTAAAGATTGATTAGGAGGCAGCATATTCATCAATATGAATTGGATTAAAATCTTTGATTAAATTGGCATAAATTTTGACATCTTCTTCTGTAAATATTCTTTCTAATTTAAATAATTGTCCAATTCGAAAGTCAGAAAAAAAATATTGAATTCTTCTCAATTTCATATATTAATTGAAATAAAGTTTTGTAAAATTTTTTATTATTTAATTATTTTTTTAATAAATAGTATAATGAATGATAAACCTTGAGTATAAAAGATAAAGGTTATAATAAATATCGTTGTCGGCCATACTAAGCCTAAAGCACCGGATCCCATTCGAACTCCGAAGTTAAGCGGCTTAAGGCGAGGTTAGTACTAAGGTGGGGGACCGCTTGGGAAGTCCTCGTGTTGACAACCCTTTTTTTTTTTATTTATATTAATATTATACTGTTTATTATAATTTTTAATAAATAATGGGCAAAATATGAGACAATAATTAGAAAATTCAATTTAAATTATCAAATAATATCTCTTAAGAATAATTACATTTTGATTTAAAATATGTATTTTCTTATGTTATTTAACAGATGAATAGCACATTTTTAAATCTATAAATAATATTATACTAAAAATAATTATAATAGGTCTAGCATATGACTTCTTTTTTATAATCAACATTTACAATATCTGCAAAACCAAATTTTGAATTTTTATAGAATTAGGTTGATTCTGATTCAGATAATGAAGAATAAAAATAGAAATTATAATAAGTTCATAATCATTAAAAAGAACACAAGAAATTTAAGAAATTAATTGATATAGACTTGGTTAAGGAAGAATTGAGAAGTAGACCAAATATTGAAAAGCAATTGAGTTCAATTTAAAAGAAAAGTATTTCTAAAATAAAAAGTGTTCGTTCTCTTAATGATCTTATAATTCCAACTTCTCCAATTTTAATTGATTAATTAGGAAATTTAAATAAAATAAAAGAGATAAGATCAGAAGTACCTCCAGAATTAATGGGAAGAATTTACTCTGAATTTAGGTAATTTAACATAAAATTATTTAAGATATGAATTTGTACCAGCCTTAAATCCAGTATATCGTTAAGGAGATTAAAATAAAAGATTTTATATTCTATTAGAAGGTAAAGTAGTAGTAATGAAACCTAAATTAAAGATGGTAGGGTCCAGTAAAATTGAAATTGATAATAATTTAGAATAAAAAAATTAAAGGAAAAATGAAGATGATCCTTTTGGATTGAAAATTCTCTTTCCAGATTACATTATACTTAAAATCTTATTTTAAGGAGAGTAAGTTTATGTTAATGATATATTAGCTCTTTTGGAGAGGCAGCCATTAAATTAGATACTACAAGATCATCTACAGTTTTTACTTTAGAAGATACTCATTTATTATATTTAAATGAAACTGCTTATCTTGAATATTTAAATCCGTATTTAAGTATTGCTTTAGATAAAAAAATGAAATACTTTGGATAAACCCCACTTTTAAAAAATATTAATCCAGAAGATTATATGGGTATAGTTTNTTTATTTATATTAATATTATACTGTTTATTATAATTTTTAATAAATAATGGGCAAAATATGAGACAATAATTAGAAAATTCAATTTAAATTATCAAATAATATCTCTTAAGAATAATTACATTTTGATTTAAAATATGTATTTTCTTATGTTATTTAACAGATGAATAGCACATTTTTAAATCTATAAATAATATTATACTAAAAATAATTATAATAGGTCTAGCATATGACTTCTTTTTTATAATCAACATTTACAATATCTGCAAAACCAAATTTTGAATTTTTATAGAATTAGGTTGATTCTGATTCAGATAATGAAGAATAAAAATAGAAATTATAATAAGTTCATAATCATTAAAAAGAACACAAGAAATTTAAGAAATTAATTGATATAGACTTGGTTAAGGAAGAATTGAGAAGTAGACCAAATATTGAAAAGCAATTGAGTTCAATTTAAAAGAAAAGTATTTCTAAAATAAAAAGTGTTCGTTCTCTTAATGATCTTATAATTCCAACTTCTCCAATTTTAATTGATTAATTAGGAAATTTAAATAAAATAAAAGAGATAAGATCAGAAGTACCTCCAGAATTAATGGGAAGAATTTACTCTGAATTTAGGTAATTTAACATAAAATTATTTAAGATATGAATTTGTACCAGCCTTAAATCCAGTATATCGTTAAGGAGATTAAAATAAAAGATTTTATATTCTATTAGAAGGTAAAGTAGTAGTAATGAAACCTAAATTAAAGATGGTAGGGTCCAGTAAAATTGAAATTGATAATAATTTAGAATAAAAAAATTAAAGGAAAAATGAAGATGATCCTTTTGGATTGAAAATTCTCTTTCCAGATTACATTATACTTAAAATCTTATTTTAAGGAGAGTAAGTTTATGTTAATGATATATTAGCTCTTTTGGAGAGGCAGCCATTAAATTAGATACTACAAGATCATCTACAGTTTTTACTTTAGAAGATACTCATTTATTATATTTAAATGAAACTGCTTATCTTGAATATTTAAATCCGTATTTAAGTATTGCTTTAGATAAAAAAATGAAATACTTTGGATAAACCCCACTTTTAAAAAATATTAATCCAGAAGATTATATGGGTATAGTTTTGGAAAACAAATTAATTACAATGAAGGCAGGAGAAATAATATATGATGAAGGAGAGAAAACTAAATATATTTATTTTATAATCAATGGGGAAATTGAATTGTTAAAATAAGTTAAAAAGAAATCTATAATTTTATCATCTTATGGAGAATTTCAATGTTTTGGAGAAGTTGAGATTATGATGAAGATAAATAGATATACATAAGCTAAAGTGATATCACCAAGACTTAATTGTTATAGAATCAGAAAAAGAAGGTTTTTTGATAATTTAGGTAGTTATGGAACTTATGAAAATATGAAAAAACACTCATCTATTATATATAAGCATTGGTAATTGATTTGTAATAATGTGTAAAAATCCATTAATCTAAGAGATGAGGTATAAAAACTTAATATACAATAGGTCTATGAAGCTGCTTAAAATGATAATTAAAATAAACCTAATTTATTAGCAAATTCTATTTTAAATAAGAAGGTTATGGAATCATAAGGTTAAAAATTAAGTTAAATTAAAATATTTTAGAATTTGGCTGATTAAAATTTTAAGGATTTAAAATAATTTACTAATGATAGTTAATATCTTTTGTAAAGAGTGTATAGTAACACTCTTCAATAATACTAAGCTAAGTTATTGAAAAAACCTTAATTGGCTTTTTGTGATACAGATTCATCATGCATAAGAAATCAAATTCAAAACAAATAGCCTATAAATTTAAGTATTAACCATGATAATAATTCTACAACAAATCCATTAAATGAAAATAGTATTGATCTTAAATTAAATTCAAATAGATCATCTGTCATAACAAAAAGAGACAGCTAATAAATGGTATCACTTCCATCTCTACATCCATCTTTACATTTAATTAAACCTTAACCTTAATCTATAAACTCCGTTTTAGAATCCATAAGCAAATTACCTCGTGTTCCAAAAGATAATTTCATGTTATCTTTAATGTATTAATAAGCATATAAAGCTGACAATCCAACTAAGAAAGCTAAAGAAATATAGCAAATAATTTAAGCATAATACAGAAATGTATAAAATAAATTTTAAACTAAAAAACACAATTTAACAGAAATTTAGCCAGTCTCAAATAAACATAGAATGAAAAAGAACTTAAAAGGATTTTTGAGTATGAGATCAGAATAGAAATAATTTTTGAATTTTGTACATTCAAAAGAAATAGTAGAAGGAAATCAAATTAATTGATGATATTTATGAATAAACTTAATTTAGTTATTATCAATAAATTTAAGAAACATTATTATCTATATTCTATTAATTATAATTTATTTGATATTGACTAAGATCACATTTTATTCAAAAAAATAGTTCAATTCTTTTTTTTTTTTGAAATATTTTTTTAATTAGAATATGAATAATTATTCAAAATAAAATTTAACATAAATAATGATTGTTGATCTTAATTAATTTCTCTTATATTATTAAAGGTAATTTTTTTTCTTTAACATTTTCTTTTAATATATTTTCCAATAATTTCAACAAATTGATTGATAATTATAACTTTTTTTAAGACATATGATTTTGAATCTTTATAAAATAACAACCTTCAAATTTAATTTCAAAATCATTAGTAATAAGAATTAGTATTTAAGTATTATGATATTAATTTATGCTTAAGTAAAGGATAATAATAATTTATATTTTGTTACAATTTTTGATTTTGAATTCCATTGATTAATAGAAATAGTTCTGTTAGAGATAGTCTTCTAGTTTTCTAATAAATTATTATTTCAATTATTGTTAGACTATTTTTAATTTAAAGAAAAGAAATCTAAGATTGGAATTGAAATTCGACTTTGGAAGATTAAACAATATGTCTTTATTGTGCTTTTTTTGATTTCATTTCTTCAATTTATCTCTTGATATATTTATTTAACGAACAAAGTTCCTTTATAAAAATCTATTATGACTCATAATCTCAAATGAAATTTTATAATAGAAATGGGAAAATTATTTCAGATGAATCACCCCTGAAAATCGTTAGTGCAGTATTCCTTCAATAAATCTTATTGTTTGAGAACTTGAACTTGTAATACATTTATGGTCTATTTGGCAGTCTCTAATTCAGAAGTTCTATATAAATAAGATAAAGTTATACAATTTCTACAGTTGATCACGTAAATATTGTATCTCTTACATAAGTTCATCAGATTAATCACTTTTCTAACTAGCTTTCATCTTCTATAACTTTTCAACCAATTATTATAGTTCTTATTTCTCTGTATATAGTTTCTAGTAATCATTGATGGATTAACAACGAGTATCATCTTAAGAATAAGAAGATTTTCTTTTAGCTTCGATTTCTAAGATCTCTTGATACATTTGCTTTGTCTCTCGGAGTTCTTTGATCATGCTGTCAGAATCTAAACTCATTTCAGACTTAAGTCTAGCAATTGCACTTTCCTTGAGATACTCATAATGTGATCTTGTATTTCATCTTACAGATTACTTACTTAACTTATTCCAATTATTATTAATGATATATTTCTTACTCGTCCAATTATGAATGAAGCATTAATATCTCAGCATCCTTCTCTGTTATTTGAATCTGTAATCTTTCTACTAATCTAATCACTTTATTTAGTTCAAACACTGTCTATTTAGACAATATGATCAATACCTAATCTCTCTCTACACTTAATTTGCTCAATTAAGACCGACACAACTGTAACTCTTCCTTCAGTTGCTATTGATTTGACATTAAATAAATTAATGACAGAATCTATTTAATTTCGTGGTCCATTGGAAGTAGAAGGACCAGGTATTCATTCTATAAATTTAGATGACTTAGATGATGACGACAATTATATGAGACCAGGCTTAGAAACAACAGGATTACAAAATCGTAAATAAAAAGATTAGCCAACAAAGAAGTCTCTCTATATTGCAATCATTTGTTTCTTTATAGGCTTATTTTATTTCTATTTTACATATGAATAACCTATTTCCATTCATTCTGAATTTGCTACCTAAACTACATTTGGATGTAATAGATAATATTATTGGACAAAATAAGGTTGTGAACCTAATCCTATTGGGTGTATTTTAAGTGTTGAAAAGACATCTTCTTGTGTAATTTGTGAATCAACTTATTATCTTTCCCTTTAAGGAATTTGTATTGAAGAATGCAAAGAATCAAATGGCTAATTTTGTACATCTAAGAATAATACTATTATCTCAAACATCTATAAACCTAAAACTAACACTTATTCTTACTTTGAAATACCTTATATTTTGATTCATTCTGAACATTCTGCTGGATTATTGTATGTTTCTGATGTTGAACTATTTAAATTAGAACCATACCTATCCCTTAATTACACAATAGTCAAATTTGAAGATTACTTCTTATTAAATAATGAAGAATTACATCTTGCTTTTAAAGAGTTTTAGACCTTTATAGAGAAAACATTACTTGATGGGACATTAATCAAAAAATCTTATGTTGCCTTTTAAGATAAGTCTCAAGGTTTATTATTCTATTTGGCTTCCTAAAATATAACTGATAATATATTCTTAGTTTAACCAACACTTTTAGAAGAGAAATAATTTTATGATAATACCTATGAAATTAAATCATTTGATAAATTATTTGCTAATAGAACTTTTAATGTAACTGTACTTCATACAGGAATTGTCCCTGATGAATTAAAATGTAAAAAAAATACATTAAGATTATTGCCTGCATTAGATAATTTAGATGAGAAGTATATATTATAATAAATAATCAAAATAGGGATAATTCAAATTAAATTGAAGGTACAAAAATAGAAGAAGAAGTTGACTGTTTTAAGATAGAAGAATCATAAATCATTGAAAAAATTGTACATCCTAATTGATTTTATTATAATGTTATTTATAACCTCAAAGTCATTTCTTTATTGTAATCATTTTCTATTTTTCTATTTAAAATTTTTTTAATTATATTTTTATAAATTCCATCTGTCAATTATAAACCTGCCTCAATAAAAGTCAATATCCAAAAATGAAAAGCACAATAATTGATCACTTTAATACATATATTACTAAATAGTAAGGATATTAAACAAAATAATGTTGAGTATATTATCATTTGTAGGAAAAAATTTTAATTCTATAATAGAGAAAAAAAAATAGAACAATTAAAATACGAATCTAGTTCCAGTGATTTAAGTTAATTCCCCTGTTACATCATTTGTTAGTTAAGGTTTTAAAGTATGAAAAATAAAAAGATCACATTAGGTGCTTACTTAAAATGAAAAACAATATGCCTATCATTTTGCTAGAGCTGCTTGGGAAGGAGCAAGAATCTGTTACTTTTAGAGATCTTATGAGTCACCAGGATTATTTTACATTTTTCATAAGATATTTTCAAAAGAAAAACCTTTAGTTGTGAAATAACGTTTATTATAGAATGGATGGAGTGAAGAAGAGGTTGAATAATTATTTGTTTATATTGCTGCTGTATTCTAAAATTCTGGTAATTTTAAAAATTTTGGAGATTCAAAATTCATACCCGAAATTAGTTATGAAAAATTTGAACAATTTATTACAACATCATAAGGTTATTAAGTTGATTAAGTTTGGTAAAGTATTAGTAAATATATATATAATTATGATAAACCTTATGGTTTAATTGATTTATAAGAAAAGAATGGTTCAAATTCTTATTATAGTAATAATTTAAAAGGAGAATTGTTGGAGGCTGTGGATAAATTTTTGATTGTCTAAGGTATTTCTGAATTGAACACAAGAGTTGTTAAAGTTGAAGATGAAATTCATGTTTTAGTAGCTTCGGTGAATAAAGGTGAGAAAGATTTAGGAGAAGTACATAACCATAAAATTAAATTGATATATGGTGATTATTCTCCTTTTCTTAATAGTGTTGTGAATCATTTGACAGATGCTCTTTAATATGCAGCAAATGATAATCAAAAGAATATGATATAAGCTTACATTGATCATTTCAATAGTGGAGATATTGAATAACATAAATAATCATAGAGACATTGGATCAAGGATAAAGGACCTGTTATTGAAACAAATATTGGATTCATTNATCATTTGTAGGAAAAAATTTTAATTCTATAATAGAGAAAAAAAAATAGAACAATTAAAATACGAATCTAGTTCCAGTGATTTAAGTTAATTCCCCTGTTACATCATTTGTTAGTTAAGGTTTTAAAGTATGAAAAATAAAAAGATCACATTAGGTGCTTACTTAAAATGAAAAACAATATGCCTATCATTTTGCTAGAGCTGCTTGGGAAGGAGCAAGAATCTGTTACTTTTAGAGATCTTATGAGTCACCAGGATTATTTTACATTTTTCATAAGATATTTTCAAAAGAAAAACCTTTAGTTGTGAAATAACGTTTATTATAGAATGGATGGAGTGAAGAAGAGGTTGAATAATTATTTGTTTATATTGCTGCTGTATTCTAAAATTCTGGTAATTTTAAAAATTTTGGAGATTCAAAATTCATACCCGAAATTAGTTATGAAAAATTTGAACAATTTATTACAACATCATAAGGTTATTAAGTTGATTAAGTTTGGTAAAGTATTAGTAAATATATATATAATTATGATAAACCTTATGGTTTAATTGATTTATAAGAAAAGAATGGTTCAAATTCTTATTATAGTAATAATTTAAAAGGAGAATTGTTGGAGGCTGTGGATAAATTTTTGATTGTCTAAGGTATTTCTGAATTGAACACAAGAGTTGTTAAAGTTGAAGATGAAATTCATGTTTTAGTAGCTTCGGTGAATAAAGGTGAGAAAGATTTAGGAGAAGTACATAACCATAAAATTAAATTGATATATGGTGATTATTCTCCTTTTCTTAATAGTGTTGTGAATCATTTGACAGATGCTCTTTAATATGCAGCAAATGATAATCAAAAGAATATGATATAAGCTTACATTGATCATTTCAATAGTGGAGATATTGAATAACATAAATAATCATAGAGACATTGGATCAAGGATAAAGGACCTGTTATTGAAACAAATATTGGATTCATTGAGACTTATTTGGATCCACTTAAAGTTCGTGCTGAATGGGAAGGTTTTGTAGCTGTAGTTAATAAAGAAGAAAGTTCTCTCTTAAATGAATTAGTCAATAAAGCTGAAGATATTATTAAGTATTTACCTTGGCCAAAAGAATTTGAAGTTGATATCTATAAAAGACCTGATTTTACATCATTAGAAGTTTTGGCTTTTGCAAGTTCTGGTACACCTTTAGGTATTAACATACCTAATTATGATGATATTAGATAAAATGAAGGATTTAAGAATGTTAATTTGGGTAATACAATAGGAAAATTATCAAAAGAATCTATAAAATTCTTAGATGAGATTGATTAAGAGATATTTTATAAATATTAATAAGAAGCTATATTTTTGATTGTTGCACTTCATGAATTGATTGGTCATGGTGCTGGTAAGGTATTCATGAAAGATAAAGATGGTAATTTAAATTTCAATATTGAAAAAACAATTAATCCATTAACAAATAAAAAAATTGATTCATTCTATAATTATGGTGAATAATGGCATTCTAAATTTGGTGAATTCTCTGGAGCTATGGAAGAATGTAAAGCTGATGCTACTGCATTATATTTATCTACTTATGATGATGTTGTGAAATTGCTTTTACCAAATTAATCAGAAGAAGAAAGAAGAAACACTGTTTTTGCAGGTTGGCTTTTTATTGTTCATAGAGCTGTTTAAGGATTAGAATTTTATAATCCAGAATAAAAGAAATGGGGTTAAGCACATGTTTTAGCTAGAAATGTTATTTTATAATCTTTAATTAAAGAAGATTCAGAAATAATTAAAATAAAAGAAACTAAGTAAAATGGTAAACCATATATACTTTTTAAATTTGATTAATCTAAATTATACACAACAGGTAAGAAAGCTATTTCTAATTTAATATTACATTTATAAGTATATAAGTCAATTGGAGCTGGAAATGAAGGTATTTAATTCTTTAGTAATTTGGCTGTTGTTAATGATTAATTCCTACATTATAGAAATATTATTATTTAAAATAAGATACCAAGAAGATTGGAAATTCAACCAAACTTAGTTTTAGAAGATGGAGAAGTTAAACTAAAAGAATATGAATCTACATTTGCTGGAATTATTGAATCCTAAGTTGAACATCATTTAGAAAATATTGAAACAACCAAGGAATTATTTTTAAATATATAAAAGTTATTTTAGAATTGAAATATAAATAGAATAATTTAAATATAAAAAAATATTATCTTTTTATTATATACTTTATTGTTCTAAAATAAGGAAATTAAAAATTATATATTATCAATTAAAAATAATTTTAGTTTTGAGAAGATAAGAATTATATCTTATTTATTTTTAATTAATTATTTTATTTATTGAATTTATTATGTGTATCTATGTTAAACTAAAATGATAAAATCTTATAATTGTTATTATAATTCATAAGTTAATAATATTAACTCAAATTTAAGAAGATCATAGTATTTAAATATTTTATGTAATTATTTATAAATAAAATTATATTTTGAATTAAACTTCTTTAAAAAGTTGACAATTTATATTTATATTATATAAATATGATAAATCCACTATCTTATTTATTTAATTAAGTTTAAATAGATTATTCCTTTTATTTTAGTCTGTTATAAATTGGAATTTTCCAGAAAATAATATTAAAATAATTAAAATGACACGTATTTCAAGTATACTCCTACTCTCGCTTATGCTTGTCTCCACATAGGCTTACTTTTAAGATAAAGAACATAGAGAAGAGGCTAAGTCATTCTTTTTGAATTTTGTTAAGGAATTCACAAATTAATATACCGCTATTTCAGCTGAGGGTTTGGATTATATGGGAGCTATGAAATTGGCTTTAGATTATTGGATTACAAAAATAAGAATTCATAATTTTGCTGAATTAAAAGTATATAAATAAGTAAATAAACTAAGGTTGATTATGATGTTAATCATGATATTTTAGAAATATCAGCACCTACTTTTAATATTGATCTAATAATAGAAAATAAATACACTATCCCTATAAAAATAGAAGAGTATTTAAAATAAATATATATTTTTAGTTTGTTTATCTCAATTATATTTAATATTGGTCCAACACATTTTAGATGTGCAGAAGTAGAAATTGATTATGGTTCTGTTTCTTTGGATGTGAATGTCGTAATAGAATATATAACAAAACAAATATTATCATTAGATATCATCAAATCTGCAATTAGGTAATCAGAGATTCCAATAAGAAATGTTATAATAAATGCTATTAGAGTATTAATTGATACAAATATTAAAAGAGCAATCATTAAAGATTACATGGATTAGTAAATGAATTGAGAACTGGTTCATTGAATCCAGGAGTACTCTTAGCCTAATTACCAAATGTTGCATTCACTAGAGTAGAAAATGGAGAATATATTATCAATATAAGATAAATATTTAGTTTTGAATCTTAGAAAGAGAAGGAAAAGAAAGATGATCTTTGAATTATAGTATTATATATATTTATGAAATTGTCTAATTTGTTATTATTAAGAGTTTATTTTGATTATTAATTTAAACGAATGATTGATTATTCATACCTAGCTCCACCAAAAGAGGCCAATGATATTGTTCATTCTAGTATAGAATACAGATTTTTGATTTTTAGACCATTATATTAAACATCAAGAGTAAGAGTAGGGAGTTAGGAAAATATACGAAACAGTTGTTTATGATTAGTTTGAAATAGAAAAGGTGAAGGAACTTAAGGAAGAGATAAAAAAATAGAAAATAATACTCTCTTCTGAGTAAAAATATTAGTATATAAGTTTAGTTGGAAAGAAAGCGATTATTTAAGAATAAGTTATGCTGGAAGATTTGATAAAAAGACAGTGATAAAAGTATACTGTTGTTTATAAACAAGAAACTACAATAACATATAGCTTGGAGATGTAATAAGATTTATCATGAAATCAACTCTCATTCAGAGTAATTTTTGAAAGAAGGAATCTGTTATCTTTTGGGTAGAGATAAATAATATAGACCAATTGTAATACTTAATGCCCATTTAATTGATTAAAAAAAAGTATATCATTCATTTATTATATAATTAGCATGATAAAGAATAAATCTTTTAAGCTTTATCATTTCTATTAGGAATAGTCAAAAAAAATATGTTTGTTCCAGGAAAGGTTGAAACTTGGAACTTTATATTAGAGACCAATAATCTAGGAGGTTAAGGTTTGTAATAAAAAGTCTTAGAGATATTAATTGATAATTTGAGTACTAATTTTTCAGGTTATCTTGAAAGAATGTTTATTTTGAATCCATCTAGTGGGATCAATTTTTTATGGCAATAAATTTAAACATTTTTAGACTAATAAACAATTAATAAAATTGCTTTACTCTAATAAAAAGAAATTAAATAATTAAAAGAATTTATTGAACCAAATTAATTAGAAGAAAAATTTGGTGGTAATCAACCTAATTTAATAAAATTTTGGTATTAATCTATTTGATAATTTTAGGCCACCTTATAATTTAGATTTATCTGATGGATATACAAAATAGGATAATAAATCTACTTAAAAATAGGAATTGAAATTATAAAATATAAAAATAGAAGAAGAAGAAGAAAATGATCCATATGATTAAGTAGAATTTAATTTAAATGATTTTATGAAATAGTAACAATAGATTTATTATTGTATTACTAATAAAATGGAATAATAAATTCAAGAAGATGACAAAGTTGAAATTCAACAAAAAGAATAATCATAACCAGATTCTCAATAAGAATCTAAACATCAACATAATATATCTTAATAAAATCATTAAAAACCTATTTTAGATGAACCTGAATAACCAGAATTATAACAATAAAAATTTACTCATGAAGAGGAGAAAAAATAAAATATTCTTTAAAATAATGAAATTAAAGAAAGTACTGAGTAAGTTATTTTAACAGAAAGATAAAAAAATTATTAATAATAAGGAAATGATACAGAATAAAATAAGTTATAGTCTCATGATGAATAAGGATTTAATTCAACTGGAAATAAATTGAATGAGGAAAGCAATGGAGAAAATATACACATTTAACGTTTGGATCCAGTAAATAATGACAAAGGATGTTGTTCCAAATGTGAAATATTTTGATATTAAAATAAATTTATCATACTTGTATCTTTTAATTTAATTAAGTTATTAAATAATGGAAACAGATATTAATATTCATCAAATTACTAGTTTTAATCAAATCTTAAGTATAATAATCATTCTCTTCATTTATGGAAATATTTTTTTTAATTCTTAAAATAATTCTAATTCAACTATTTAAAAGTAATTGTTTCATATAGCAATTCTATTTAATAATAATTTGATGAATCTCCAAAAGTGTTATAAATCCTTGAATTTTATATTATAGGTTGTTTGCAGTAATTAAAATCATATTTAATCTAATTAAAGTATTGAACTTCTTTGTTTATAGATAAAATTTATAAAAGAAATTTTATTAATACTTCAAAAGAAAAACAAATATATATATGATTAGTATTTTTACTTATGATTTTAACTCAATAGACTGAGGAAGAAACTTTTATTTAAATCACAAAAAATATTAGTTAAGTGGGAATTGATAATGAAGGCACTTTTAAATACATATTAATTAAAATGACATGCAATAATAATTAAGAGTTTTATTTTGTAAGAGGTTTTAAATAATATGGATATCATGCTTAAAATTTTGAACATTTTTGTAATGAAGCAAAAAATGGTTTGAAATGGTCAGAATTTACATTTGATTTGGAAGATGGAAAAATAAAGGGAGAATTAAATGGATTTAAATTCAAATTTAAATGTCTAGGAGGAGGTAGACTCAAACATTCAAATATTTAATAAACTTTAGAAATATATGGATATTCTTGGTTATATGGATAATGTGAACATAAAATATCTTTAAATACAATTAGAACTGTTTATCCATATTTAGATGAAAATGTAATCACAAGAAATGATGGTTATTGATAATAACAAAATTTTATATTTCATTAAATAAATGGATTTATATGTCCACCATTTGCTTAATATAAATGAGTTCCAATTCCAAATTATTTATGATTATTTAATGGTTCTATATTCTTCTTCAAATTCCACAATTAACATGATAATGTAATCTTCAAAAAAATCACAAAATAGCTAACAAGAATGGTTATTCTCTAAGATGTTATTAAATCAGATTCTTATTATGGATTTTCTGATTTATTTTAATTCCACCATACCTAAAAATAAATAAATTATATTTATATACTCCTGAATAGGCTGCTAACCAAGATACATCATATAATAATGTCAAAATTATTAGAATTGCAAATATATTTAAATGATTCTTCTCAAAATAATTAAGACCAACAATTAATGAAGTACATAAAGCAATAGTAATATTAACAAAATCAGTTTTCACCCAACATAAATAGATACTACTAAGTAGATATAATAAAATTAAAATGGCTGTTAATTTCATATCCTAAGTGACATGATCATAACCATAATTTGCTTTTTATTTAAGATCATGTCTTGCTGGATAATCAATCTCTGGATGTACTGTAGTTACACTTTCAGGAGGTTGATTCAGTATTTGTAAGACTCTACTATCACTTAATTATGGTGTTTTATAAATTGTCAAATCTACTTTCTTATCTCCTTAATATATAATTGGTTTAGAGAATTCATGAACAAACATTAATTAAGGAGCATCAGGAATGATTAATCTTTTTGGTTACAATACTCCATTCTAAAAAGGAGAATAAAGAATCTTCAAATCATTTTCATATTAATCCTTCTCTTCTTGTTGATTCAATATTTATTGCTACATTACTTATTGAGCTTATTCATAAAACATTGACTAATTTATAATCATATAATACTTCATCCAATAATAATTGTAATTCTAATTGTAAACTACCACTACTCATTTAACCATGACGATCATAAATATTGAACCATTGATTATGTTTCATTTGATCTTCTAATTCTCTTAACCCAAAATGAATCTCTCCTATTAAACTGCTTTTATTATTTGTACTATCCAAAGTTAATATTGATATATAAGTTTGTTCATTTCCAGTCTTAATAGGACTTTAAATATATTAAATGATATTTACAATACAAAAGTCTCATCCCATATTGGATTAAGAATATCATTATGTGCTAAACGAGAACTCTTTTTCTCTTAATTAAAATGGACAACAACATAAGGTTTATTTGTAGCATTAATCAATCCTTAATGTAAATTCTTAGCTCCAATAACACGAATCTATAAAACTTAAGAACGATTCTTATTTGTTAATTTTGTCAACTCTTCTGTTTACTTCACAATAAATTCATTAGCTTTGTTGATTTTTTCATTCAATACTATGTCTGCTTATATAATAATTTCAATGAAATCTTCAATCTTTACAAGTCCTTTATAATTAGTTGGACAACGTTCAAATAATTCATTTGCCAATTCTCTATCAAATTATTGTTAGGCCATATTATCTAAAATACGTAAAAGAGATGTTTTTGTAACAATAAAGAATGGTTCAAATCCTTTACATTAAAAACATGCAGTGAGATAATCTTTAGCTTATTGTTATTTATTGCTCATTAACTTTTATTTAATATTATTTCTTGAGTATAAAAAATAATCAATTAGTCAAAATTAATACAAAAAAATATTATTGCAAATCCATATATCTTTAGATGACTTTTTTAATACTAATAAATTGGGAAGTTTAAAAATGAAAATAATTAGTAATAGTTTTATTAGCTACTTTATTTGAAAGATATTTTATTTATATATATATATAATATTTTCAAATTATTAATCTTATTTCTCAAAGTTATTAATCATATATTCAATATTAAGATCTATTCATGATTATATGATCTCATTATCATATTCACTAATTCAAATTAATTACTTAATGATTATAATCAAAATTAGAATTTTTTGGATTTCATTATCTCTTACAATAAAAGAATTAAGCACTTAATTAATTTAGTGATCTATTTATGTTTCTTCAAAATGATTCAAAAACACAGATGCAATAATAAATTAATTTATAATTTTCTTATTGTTTTAATATAATAATAAACATAAGTAGACATTATTATATTAAGAAAAAATAATTTTATTTTATATAAGATAATTACTTTTAGAAATTAATTAAATGTTTTCCAAATATTTTCTATATTTTTCAATAACTTTTTATTTATTCTAATTTTACTTTTATATATATATATAAATTAATTAAAATTTCATTTTGGTTCTTCTTGATTTGATTTGTTATATTACTATTCTTATGCTTTCATATAATATTAAGGTTGATAATAAGATTGTTACATCCAATAATTTTATTATAGACCTTATGATAGATTTATAGATTAGCCTATAGGTTAATAAATGATCTATGGATAGAGAATTTAAACAGGAATTTATTATTAGTATTATTATTGATTTTCAAAATCATATTGACTATTGACAAGATTAAATTAATCTCCTAAAAATAGTTAAGATGTTTAAAGAGGTTAAGCTTATTATGATTAAGGTATTGATTATCTAAGTGATGATGAAATATTTAATCTTTATTATTATTACTATTATTATTAAATTTATGATTGTTATATTTAGGATTATTGTTATTATTATTATTATTGTTATTATTATTATTATTGTTATTAATGTTATAACATTTATTATTATTATTACACTTATGCCTAAGTTGAAGAACCATGAACTTTATTTATAACTTCTTACAAATACTATTAAGGAATCATAAAAATGTTGGATTGTTCAAAATCTACAATACCAAATTAACAATCTTCAACATCTTAAGCTGTTAAGTTTGTAATAGCTTCAACTTCAAATTCTACTTAATTTGCCTAAAAATTGAGTATCATTTAATCGTAATATTAATCAAATTACAATTAATTTGTTTCATTTTCTAAATGAATAAATTATAATAGATACCTTATGGTTTTAAAATTTATTTAAGTAGATTTATAGTACAATTTGAATCCAATTCTTATTTATTAACTAGTTTTTTAATTTATTGATCTAAATCAATTTTGATTTTTTCCATAGTATCAAGAAATCTTTATTTATTATTTGCCTCTTCATTTTTTTATTGAATTTAATCAATCTAACTTTCTTACTTAACTTTTTATTATTTTTCATATAATTATTCTTATTACATTTATTAATCAGTAATTAATGTACTTACTCTAATTTATTTACCTGTACTCTCACTTAATCTATCAATAACTTATAATATTATTTTTAATTCTTTTGGATCAATATCTTCATATAAATGTACTAAATTATCAGCTTAATAGTTATGATTATGTTATTATAATAAATCTACAATTTCTTATTAAATTTCTTCTTTAACATCTGGTTATTTATTTCTTTCTTTTTTCATAATAGTATGATATCTATTTTTTAAAGAATTCTCTGTTCGTGTATTTTTCATAATTTTTGATATTTCTGACCACTTTTTTCCTTTTTTTAAAATCAATTATAATAAAGTTAATTCCTCCTCCTTAGTCCATGGTCCTCTAAAATATAAAAATAATTTTTACTTTGATATTTATGGATCTAATTTATTAATCCATCTTTCTCTACACTATTTACCTTATCTAACAATTTAAGTTTTGCATCTCAATGCAATTTCTTTAGCAATTTCACTCCATTTACTGTGTTTACCTTGCTTTTAATACTCCATATAAATTTGAGCCAAAGCTTCATCTTCTTCTTTACTCCAAGGTACTTAAACAAGTTTAAATTTAGATCGAGCCAACCATTTATATTTACATTGAGTTGCATTTCTACCTACAATCAATTAAGCAATGTATCTCCAATCTTAATCATTCTAAATTTATGTTAAAAGACTTACAAGCTCTTTACATACTTTATTTTTCCATAAACAATATCTAATAATAATCCATGTTAAAAATTATTTCTCATTATCCTTCCATTTCTTTTTATTTTGACGACCTTGGATTCTGCATAAATTATACAATAAAGATTACTTGCTCATAGACTTTTAGAACATCTATTCTAAATCATCTTCAGTTGGCCATTCCATGTCAGCTGGAAAATCTATTCTTTCCTTAGCATTCTCCATTTCAATTTCTATTTATGAAGTTGATCTCATAAATTCTTTAAAGTTTCTTTGTACTTGCTCTAAAGGCCAAACTACAACTCAATCACCAATTTTACTAATAAGATCTTCTTAATCTAAATTTAAACTAGCTGCAAGTGATTCTCCAGCACCATTTTCTGCCATACTTCTAAGTTCTAATTTCAGGATAATAATTACATTAGAGAGTGATATCATCTATTTTCTTCTCTTATTTCTAATTCATTTTAATAATAATATAGATATATAAATCACTTCTTGTTACCTTTGAGTTGTTTCTTTCCTAAGTTTAAGTATTCAATCATAATCTAAGATTAATCATTATTATGAGATATCTTTTATATATCAACTGTAAAATCCATATCTTTAATAGAAGATTTGGATTAATAATCAATATCAATATGGGTGATAGTTTCGTCATTAATATAAAATATTTCATATTGAAATGGTATGATCAAAAGGGGATATGAAGTTGTAAATCCTTCCTTTTCAAAATGAAGTCAAACAAAGATATTGTTTTTCACTTATCTATTAAATAATTAATAAAATTTAATTACGATTTAGACAAAAAAAAAATATAATTATAATTTGCCTTCCTCTTTAGTATCAGTAGCAGCTTTCACATTATCGCCAAACTTTTATTTCTTTACAATCATAACTGAAACATCCTAAACAGCTGTTAATAATTTGTCTTAGCAATTTTATTCTGATTTTAATCAAAAGTTTTGAAAAGAAATTCTTTATTTTATTTACATATATTTAGTTAATATTGAATGTTCTTAACTTTTTCCATCAAAATTTATATTTTATTCAATAGTTTCATTTAAATCTTCAATTTTTATTTCTAAATTAATACTATTATTCACTTCCTTAAAACAGTTTACTTCTCTATTTGCTTATCCTGTTTAATCATTTTATTTTGGTTAAATTTCTGAAATTCTTTTTATGAATTTTTATGAGATTTTCCTTTGAATCTTTTAAATTAACATCATTTGATAGAGCATTTTTATTAAAGAATAATCCATTTAATTTTAGTTAAAACAGCAAGTCAATCTACTGTAATATTATAAATTGTAAATATGAAATCTTAAATTATATTATCATTAGAATCTAGAATTGTAACACAATACTAAGGAGTTTACAAATTTTATTATAAGGAAGCATTAACAAATAGATTATTATATTGGTTTATTTATATTTCAAGATGATCCTTTCCATTATCCTTTGTTTAACTACTTACATTAGTTTACTTTTTGCTTAGTATTGGTAAAATTCAAATTTGATACAATAATGTAATTTGAACTTCTGCTATATTGATAAACTAAGAATCCATGAATGTTTCAGTGACTTTAACTTTATTTTAAGGTGAAATTAATGATATTGATACAAAAACTATAAGCATCTTTAAATTAAATTTAATTATATTGTTTATTATTCAAAAGAGAAAGAAAAATAGAATTTCTTTTCTATTTGATGATAATTTGATAAAGTATCCATCTATCTTAATATCCAAATACAAAATTCAAATATTATTTTATTTATAACAGATTCCAAATTGAAAATGAAACAAATTTTATCAAATGTCCCAGATAATTTCTTAACAGAACCTCGTTCTTCATAATAATCATGTCATGTTATTAAATCAAAACCTCTTATAACATATACACCTCTACAAGTAAATAAACCTTAAAATTTGATTCAATCCTTAAATGGATTATGCAAGTACTTTAATAAAAAAGATGAGATGAAATAGATAACTTATTTTGCTCCAAAAAGTGTTTAGAGATCATCTGCATCATTATCCCCTAGATAAATAATTACAAGTAGCATATCAGATAACAGTCCTGTATTAGTCAAATAATTACTTTGCAGTTAAAAGTATCTCAAAGAAAATCTTAATCCCAAAGAGGGTATTAGCATTACCGAATTTAAATCAGTAACTTAATTAATGTAAACAATTTTAGGATTAGAAATTAATGAAAGTTAATGATAGTAGTCATAAGAGAAGTATGGGAAGATTTGCCAAAAATCAGAAATCCAGAAATGCATCTGTTTAATATCATGAAGATTGGAAATTAAAATATGAAGACTTATAACAGAGTTTATGTCAACGAATTCAATAATTAGAAAATGAATTAGAAGAAATGGAAAAGAATAGAAAGATTGATAGGATGCATTCTGATGAATAAACAAATTAATACATTGAACAATTATAATCTATTATTGCAGAAAAAGATTAAGTGATTTATTAAATGGATTAAAAACATCAAGAATTAGAATAGATAATTCAAAAATAATAATTGGAAATTGATAAATATCGATAAAATAACCATAGATATTGTGATAATCTCGAAATTAAAAGATTATAAATAGTAGATTAATAATTTCAAAAATTAAAAGGATAACTCCCTGTATTAGCATCTACACTTTAAAACATAGAATAAATATTAGATACTTCATAAACATAATAAAATAATTTGTCTTTATCTTCAGTTTCTGTAGTTGAGATGATTAATGAAATGAATCAAGGAATTGGAATTAATATTCAAAGCTCTAATCGAAATAATGAGTTATTGATTCGAAATATTTCTGAAAATAAACCATTCAATTTATCTGATATTTTATCAAGAAAAAAAAACTAATGATTTCAATTTATTTATTATATATATATAACTACATATATGGATTAATCACCAACTCAAAAAATCTAATTACCAAAATCTAATTAATATAAACGCCAATCCACAATTGAATATCCAATCGTCTATCATTTATTAAGCACATATATGTTTACTGTATAGCAGAATAACAAACTTAGTATTATCAATTATTGATGTAGACAAAAATGAGAAATAGATTAGATTAGTTGAGATGGGCAAGAAATTAGGATAAAATGTAATGGAATCATTAGCATCAACTCAATTTGAAAAAATCAGACTTAATCCAGATTAAGGAAAATATACTGATTATGTTAAATTCTTTGGTAAAGACTTTTGGTCATATATGTTTGGATAACCAGTTTCTAAAGTTTAAATTAATAAAGCTGGTTCACATTATGATATTGAAGATAGGTATGAAGAATAGAAGAAAGGAAATAATACAATTACAAAACTTGGATTTCAGATGACTAGGAGAATAAGATTAAATGATAAAATGTAATATATCATTCAATTTAGTATATAAGATGAGTATCTATCACTTTGGGCAAGCTTTATTTAAGGTTTAGTAATAGGAGGAATGAAAGCGCTTACAATTGATTGTGACTCAGAAGTTGAATTTATCAATAATGAAGTATTTAATAGATATTAAATTGTTTAGCCAAGTGATTTAAGATTTACAATATAAATTCGAGATTTCCTTAGTAGCAAGAGTAACTTCTTGATTTGATTATTTAAATAAATAATATTATATAAATCTATATTAATTATTCTTTAAGATATAAGACATTTATAACTCAAATGTGATTTTTCATCAATTATTATTTATGATTTTGAAAACTTCATCATTTATTTAAATTCATTTTTAGAAAAAATTGATATTAATATAAAAATTCAAATAATCAATTTCTCATTTTGCATTTAATAGCATTTTTATTGATTCTATATCTAATATTCTAAGCAATTAATGTTTTATTGATTTCAAAATATTACTACCCATGAACAATGATGAGGATTATATAGGGAGTATAAACATTCATAATAATCCAAGAAAAAATTATTTCTTAGAATTATTGATTGTATATATCTACTTTTTTAATTCTTGAAACTCAATACAACTTGAGAGTTTCCGATTTAATAATTAGAATATTTAATTGTTCCAAGAAAATATGATAAAATTTTGATATCATTTCTATACATTCAATCTATTATGTATTCTATATGTATTATTATAATATATTTCATTAGCCTATCTTAACAATGATTTACCATCACAAAAAGAGCAATTAAAAAATTTAAATAAGTATTATTTTATTATAAAAAAGCATAATTATATCTAAATATAAATCTTAAACTGATTAAGAGTTCTATGTCTTTAATGATTCAGACAAAAATTTAAAGAAATTAATTAACTTATATACTATTAAATAAACTCATATATGAAATTGGACAGTATGTTGATACTAGCTAAGATTAACATTATTATAAGTCATTATTTCTCATTATGCCTGAATAATAATATTTATTAAATTATTAAATCTTATAAATCTTTAGTTTATTAAAGGTTTTATATATTATATATATATTATCATAGATACTATCACAAAGTAAAATTTTTCTCATCATAGTGTTCTAATGTAAGATGTCCTTTTCCTAAACAATCCAAACATTAATCCCTTTCTCTTTTTTAAGTAGGTGATAAATCTTGATCTAAATATTTTCTTGAGAATTTTGGTATGACATACCCAGCTCCTTTACAATGATAACATTCTTATAAAGTTGTGATTGCCTCTTCTTTCATTTCAATGTTTCCCATATTTCTAGTAAATTCTTCAATTATTTAATTACTTCTTATATGGAATTTGAGTTGACACATTATAATATTGTAAAAAATACGTATTATATTAAAAAATCATTTTTAATAATACTTACTATAGTGATATAATATTTGAGAGGCATAAAATTTCAAATGTGTACTTCATAATAAAAAAATTCATAGTTCCAATATGGAATTCTAAATAATAAATATTATGATTTTTGTTTACACAATTTAATATTCATGTATTATTTGTTATGTTTTAGAAAGTAAAGGCATTTTAATTTAGTTCGAATATTGTTTTAGGCAATTAATTTAAAAATTAATGAAATAATCCTAAGTTAACAAATTTTTCACAAATTTAGCAGGATGCTAATTAGTTTCTAATATTGGATCTCCAACAACAACTGCTCCCAGTAAACACAATAAAAATGCAAGCTCTACAATTTCAAATGGAAATAAATATTTAGTTTACTCTAAACGTACATCTCGTCTCCTTTTAGACTCAACTAAAAAACTTCCTGTTTTAACTACTGTTATGAAGACAGAAACTTAGGATACTCCAAAAACTGCAACAATAAAAATGAGAAAGGCAAGTGGAAATTCAGGAGACTTTCGCATTATACATTAACATTAAAGAAATAAAACTGAGACTCTTATCATTTCTAATAACATAAATATATCTAAAATGGATTCTCCTAAAGAAAACTTTGAAGAAGTAGAGTAACTATATGTATAACAAAATATTTAACATACAGCCACAATTCCAACATTAATACCCCATGCTGTTGATATTCAGTAGTCATCTTTAACATCAAATAGAAGTGAAAATATTAATCATTAAGTATAACCAAAAGTTTATCCTGTTTAAGTATTAGGAGAAGCATATGAATTCTCAAAGATTCCAAAAATATGTTCTAAAATAAAAAGAATATAGATTTAATAACATTTTACAGAAATTGAATCCTTAAATGAAAAAAGTTGTCATTTAATGAGGAAATTAAGATAAATGTTACATACTCATAGAGAGAAAGAGAAATTATAAGAATTAGAAATGAAAAAGAAAAAAGAATAATTAATTGATAGATAATTTTCAAAAACATTAAGTAATATGCCAGATGAAAGAACACCTAAAGCTATTGAATCTAAATTTAATTTTAAATTAAGTACAATTACTAAAAAATAAACTAAAATTCATCCTAATTATAGTATTTAAGAAACTGAATCATTTTTACCAATTAAAACAATTATTGATGCTTTAAAAGAAAAAAAGGATGATAAAAAAGAAAAATTATAAATTATTTAATAAATTTAAAAAAAAAATATCAAAGTAACTGTTGCTTTTGAAGAAAATGAAAAATAAATTGAATTTTAAATGCCAGATTATATGGGTGATCTTCAATAAAGTTAAATTTAATAGACAGAAATAAAGGATAATAAATAATCAAATATTTATTCATTAGTCAGTAAATCTATGTTATAAAAGTAAATATTTTTAATTTTTATAGTAAATTTGCTTTGAGATTAGTTAAGAAATTTGGAGATAAAGTAATTAAAACTTAAAAGGATAATGATGCTATTGAAAATTTTAATTCATTTAAAGCTTCTTAATTTACTAGATATTATTTATAGAATCATGCTTAAAAATGTTTGGAAATTAGATATGAAATAAAATAAGAAAATGAAGAAATTTAAACATTTTAAAAATACAGTTTTTTAAATAAAAATTATTATTCTGAAACAATTTAAGAGAACCAAAACAAAAGTATTATATAACTTCCTTAATTTCATGTAACTATTTTTTCAATTTAAGAAAGACTAATATAAAACATAATCAGATGTTGAGACTTCATTTTATTCTATTGGATAACATTTTGAAGGACATTAAAGTGATAATAGTATTTTAAGTCCAAATATTTCTTAATTAGATATAAGTGATATAGAAATGCAAACATAATTCAAAATTAATTATATCTATTATATGTTAAATTTAATATCTCCAAATGATATAAAATAATAGAAATTAAGAATTATTGTTAACACTATTGATGATGAAACTAAAAATTAATTATTACATGAAGAACTCTTGAGATTTCCATTAATCAAAAGTTTAGAAAAGAAAATAAAAAATGATCCTGAAAATAATTGTATTTTATTTATTATTAAATAGAGAGTTATAAATTCTTAATGATTTAGAGATACAATTATTAAAACCAGATTTAACTATTTTGTAAATGTAATTTTCCATTAAATACAATCATATATTAACAGGATAATTTGAAGATTATCGATATCATTAAGTGACTTAAATGGAAAGGATTTATGTTGAATATTGTAAAACTCAATATGATCTAGATTCAGCTAAAAATATTGATAGATAACTTACAAATTTAAACATTCCTTAAAATTCAAGAAGCAGACTTGCTTCTCCAATAGGATCTGTATCATATATTTTTTATTTCAGAATGAATCAAAATTTAACGGAAAAGAGATCAATCCATTATTAGCCAAAGGAATGATGTTAAAAAAGAATTAGAAATAAAAGAATCTATTAGCTACTTAGAAATTTTCTTCTTCTCAAAATATTATATACAAAAGTTCTCGTAATTTATAAGCTTTATTACATGCAAACACTAATTCAAATCATAATATCTAATAAATGTAAAGTTCTCATTAAGTTCGAATATCTTAAAAAGAGTCTGAATAATAAACTAAATCCAAAAGTTCTCAAAGACTTATATCAATCAAATCCAATTTGATTACACAATAATCAATGGATCCTTCATCATTACTTTTCAGAAGTATGTTATTATAAGAGAGCTAACAAAATGATAAATCAAACATTGAAAGAGCTTTCTCTTTAATAGAAGATCATCGATTATAAGACCTTAAAGACTTACTGAATCATGATTAGAATATCAATTTAAATACTAAAGATTATAATGGGAATACATTTTTGATACAAGCAGCAAGAACTGGAGCTTTTGATATAATATAATACCTTCTTCGTAAAGGGGCAGAGATTACTATAAAGAATGTATAATATTTAATTGAAGTAGAATGATGGGTTAAATGCTATACAGATAGCAATCATTCATTTATAATTTGAGGCGGCAGACGAAATTAATAGATTTAGTAGATCAAATTCTTTTATATCCCATTGATTATAACTTCAGATTTTTCAATCCAATACTATTATAAATGATAAATTAATTCTAATATTATTCTATCTTTGTTAAAACTTTATATTCCTTAATCATTTAAAATAAACAACAAAAAATTTATTTTCTACTTAATATTATTATTATTGAAAAAGTTATCCAAATTCTAATAAATTAAAATATTAGGTTATGTTTTTCTAGAAAATGAAAAAATAGTAATAAAAATAAATAGTTTACTAAGAATTAAGTTTACTGTTTATGTTAGTTTATCAATATATAATTCTAATAGTGTTATATTTTGAATATAAATTGTTTAATTTAATTATTATTATTAATGTTACCCTTTTTATAAAAGGAGAGATCTAATTCATTCAATGTTAGAAAACCAACAGAAAGAAATTCAATCCATGCTGATATATCTCCATTAGGTGAAGGAAGAGGAATATTAATCATATTGATTTTGAATAATGAAGAATTTGTTGCTGAGTTTATTCAAAATCCTCGTTACCTTTAATTTCTTAAATATAAAGAGTTTTTAAATGAGATACAAATCAAATAATTTATAGTATATTTATAGGAATAATTGATTTAATCATAAAGTAAGACATATACTTATCATTATTGTACATTTTCATAATAATAAAAAAAAATTGATTTAATGAATACTTCAAGTAGAGAGACTTATGAAGTATTATTTGAATTTGCTGAAAGAATTAATAAAGAGAAATAATTTAATTATGCTTTTGGCGTTGACTTTAATATGATACATAAAAGCAAATTTAAAAATATATTGTTTTTGAGTGACATAAGAATAGATTTATAAATAATGGAATACTTTTAACCATAAAAAATAACAAGAGTAAGAACATTTTCTCATCAAAGTGTAAATTAAACATCAAAAGAATAATCAGAAATATTAGACATAGAAAATAAATATTAATAATTAGCATCTAATAAAAGAAACAAAGAAATTAAATAATATCTAAAAGAATAAAATAAATTAAAATAAGAAACAAAAAATAAAGATTAATTAATGATTAAGAAAATTATGTAAACTGAAAAGATTGAACCATAAAAATAGTAAACAGAATTACCATAAATATGTGAATAGGTATTTTTAAGATTTTAATTAATTTTTGGAATTAAGGATATTCATTTGGATAGAGATTTATTTTCATAATTTCTATTATTATGTGAAATGACTATTTTATATACTAAAAATAAATTACTTTAAGTTTCAATCCATAAAATTGAAGTAAGTAAGAGATTAGAAGTACTTTTAAAATAATTATTTTTTGATTATAAAATTCTTAAATCTATGAATATCAAATTATAATAATTGAACCCATCTTTAACAAGATGTCTATTAAGATTTTTAAAATAAGGATTGGAATATGATAGATAAAATAGATTATTTTGGAATGATTTTCTAAGATTTAAATAATATTACATAGATAGGATTTGGGTAGTCTCTGATTTTAGATTATTTTTAATGCTTTTGAATGATGAAAATTAAGCACTTACATCTAAAATTATTAAAGCTTAACCCCAAAATATTTAAAGAACCATTTTAAATCTTGAACCTGATGCCTTATAAAATATTGTTTACTCCTTAATTTTTTGAATTAGCTTTTATTAATTTATATAATTACTAAAATTATATTTACTCACTTATGTCAAAAATCTTATATTTTATACTCACAAATATTATATCGAAAATTAAATATTCATATTAATTTCTTATTACATACATAATCAACAAAATCATCAAACTCTGAAGGTTAAGCCAATTCCAATAGGATTTTTTTTTTCAAATTATTCATCTTTTTCTTACTTTAATTAGGTATTGTTTCTTTGACTCTAAATGATTCATTCCTTTTTTTATCGATTAATTGTGTTTTTAATTACTTCAGTAATGGTTTTGTTTGTTATTTTGCTTATATTATTCTTGGGGATATGTTAACTTATTTCGAGACTAATAATTAAGTCTATTCAAAAAAGGAAGGATATTTGCTATTTGGTGTAACAGGTAGTGTCATCATTTATCTAGGAGTAAGATGCTCATATTTATATTATTAGATGAGGGAACTTGTTTTCTATATCATTTAATTATTTGCTCCTGCTATGTTAAAATAATGATATCTATCAGAGGGATCAATCATATGCATTCCAATAATCATTTTCTTTCTTTTTTATAATTCGCTGTAAGTTGTGGGTTTAAACATAAATTAATTACATATTCTAAATTAATTTTGATATTTTGTTAAACTGAAAATTATAAATTCTGAATTTTAAAGAATGCCTTATACAATTCTTTAAAATATTTAATTAATATATTTGCTTATCACAATAATTAAAGTAATAAATCTGGATAATGATTTCAATAGAATAATATTCTATATACATTTTAAGATATCAAAAGTATAATTAATATTTCTTATCTAATTATCATTCTACCTTAAATACATACTTCAATTTTGATTCGGAGAAATTTATCAAATTTAAATTAAATTTAATATTATTCAGTTAAACTCATGATTATGTTACTATAATAAAATTTTAGACATTATATCATATCACTGTTTTTTAAACAGAATTAAATTACTTACATTTTTAGGATTGAGACTCATACTGATCATTTTAAATTTAAAAGAAACCAATCTTTTATCTAAAATAAAATGCATGATTAATGAAAGTCTTCTAGATACAAAGATAGAATCTATTTAATATAAATATAGAATTGCAGAAAAGAATAACAAAGTCATTCATCATCTGAAATTAAAGGGAAATCTTTTGCAATTACAATATTTTAAGATGAATAGACTAAAACTAAATATTTTATTATAGAATAAATTCAGAATACTCTTTTAAAATTTCACATTATTAAAGATAATAGAGGTTCATTTTGGAAAGTACATTTATCCATAAAAATTATGCCATAAACGAGTTGTAGGGTCTTGATATATATTTTATTGAAAACATTTTATTGTATTACAAAATACCCAAGAGAAATACATAAATAATACTTGTTACACTAAGGTAATAATAATAATTTTGAATTAAGTTATTGTAATTTGATATTTTTATTGATTATAATGATTTGAATTAAACAATGTTAATAAAATAATAGAAACAATCTAATTAATTCCAATAATGCTATAATTTGATTATAATTTTTTTATTAAAATTATATGAGCTTGAATCTCCAAGGTTCGAGAAAACCAAGCCAAATGAATAGTCCAAGTTCTATTAAAAAGCCAATCATATCCTCATTACTATTTAATTGTAAAGCTCCTATAAATGTTCCTAACAGTTCATAAGTATCACCTTAAAATTCTGAACAAAATCTCCTAAAACCATTGCATTCACATAAAGGATCATAGGTGGATGTAACTAATTTAACAAAATTAATAAAACACAATAAATCTCCTACTATTGAAGCTTTTGATACACAAAATAACTAGAATTCAAATTAATAATAATTGTAAGCATTGTTCGCAAAAGCTAAAGAAATAACTACTAATAAATAAAAACCATAAATTGTAAAATAATAAGTTCAATCAATTCAAACATAATCAATAAATTAATTGAAAGAACTATTTAATAATAATATATATTGTAGAAACACTTTCCATTTTCATTTTGTTGTTGGAATTGGTGGATTTGGAAAAGTTTGGAAAGTAGAACATAAAAAAACATCTTAGATATATGCTATGAAGGAAATGTCAAAGGCACTGTATAGTTATACTTATTTATATAGAATTATTACAAAAAAAAGTGTCAATTCAGTTATGAATGAAAGAATATTGTTAAGTCAATTGAAGCATCCTTTTTTAGTTAATATGAATTTTGCATATTAAGACAGAGAAACTCTTTATTTAATTATGGATTATATGTCAGGAGGTGATCTCAGATATCATATAGGAAGAATGAGAAGATTTAATGAAGAATAAACTAGTAAGAAATATTAACTATATTTTTTGAGGGTTTTTTGTAGCTTGCATATTTTTAAGTTTAGAATATGTTCATGATAGCAAAATAATACATAGAGATATTAAACCTGAAAATCTAGTTTTAGATAGTAAAGGCTATGTACATTTAACTGATTTTGGTATTGCAAGAGTAATGAAACCTGAAAATTCAAGTGATACAAGTGGCACACCTGGTTATATGGGTATTTTTATTTTTAAACTTACAGCTCCTGAAGTGATGTATAGATAAAATCATACATATGCTGCAGATTATTATGCTTTAGGTGTAATTGCATATGAATTTATGTTAGGCAGAGTATTATTATACTAAATTATTAGAGACCCTATGTAGGGAGATCAAGATAAGAAATACGAGATTAAATCATGGCTAAATAAGTACAAATAAAAAAATCTGAAATTCCTGATAATTGGTCTTTGGAAGGTGCCGATTTTATCAATAGAGTATTTTATTAAATCAAATCCTATCCAGCTTTTATAAAGAAAGCCCTAATAACGATTAGGGTTTAATGGAAGTCAAGAAATCCGTTAACATCCCTGGTTTTTAAATTTTCCATGGCAAAAGCTGAACAATTTTGAGCTTGTTCCACCATTTTAACCTAATGTAAATAATAATTATTAAAATAGAGGACTGAAGATAATTTTGATTAAAAGCAAATTCTCATAGAAGATGAAGAAAATAATGAACTCATTTAATAAAATTTGCTTGTATTAAAAGATCCAACTACTCAAGGTATCATTATATAAATTATTAAGATCTATTTTAGGGTTATGAATTTAATGCAAATTAAAGTCAAAATAAGATTTCATCAACTACTGATTAATCATCAAGTTCATCATCTAAACACAGCAGAAATTTTAGTCAATAAATTGAAAAATAATAATATCTTTAGAGTGGTAATAAGTGATTCTATTGACACCATTCATATAGTATATATATGCTGTTTTATTTTATTTTTTTTAATTAACTAGATCATATTAGGGTTTATCTTAAACTTTGGGAATTTAAAATAGTTTTGATTTTTATAGGTAGTTTTTTATACAATATCTGAATTATATTAAATTTTTTTATTTTCATTTATTTTGCAATATATTATTTTTTTAATTCGAAAATAAATAAAAATTAATATTTAGTTATAAAGGAAATTTTTTCATAAATTATCATCCTGATCATTTATTTCTAAAAATAAAACTAATATTTATTTAAAAAAATCATTCTAAAATACTTTTGGAGGTATCTCATATTAATTTGAACTATAAAAAATGAATAAGTCAAATTTAATATTTTCTTCAGAAATCATTGTAATTATTTGAAATTAATGTTAATTTTAAATTATTAAATGGTAATTTAATTTATGCTTTAAAAACACAATAAAACTTAAGATATAGACAAATTAAATTTTTGATAAATACTGAATAAAGAGATTGTTTTTCATTTAATAATAATAAAATCATTAACAAATAAATTCTCTAAAGATCTATGAAGTCTTATTACAATTATAAATTAATTTCAGAATTTGGTTGCTTATTCTAACAAAAAATCTTATATTTTAATTTGAAAGTAAACTGAATTAAGAATCATCATTAGTTATTTGAAGGTGTACAATGTTATAATGACTGTTAATATTAATTTATTATTTAAATGTATATTGGAAATCATTAAATTTCATTAAATTAAATGATTAGAAAAATATCGTAAAAGAAATAAAAAATTAGCATAGTAAAAAAGAATATAAAAAAGAACACTACAAAAGAGATTGAATAAATTCAAAAGTTAATTCTTTTGTTACAACATTTGGATACTGATTTATGTTTCTTGAAAGAGGATAATCTAATCTTAAAAGATGATGTTAATACAAATTGTTAAAATAAATCTACTGATAAATTAATTGCCAAAGGATTAAAAGAGAGTAATTTTTATTATAAATGTAGATTAAACCTGTAACACTTAAAAGTAATCTCATCCTTTAAAAGACACATCAACTTTAGAATAAGAAACTCATTTTTTATGTAAAGATTTTTTAGATTAGTACAAAAGAAATAAAAAGAAGAACAGAGTGTGAATTATAATTTATTAAGAAAATTAAATTAAAAAAATCAGATTCAACCCTTCTAATTTACTTAATCTAATAATTATAGAAATTTGAAAGAAAATTTCATCATTTTATCAAAGTTTTTTAAAAAGAACAAAAATGGTTGTATTTGAAAAATTTAATTCTTTATCCATCCCTTATTGTATTATATACCCATTATCTTATCAATGCGAGAGCTAATTCAACATTTTGTTGATTTAAATCAGCCTAAAATTAATCAAGAAAAATTTTCTAATTATTAATAAATTATATTGATAATTTCTAAGAAATTTTAGAAGATTGATTAATTTTAATAATCCAGTTTTATAATATATTTTAAGTAAACAATGGAAGATATCCTTGAAGTTGAAAACAATAATAAAATTACTTAAGAAGTTTATTTAAGTGCAATTAAAGAACTTAAGTAGATGTATCTAAAGGAATTAAAAAGAATTAAAAAAGCTTAACAAATTAGATAAATATCTTAAAGAGAATTAAGTGAATACACTAAAAAAATATTTAATTAATATGAATTATTATTAGAATAGTAAAAAAAATGTAAATAAAGGGAACCATCAGATCTTTAGTATTAAGAAATCCTTTCTGTTGCAAAGACAAAAAAAGGTAACTACTTGATTATAACAGAAAAAGGTATACATTATTAATGTAAGTGTCATAAAATGAAATTTAAAACATATTAAGAATTAGGTGGACATTAAAGAACATTAAAATGAATAATTATAATCCAAAATTAATAATAAGTATATTATTTATATTTTTTAATATAATAATCATTTAAAACATGAGATTATTAAATAATAATAAATACCATCAATCAATTTAATTTAGATATTATGATAAATATTAATATTAACATCATTGTGCTATAATTGTTAAGTGTCTAGTTAAGAAATTAAAACAAATCTATGAAATATAAATAAATTTTCAAATAGCTCCTCAGTCACTGTTGTTCTCATATTTATCTTATTTTTAATTTCCTTAAAATTTTTAAGTTTTGATATACTTTTTTAATAGAAATTTTAATTATACAGCAAATAACGAGTAATTCTTTATTATTATTATTCTGCTTTATTATAACTTCATTTTTACAAAAGCTTTTTAGTATTTGGATTTTAATCCCAAAATTTCTAATTATCTTTATCTACCAAAAGACAGGATTATTTTAGACTTTTTATCAAATAATGAAATATATTAATTTGCTTAATCAATTAATATAATTTCCCATAATTTTTTATTGATATTGAAATACGAATACAAATATGAATAAATATTTCTTAATTTAATCATTAAGTTTTCATATATTAAAAATTGATATTTCATACTATAAGTCGAAAAGTTAGAGAAGTATAATAAAATTACATAATCTAAGAGTTTGGATATCGTATTTTAGAATAGAAATTGTTCATTTTAGTATGATGGAGACTCATGAATCACTTAATAAGTCATCATTTTTTAATAAATATTGTTAATATTATAATTACATCATCAAGATTTCATGGTTTTTGGATCTCCAATTAGCTTCCAAGAAATAGATGAAGAAGCCCTAGTTACTGGAGGAAAAGTAATGGCTTTTACAGTGATATTTGGTATAATTGCCATATTACAAACATTTTGTGAACATCATCATATAGCAGTCATGAGAGAAGCATCAGTGCCTATTCTTTTTGGATTAGTTTTTGGTTTTATAACATTTATTGAGTATTTTTCTGGAGGAATATACTTTGATCCTAAAATATTTTCTTTTGTATTGTTGCCAATTATTGTATTTAAAGAAGGTTATTGCCTAAATAAATAACATTTCATGAAAAACTACTTTTACGTATTGATTTATGGTATATTTGGGACTATAATTCAATTTCTTTTATCATTTAGTTTTACATATTCTTTAACTAATTCAAGTATCTTTAATTATAATTTAGATATTTTATGGTATCCTCCTTAAAATTCAACTGATGAAAATGAATCATTCTATTCTTAGATGTTCTTCTCAGCTTGTATTACATCAAAGGATAGTGCTGTTAGTCTTAGTGTTCTTGAATTTGAACATGCTCCAAAGCTACATAGTATAATATTTGGAGAATAAATATTAAATGATGTAATTGTATTTGCACTTTCCTCTACAACACAAAGATATGAAAATGAAAATGATAATTTTCAAAGAGGTGATTGGTATAATTTTTTGATTTTTATTGGATTGGCATTAGCTTAATTGATTTTTGGATTATTGGTTGGTATAGCAACTGGTAATTAAACATTATATTTTCTATAGGTCTTATTTCAACATGGATTACTAAAAATGCGAGATGTATATCTGAGCATTCTTCTGTTTTAACAATATTTACTATTTATTGTGCATATTTTGCATTTAGTTTTTGTGAGGCTTTTGATTTTTGTGGTGTAATGGCAGTTTTAATTTGTGGGATTATGATGTCTCATTACTAAACGTATAATTTACCTAAATTATCTGCTAATTCATCTAAGTATCAAATTTTATAATTATTTAGAATTACTATTAAAGCTCTTGCATATGCAACTGAAACTATTATATATTTTTATATAGGTTTTGCTGTAACTGGAAATGAAATTAATAATGTCGATCGCTTATAAAATTACACTATCTATCCTTTTGTCTTACTTCAATTCTTTATCATTTAACCTGTGTCAAGATTATTATCTATGTTAGCATCACAAGGATTGGCTTTTTTGTAAATTGATTATCGTAATTATTAGAATAAAACCTGATTCTAAAGGTGCATTGAGAATCAATAGATATGAATTTTTAATATTATTTTATGCAGGTTTAATTAAGGGAGTTATTGCATATGCTTTGATCTGTGAAGTGAATATTGAATATGCTAAAATTTCCCCATATTATCCATATATTAATTATGCAGCCATGTATTCAATTATAGGAACTACTTTATTTGTTGGAGGTTCTTTGAAATATGTGACAGAATGGGCATATTAATAAATGGATTTAGGACATCTAAAAGAATCATCAGATAATTCTGAATATAAAAGCAATTTAAAATAAACATTTATTCGTGAAGATATTAAAGCTTATGAGAGTGCTATTTAAAATAAATAAAAATGGTTTAAAAAATTTGATGAGAATTATATTAAACCATTTTTAATTTATAACTATTTAGAGAGAAAATAGGATATTTTAACTGCTAAAAAAATAAAAAAGAATAAGCATACTATAGAAAAGTAGGAAGAAGAAGAAATGTAAATGTATGAGGATAGTATAAGAGAAAGAAGAGAAAAATAAGAAATGAAAAAAGCAAATAAAAAAAGCAAATTAACAAATTTGGATTTAGATAGTGAAGCAGAAGAAGAAGATTCTTAACATCATTAAAATTAAAATAAGAGTAATCATCATTGAATTCTCTTCTTTTTTTGATCAATTTATTGTATCAATAATATTATATTCAATCATATAATATTTAAATTAAATTTATCAGTCTAATAATTTAAAAAATGATAAAATATTCACAAATAGAAATAATCTAATTAAATTTATGAGTAAATAAAGTTTAGAGAATGAAATCAATAGAAATGATCTTATTTTCAAAGATCCATAAAAAATTACTAATTAAAAAATAATTAATCTATTAATTATATTCTAATTTATACTAAAATATTATAAATAATATTGGTCAATAGAAACTATAGATATAAATATAGATAAAAAAAGAACCAAAGTATATATTTCATAATTTATAGTCCTAGAAATCTAAATAAAAATTGATACTTCAATAAATATAAATATATAAAATATCAATCTAATTTAATAATCTAATATAATATGTCTAAAAAAATAATATAAAAATTAAGTGTTACTTAAATCTCCTTCTATATCGATTAGTTAAAAGATTAGTATAAATAATTTCAAATCTTGTAAAATAATTACTTTATAATATAATATATATTATTTATGAATCCTAAATAATTATCAAAGGTTTATAGAAATGACTTGGAAAATAGTTTTATTAGAAAATTTTAAAGATCTTTCTTAAATTTGGGTTTGAAATCTAGTCAGACTACTAGAGTTCAAATATATAAATAAAAACAACCAAGATATCAAATAAATGAGAAGTTGAAACAATTATCTGAGTGGAATGAATAAAAATATAATCATAAAAAGTAGTTACATTAATTTCAATATATAGGCTTATATATTATCCTAGAGCTAAAAGCTCAGAAAGCTCAATTGAAGGACAAAATAGTAAAAAAGCATCTTAATTTTTTTTACTATTGCCTTATCACTGTTCTGCTCAAAAGAGATTCTATTAATGTAGGATGATGTGGAAACGGTTGATATTAGCAGTGGAAGTTATACTATATTACAGTAAATTATAGAAGGAACAATTAATATCTAAGACTGCGTCATGTCCTCACATTCCTCCTAAAAGAAACAGTCTTAAAAGTCTTAATTATCCTACAAGTCCACCAAAAAGGAAATTCAGAAGTAGAACTTAGGGGGATGGAAAGAATTAACTAAATGGTTTTGGAGATTACATCAAAGCAATGTATGAGAGTGAAAAATAAAAAAGAGAATTATGCTCAAAATCAGTTATCATTAAGGAATTTCGATGTCATGATTCAAGAATAAAAAGACTTGGGACATCTAAAATTTATGATCAAACTCTTGATCTCTCTAAAAATGGATGTGCAAGTATCAAAGATCCTAATTAACTTCCTCCTCTTATTTCGATTATTGCCCCTTACAAAGATGAAAACATTAGAATAAAGAGGGTATCTTCTACAATGATAAGAAGAATAAGAACTCTCAGATTATATTGAAAATAATAATGATCTTATTACTCACATTTTTCTTAATATTAATTTATAGTGATGTTATAACATTAATATGGAAAAGTAATAAAAGCAATAAAAGTCATCAAATTTCAAACTTTATACTACTTGATAGTATCTCAATCTCCAATATAAAACAAAGTCATAAAAAATAGAGAATGAAGAAGCACTATCTATATTTGATTTTAGATCTCTAATCAAATGAAAATTATTTAAATTAAGAACTATAGATATTTAGAGAAGCAGTTAATGTTATTAAAAATTGATATTAGTTTATGTTTTGAATTAATCTAGAAATGATAAACGTTATAATCGTAATAGAGTAAAATATTGGAATAATTTAATTATTTCTATTCAATATATTTTATAAATAGCATTAGTTATCATCCTACTTATATGATCATTAATTATTACTTTACATATCATTTTCAAAGCTCATCCAACTGTTAAATAAATAAAATACTATTTTTTGGATTAGTAAATAAAAAATAATTATCTATATATTTTTGGAGTGTTTAATAAATAAAAACTTAAAACACTAAATTAAGTTACAAAACTATAAGTTTATAATTTTGTATAAAAAAATAGATAATCTTAAAACCATTGAAATTTATTTATAATTTTTAGATAATCAATATTATAATAATAAGCCATAGTCTTTCTAAAATATAGAAAACTAAAATGATGATAATACTACTTAATAATTGTAAATTATCATATTATATTTTATCAATAACCCAATTTTTCTAATTCTGCATTAATTGTTGTAAGTTCTTTAGCACCAATAGCCTTTCTTCTAAGATTTTCTCTTGCAATTTTCCTCTTATAATATGTAGCGCCTCTAAAAATTAATATTTAATTATACCTTTGTTTTCTTTTTTCTTCAAGTCTATTTACAACTGATTATTGATTCCATCCTACAGAAGCACACAAATCACCTAAAGTACAAAAAGGTCTATGATTCTTAAGTCTAATCAATTTAAGGGCATCTGGAACTACTTATCTCTTTCTTGTGTCATAAGGAGGAGGAACTCCTTCAAATAATTTTAATCTTTCTAAAGCAGCTGCTCCTCTTTTTGATTTATATTGAAGCATTCCTCTAACAACCTTCCAGAAACATCTTGATGGTGTTCTATAATGTTTATATCCTCTTCTTGGATTGAATGCCATTCTTTTATTCAAATATTCTTCAAAAATAACTCTGTTTCTAAATAGAGAACCTAAAATCTTTAAATAATTTTACCTGATTATTAAATCAATTCTGTTCTTACTACAACTATTCTTTATCCTCTTTATAATTCTTTTGCAATATAAGAAGCTAATCTACCCAATAAATGACCCTTTCCATCAATCACTATTTCCTTCTCAAACATTTAATTTAAATAAATTTTCAAAATGATATTCTCATCACAAAATACTTAGCAATAACAAAATTAACTAGAATACAAATACTAAATTCTATTTCTAGAATTAATATTAATATAATCAAAAATATTATAATATTTATCTTGATTCATTAATATCATCAATAATATAAAATCTGCTATAATATTATTATCAATGACATTATATCTAAAATTAATAGCATTTTATTATTATTCATTTCCAATATTAAATAATTTATTTTTTTCCATAATAACCATTTATTTATATTAAATAATAATAAAATGAGAGGTCCCAAATATGTAGAATAGGATATCATAAAAAAAGTATGTCATGCTGAATAATTCCAATAACATAAATTCAAATTGTTAAATACAAAATCTGATCCACATCTCTCTAAAAAAGTAAAGCATTTTCATAATTTAGCATGTTTTATCAGATAATGATAAATATTAATAAATAAGAGCTAATAAATTTTATACAAAATTATAAGTAGATTTATAGAAAGAACAACGTCTTTATAAAGAAAATGCTAAGATTCTCAATCGAATTGTTGATATTGGAAATTAAAAAACATATTCTTCAATGCCAAAAAGATCTGTTACTCGTTAAAGTTCAGCAAACTCTATTAAATCTCTTAATTTATCTTATAGAAAACAAGAAGCAAAAAAAATTGTTGGAGAAAATGAAAAATTAATGTAGCGGTTATAAAGAACTCCATCATCTTTTAGAAATAAAGACACTTTAATCAAAGACTATAAGAAGTAACAATCCCAATATATTTAAGAACTTTGGAACTCAAAAATAGAATTTCTAAATATTCATAATAAAATTAATAAAAGATGGGCAAAATCATTGAGAGATTGACTAAAACAACAACAAATCCTAAATTTTCAAAAACAAGTTAAAGCAGAACTAGCGTACCAACTTATTAGAATTCAGCTTTGTCAAAATTGAGAATTGAACCTGATAATTAGTAATAAAAATTGCAATTTCCAAGAATCAAATGAAATATGCAATATTAATTAAATTTTTATTCTATAACTATATAAAATATAATCAATGTTATTTTCTTGCTATTATTGTTAGAAATAATTCTTTATTTCATTAATGTATAAAACTTGTTTAAGAGAAGCTAAATATATGTATATACTAATATAATAATAATTATAAAAGAATATATAATGTTATTTAAAAGAGAAATTATTATATTAGTATTTTTTTTTATTAATAGAACATATAATTATGATGATATCTACTATTTTTTAAATTCAATTCCTTTTAAATATGAATTTTTTTAATAACATTTTATATTTCTAAACATCTCATTTATTTATATGTATATCACTCTTATTTAATTTTTTATCTATTCTTTTATATCTATTTATATAATTCTTAAAATTTGGAAACATATGATATAATATTATAAATCAAAAATATAATGAATAACAATACTAAAAATAGTGAACCAATCACTATTAATAGATTTTCATTAATTCTTAATATATAATTTTACATTTATCTATCTTTTATTGATACATCTAATATACAGGACTAAGATTCATCATAATTTTATTTCTGAAGCTCTTCAATTTAGATGGTCTTCTATAAAACAATACTTGAATCTTCACTTGAATGAGTTTCATATTAAATCTTAATAGGTTAATGTTAATCATCAGTAATTATTTTTAAGATTCCAAAATTAGATTTGTAATAATGATCTTAATAGCTACTAAAAGTATTTGGAAATAAGAATTAGAAAATAAGACTAACAAAGGGAATATGATCATAATTTGCAAATGTCATTCCACTTGAACTAAATTCATAAAGATTCTAACCCAATCTATGTGGACAAGGATATTTCATAATTTCAGAATAATGGACATCTCCAGATAAGAATATAATAGGTTTATTGTATTTTTTGATTAAAGCATATAATTTCTATTTGGACCATACAAACCAAGTTTCTGGGCCATTTCTATCATCATGCATAACTTAAACTCCAGATGTCATAATGATCAATTAACTTTCAATTTAAAATTATTGTTCTAACCATTTCCATTAATTATCTCCAAGAGAATCCCCTGTAAATTTATCTGAATTATATCTTGCATCAGTCATAACAATTAAAATTTTATTGTATTGATCAGCATAAAATGATTAGTAAATACCATCTTGTTTTCTAAGTGGAGAATCTTTTGGTTCACCAATAAAATCTAGATACAATTATTTAGCACTTTCTTTCAAAGGATTGAATTTTCCTCCATTATTTTCATTACTATCATGATCATCATAAACTCCTTTTATAATTACATTCTATTTGAATTAAGAATAATATTTATCATCATTAGTGATATCAAATTTCTCTTTTACTTTAGTCTCATTCTATTCTGATCTCCATATACCTAAAATAGGCATATAATCAATATAAGCTGCATCTCCTAACCATAAAAAATATTTAGGATTAAATGACTAAATTCTTTTGAAAACATCTGTATCATGAGTTCTATAAAATTTAAAGCATGAGCCAAAAGCTATAGTTAATTGATTCTCAGCTGTCACATTTAAAAATAAAGTAGTCAATAAAACAATCAATAATTTGTTGAGCATATATTTTTATATTTTTAATATACCTATGATAAATTTAAATCATTTTAAGGCAGCCAAATATTCGCTGTGTTCTTAGAATGGAGTTGATTCTAATTTTGTATGTCCCCAAAGATCTGGTGTAAGGAAATTGTAGGTTTCTTTAAGAGCATGGAAAGTTGCCTTCAAGAAATTTGATCTAGTTCTTGTACTTCCTTTTGATTAAGTATAACAATCTTAAATTCCTGCCATTTATAAAACTTTCTTTGATGTAATAGCAGCAACTATACCAGTACCTCTGGGAGCTGGAACCAATCTAACTCTGACTGATCCTTCTTTTCCTGTTACTTTGCATGGTACTGTATGTGGTTATGCAATCTTATTTCCCCAATATCCTTTTCTAACTGGAATCAAATTGAGTTTTGCATTAATGACTGCACCTTTAATTGCTCCTTATACTTCTTTTGCTGATTTCCATCCCAAACCAATATGTTAGTGATTATCTCCAACTACAACATATGCCTTGAATCTTGTTCTTTAACCTGCACAAGTTTGCTTTTAGACTGGACCAAGAGCAAGTGGTTCTTCCTTTAAATTCTTAAGGAAATGATCAACTATTTAATATTCTAAATTTTATAAATAATAAAGAATTACCTTTGATTGGAATAGAGAATTAAAAGATTGTTTCAAGACTCTTAATTTTACCTGCTTTTACTAATCTACCTAATTTGGTTAATGGTGTCCATTCTTATTCTCCTCCAAATCTTCTTGGACCTCTATTTTATCTTGGAGCTCCTCCTTCTCTTCTTTCTCTTTGTCCTCTTCCTCCTCTTCCAAAACCTTTCTTTTCAACTGGGGCAGCTTATTCTTATTCTACTGCTGGTGCTTATTATTGCTCTTATTCAGCCATTAAAATAAAAATCTTAATTTAAAAATTTGTTTTCAAAGTTCTGTTTATACATAAAGTCACTAATAATTATTAAATTAATGATAATCCCGCTATTGCTACTTTTTCCAATCATCAATGCCTATTTTGAACAAAAGTTGACTAGAAATGTTTATCAATATCAATAATTCAAAATCAATGAAAAGGTGACTGCTATTGCACCTAAAAAATGTCCATAAGATCTACTCAATTACACACATAGTGACACGTATGTCAGTTAAATTTGTTTTAACAAAAATGTATATTATAATGTTGAAGTTATCTTTGGTGATAATGTTACTAAGAACAATACATTTTAATTAGCGGTATTTAAAAAAAATAATTTTAGCTAGATCTAACATCTCCATGGACTTGGTACAAATCATAAGATTGTATGAGTTGCAAAAAAATTAATACTTTAACATATGAAATTGATGATGATTGTAAACATAATAGCAAGAATAATAATTGTTTTAATGATTAGTTTAATAAATCATTTAATGCTAAAAAATGGAATGATGTAAAAGTACATGGCTAAATCTATTCATAAAATTCATTAATTCAAGGAACCTTTTAAACAGATACTATTTAAATGTTAGCTTATAATTCATCTTCAAAAATGACAATCTCCCAATATATTTCTTATGAATGGGGAAATTCTACTCCTCCATCATTAGTGAGTATAACAGGATTATAAATGTTATAGGTCTAATTAATTAATAATGAATTACCTATTCTTGCAGATGGTGTTATTGGATTTGGATTTGGATATACAGAAACAGATGAAGAAAGAGCAAAAAGTGATGCAGATTTTGTTGAAAAGCTTGTTCAAGAAAAAACTAAACTAAATTTAACTAAATAATTATTTGCTTTATACACTTATGAGAGTGCTATGAACTTTTCTGAAATGGTTGTGTAAGTTGGTGGAATAGATGAAAAATATATTCGTAAATAAAAATCTAATGGAACTTGGATAGATCGTTTAGAAAAATCAGGTTATTATTGGATGGTAGAAATTAATAAAATTGAATTAAAAGTATTGTTTTTTTATTTAAAATCATAGAATTTAGAAGGAAGGGATGTAATTAATACAGAATTACCAATTAAGAAAGCCTTCTTTACTTTGAATTCCTAATTTATAGAGTTACCTTATGATGTAATGAAAGCCTTGACTCTAAATTTATAACAATTTCACTCAAATACAGCTTGTGATTTAGTTGATTCAGATGTATTTCATCAATATAAATTTAGATGTATATCTTATATTGTAAGAATCTACCAAAGTCAATTCAAACTGATTATATTTTAACGTTTACCTTTGGCAACAATTAAATTTCCATTAATAATTCTAATCTTTTATACAGAGAATGCAATTCTTCTAGTGAAGATAATAGAATTTGGGATTGTCTATTTAATATCAAGTTTTCACAATCAGAATATGTGATATTAGGTGAACCCTTTATGAAAAATCATTATATAGTATTTGAAAATGCTCCTGGTAATAACACAAGGAAAATTGGAGTATTTTAAGCAGCTACTCATATGTATTATCCTGAGAATCCAAGTCAATATGAATGGCCATTATTTAATGCTATTCTATTTATATTCTTATTTGGTCTAGTAAGTGTATGTTCAATAACATTTTTGAAGAGTTTATGTAAAGATATATTTAGATCATTTAAATATAGAAAGGTAACTTCATTTATAAATAAATAGGCATAAAATCCAGAAGATCAATAATCTTTAAGAATTTCTAAAGATATTGACTATGTTGATTATTCTACATAAGAGGAAGTCTAAAGTTAAATGAAAAATATTGAAATGAGTGATTAAAAAAAAATTGAAGAATGGAACAAATAATAAGAGTAGTTTAAATTTGGTGAATAATTTACAAATTCATTAGAATCAAATTCATTATGATATTATATAAGTCAAATATTAAATCTAAATAGATGATCTAAATTATTAGTTAAAATGAAAAAGAATCTTATTATTTTAAGATAAATCAAATAATTAAATTTTTTATTGTTACAATAGGTTTTCAATAATACTTGAAAGAACTATTTCTTTCCATTTCATTTCCTGAAAAACTTACGTCATTAAGTTAAGGTATTGGAGTATTAACAGGAGTCTCTTTAATTTAAGTTTACAAAGGTTTTAAGTTTTATAATCTATTCGAATTTTCTTCTGCAAAAGTCTTTAAAGGGGATTTCACTTTTAGTTCATAAAGATCTTACCAATTGATTTTACTAAAATATGAATGATTCTTGATACTATCATATCCCTATTTTTTAATATTAAAATATAAATACATTTGCTCCTAATCTCAATTAAGGATTGGTTTACAAAAGACTATTGATTAAATCTTTTGCATCTCTAGACATTGTTGGTGGATAAACTGGATTATTCTTTAAAATGAGATACTAAATTTTCATTTGATTTCTTTCAGGATGTGAAAATGGTGTTTTACCAGCAATCATTTCATAAATTAAAATCCCTAAAGTCCATAAATCTACTTCAAAAGAATGTCCATCCTTTCTTATAATTTCTGGTGCCAAATATTCAGTTGTACCAACTAATGTATAAGACTTTATATTGCTTTCTTTTCTTTTGGTAGCTAGACCAAAATCAGTTAATTTTACATGTCCTGATTTAGTCAATAACAAATTTTCTGGTTTTAAATCTCTATATATAATTTTTAATTTCATATTAAGATATTCTAAAGCTAAAATTACTTCAGCTGCTACAAATTATACAACAGGCTCAGGTAGTCCTTATGTTCTTTGAAGAATCTAATAAAATTCACCACCATCAATATATTCCATCACAAAATAAAGTTTAGTTTTACTTTGAAATGAATATTTTAAATGGACTATGAATGGGTGCTTACTATTATTCAATACTTCTTTTTCAATAACTGCATTTTATTCTAAATTGCTATCAAATATTTGTTTCTTGTTCATAGCCTTTAATGCATAGATTTTACTATTGTCTTTCTTTTTCACCTTATACACTTTTCCAAAAGCACCCTAAGAATCTATCGTATTCTATAATCCCTTACTTTTCCTAATTGGTTAAGCATCTCAAAATCGTCTATACTTAACTTCTTTCTAGCCTATTCCTATTGACTTGAAAAGTGTAAATTCATCTCTGAAGATTATCCCATCGTTTCCTCTTATTATTATTTGGAAGGCATCTAAACAGAAGTCATCTTTTGGGTTTCATTTGTCTCACAAAGATTTCCCATAAATTTTAATAAATTTATAAAATTGTTATGTTTATTTATTTTCTCTATAGACAACATATAGAGATGTAATTATTATATTTTTAATACTAAAGACTTTGAACTAATTTATACATTAAATTAATATCATATAATTTATTATTATAAGTAAATACTTCTTATTCATATCAAACTATTTATTTGCTTATTATTACCAATCAGATCTTGAATTGGAATTATCAAAATATACCATATTTAATAAGATTAATATTCATAGCAATTAGACTTATATATTATTTTAAAGGAATGACTAAAATATTATGTAAAATTTATAAATTTTGATTTAATTTGTATTTTAGAATAATTATGAATTATTCATAAAAGATTATATATAATTCAAATTCATTACTTAGCTCCTTTTTGTTATCCCTAAAATAATAACAATTTCAATCTACTTTAGTGCATATATATATATAATGAGCATTTGGAGCATCCTTATCTTCATTTGTAATTGCGATAGAAGTTGAAATTGTTGGTTTGTGAACTTATTTAACTATTACATTCCTAATCAAATGAAATTAATCATCTTATCATACCAATCATATTCAGGCTTTTCAAAATATTAAAGTCTATGTTCAGGTAAACCATATGAAATTGCTAAATACACTCCTTTTGGTCCCAACACTCTGTGAACTTCTTGAATCACTTTTTAAGCATTGGATGACGATGATTCTCCACACTAAAGTAGATTATAAGTCTTACTAATATGGCATCAAGAGTTCCTTTATCTATGGCTCCATCGAATGATCCATCTTCAAATTCCATTGCTCTGGCATCCATATGAAGATCTACAATTAAACTATTTGTACATTTGAAATTTGGACCTTTATCTTTGTACTTCTCTTACATCGCTTTTGTAACAACATGAGAAATATCAATATTTGTAATATTCTAATAACCTTCATCGAACATCTCCTCACTTAATCCTAAAATCACCCTATAACAATTCCATACTTGAATTCCCTGCCCCAATATTGAGAAGTTTGCTTTCAGGAGTGAAGCAGGCTGATACTAGATCCTTGATCCCTGCAAATCTTTAATACCAATCAAATGGTTCAGGATCTCTATTTTAGATTAACAGACTTAATACCTCGTGTATCGTTCTTCCCAATATTCTGCTTTACCGTATTGTGACATTTGAATATGATTAAATAAATTATGCTTAGTATGTTTAAAAATTTATATATAAAAATGATATGTATTATAGAATGATCTTTAAACTTTATACCCTTCATAATAAGTCTTTCTACTTATGAAAATACTTATAGAATAAACTAAATGAGTAGCGTTAACATATTTTATTATTATAAAAAATAGCAAAAGAATTTAGAGATTTTCTAATTTAAAATAATAATATAAGAAATTATTTTTAATCAAATATAATAATAATAAATATAATAATTAATGTAATTATAATCTATTAAACAAAATTAAAAAGTATTCTTGTATCAATAATTTTAAATAGTTTTATAAATTCACTAAAATCTATTAATAATTTATATTTATTAAACAAAATTTAAAGTATTGTTAAATTGAAGACTATTTTGTAGCATTTAATATATAAAGGATTAAAAATATATAATTATTCTTAGATAATAAGAAACAATTTTAATATTAAATAGAATAAAAGTATATAATTAGTATTTAAATGATAAATTTTTTTAAGATATCCTTTAATTATAGATATTATTTATTAATTAAAGAGTAAATGATAAGCATTTAAGAGAATCTAAAAAAATAATATCTAAAAAATAAATATATACAAGCTATATAGAAAAAAGCATAAGACTCAATTAACCTATATAATAAATATCAAATTCATTCATTTCTAAACAATATATAATACCATATTGATGATTATAAATCTTTATTTGATAATAAGAGTATATATGAACCTTGAAGTAATTAGGTATATATATATATTTGATAATGAATTTCAAAATGAAATTATTGATATAAAATACTATTAATTTTGATTTACTATATTTTTAATCCTTAACTAAAAGCTATTTTTTAATGAAGCAATTTTAACAATAAATATATAGTTTTTTAACAGTGTATTCAAAATCGTCAAATAATTAATATAATTAAATGAAAGTATCTTAATAATTTTATAATGAATCTAATTTAAATATGATTAATAATATGACATAATAATCAATATTATTTATTTTAATGAAATAGGGGGATCATTTAAGTTCCACTACAATTATATTTTCTTCAGGATTAGCTAGTGTGATTAGTACAATCATTAGTAATCCTTTTGAAGTGTTAAAAATAAGATTGCAAGTAGATAAGATGCATTGTCATGAGCATTAACATCACAGAAATCCCCATCGAAGCAAGCCAAAATTTAAATATATTCATGAAATAGCATTAACAGGACAACCAACAAGACATTAATTAAATCATTATGGTATGCTCTCGAAATCATTGAAATTATGGAAACCACATCGAATGATTAATGTTATCGGAAAATCTTAAGCCACAAACCCCTTAATTAAAATTTATTAGAATTGTACTTGCATTACTACAAACTCTCTGGTTTAAGCCTTCTAACATATCTATACACATGAAGGAGCATCAACCTTCTTCAATGGATGGAGATATGCTGTATTATAAGCAGGAGCATCAAATATATGCTACTTCATGTTTTATGAGAGAACAAGGAAATTCTTATAATAAATGGAATTACCTTCTAGCCGATTAGTTGTTCCTCTATTGGCTAGTTCATTTAGTAGAGCATTAACAACAACAAGTAAGATATTTTAAGTATATTTTTAGTAACATTTCCATTAGAATATTGGAAGGTATTATAGTCATCTACAGTGGGATATTCAAAATTAAAGAATATTCAATTAGGGACTCAACTTCATTCAGCTTATCTAATAACAATTTAAAGAGATATTTTATTTTCATGCATCTATTGGAGTCTTCTAGAAAATTTAAAAATAGAAATAGGAAAGGTCTTAATAGATTAGCCTAATGCTGTAAATCTCATTTCAGCTATGCTAGCTAGTAGTGTTACGGCTACAATGACACTTCCTTTAGATGTAGTAAAGACAAGAAAACAAGTTAGTACAAGAAGTGATTTTGGATCAAGTCGATAGATGGCTTCGATGGAGATTTTATAAAACATCTATAATGAAGAAGGTTTGAAAGGATTATTTAAGGGATATCAACCAAGAATTGCTAAAGTTACGATGCATTCTGGTTTAGTCTATATGATGTATGAGTACCTAAAATAATTGTTTTGATTTTTAATTACTATTTATACATTGAGTTCACATTATATGTATGTTATATAATATAATACGATTATAGAATTATAAATTTATAAAGTTGCACTTTTGATAATGTTAAAGAATTTGCTATTCTGAGTTAAATTCTATTTTAATTGTTAATATAATTATCTCTCAAACTAAATACTCAAACTGAATTCTTAATCTTGTTGATAGAAAATGATCTAATTAGGTTTATCTTTATTATAGACAGTAAAATTGAAACTAATATTGAAACAATCAATAATTAATTATTAAACTAATTGAACTATGGAAATATACTTATAAAATATGTGAGATAATCATATCATAAAAAGTATCAAAATTATTACTTTTTATTAGTGAAATTTAAGCGTTTTAAAAAGAACTTTGTTTTGAAAATTAACATATTATTAAATAATAAAGATATTAATAATAATGGTTAATATTTCTATTGGTGATATATTTATTTACGTTATATGTTCAAGCATCGATATTTGAAAATTTATGTATAAATTTGTTGAATTACAATAAGCATCTATCTTTAAATTATTGTAGCTTTATCGAAAATACTTGATTTCTATTTTAGTTATTATAGAAGTTATTAAATATTTATAATAATTTTATAAGAATTCCTAGCTATTTTTCTAATTCAAACTTATAAATTCTATGAGTAATTTAGTTTATTTTTTTCATTTAATTTTAGTTAATTTAATAAATACAAAAATAAAAGAATATTAAAAGTAATTCAACAAATCTATATATATATATATATAATATATATTAAATAATGTAATACTGTATTATTATATATTTTGAATATCATTTTTATACATTTTTATTTAATGCTAATCCAACTCTGTTCTTTTCTCTATCAAATTTAGCCGAGTATTTTGTAATAAATACATCACCTAAAATCCATAAAGGACCTCTATAAAATGATAAATAATCTATTACTATTTAGGTGGTAAATCTAATGGGAATATTGTACCTGCACATCCAACAATCTAATCCATAGAAGAATGTTAATAAGGAGGTTCAACTCCAGCCTCTATATAATTAAATAGAATTTTTACATGTAATTGTTAATATATAATCTTTAGGTTACAAAACATAATTATTTCCATCAATAACAAAAGTTATATCTGGCATAGTTTGGAAATTCTAACATTTTGGTTCCACTCTAATCATTGATAATAATGTTCTGACTTCTTTTGTTGGACCTGTTAATAGAGTAGTTCCTGTATCTATTACCATTTTACATTTATGCTATTGTGAACAAATACCAGTGTTTTTATTACCAACTCTAATTTCTTCTGCCATAATAGACCAATAAAATTATTCATGAACATTATGATAAACCCATTATCCTTTAATTTAAGAATCATCACTTCCTCCAAAAATGAGTTATGATCCTGAATTACCTGTTGCTCTATTTAAATGAAATGTAAAAATGTTCTAGTGTAATTTATGTTATTTCATCATATAATCAAATAAAGTAGGTACTCCTGTCATATGAGGATATCCTAATCCAACTATACCATCAAACTCTCCTTCATGAAATGCATCACCAATTTATTAAGTAACCTCAATAAACAATGCATCTTTTAAATTTAATCCATCTACATTAATTTACTCTCTATTAATTAAACCCTTTAAAGTTCCACTTCCAAAAACAATTTCTACTTATTTTCCAATTTCATTAAATGATTTACTTTCTACTCTATTATATCTTTTACTTTTCTAGCATCCGATATCTTTACATTATTCTGAAGCTATGCAAGTAAGAGCTGATCCAGTATCAAAAATTACATCAAACGTATTCTTACCTTTTGCACTTCCTATCTGTAATTTACCTATAAACATAGTATTAGCAATATTAGTTAATGGTACATCTGCTATATAAGCACCATTTGATATTCTTTCAGTGGATAATAATTTCTGACTTTAATGCTCCATTTATTATTCAATTCCAAAATCAATAGGAACTAAAGAACCTGAATTTTAAAAAACATCTTTCTCTTCATGAGTTAATGGAATAACATCCATTAATGCCTCGTTCACAATCATATATTGGTGTTATCTTTTTTTATGTTTACCTTCCTTTTTATTATGATGTTTTTAATGTTTCAAATGCTTCTTATTAATTTACTTTTCCAAAAACACAGTTTCAAATTTCAACAATCCTTATAAATCTTATCCAATTCTCTCATAATGCTACAATTCTAGTAATTATGCATGTGAATGTTGCAATAAATTAACTAACTCTATTAAATGTTATTAAGTCTATTGGCTTTTGAGTTCGATTGAATATTATCGTGCACTTCCTAAGAATACTAAAACAAAGAAATGCAGCATGAATATATAAAATTATAAAAAACGATTAATATAATCTATTTTGTAGATAATTCATTCCTAAAGGAATAAATAATTCTATATTTCATACTTTTATTTATAATATTTTAACTATTTATTTACTTTCCATAAATTCAATTTCTTAATTTTAATAGTATAGAATGTGTTTTCATTCATTGTTATTAAGAATAAAATATTATTTATCAAATGACAAATTAAAATATTTTCTTTTGTATAATGAATCCATTTATAAATGAAATAGTTATTAATTCTATGATTTACCATTATTTATTGATATTAACTAACTCCATATTATTAGATAATATAATTAATTCTTCTATTGTTTCTATTGATCGTTTTTATAAATTGTATATTCAAAAAAATAACATTTTTCTTTATTATATTATAATTCAAATATATTTTGCAAAATGAACTAGTGGATATAGAGACTTGCCTATTATATAAATGATATTTTTGCAATTGTTTATATATTAATTATTTTTCAAATTTCAAAATTAAATGA